TCGAGTAACGCTGTCTCCGTCAATGACATCCGTTGTTGTCGATAGCGTCCCCTTGACTGATCCCAAATAAGGCCAGCCCGGCCGTCGTCCCACCATGCTGCAGCCCCGCCATCGCTACTCCTGGGCCCGTCCATATCCTTAATTGCCCTCCTTATCCTCTCTGTAACGACCTCTCCGTTCTCTGTGCCCATCGTTTCGGTGCTCTTTCGCCCACTGCGTGAAGCTCTGTCAGTGTCGTTTTGCGCGTCTCCCCCCTTGATTCCCCGTAGTCCGCGAGTAAAGCGTTCGAGAGCCGACACACGCTTTTCTGCTGCCTCAGCACGGGCTTTCCATATGGTGCACTCGCGCTTTACCGCTCGCAACTGTTCGCTGAGTGTTCCGACATCCATGCTCTCTTTTGTTTCTAGTTGACGCCGCAAAGATTGGCTCTCCTCAGCCTTGGCATCCAGCTGCCTCTGAAGACTGCGAATCTGAGTATGAAGTACCGAGTTGGCGCCAGGGCTTGTAGCTCTTGCAGGAATGACTTCTGAGCTGAGCTGCCGCATAGATGGAGTGGATGGTGGGCGAGGGAACGTGACATGTTGCGCGATGGGAGGCTGCTCAACAGGCCTTGTTATTGTGCCAAGATTGGGCAAGGCTCTGTCGTCGTCTGGCTTTGGAGGCTTTAGAAGAGGGTTCTGGAGCTTCGTGTTATCGGGCGTCCGCCGAAGCTGCGATATTGATGGCTTTTCCAAGTAAGTAGCCTGCCCTTTACCTCGAACTACATGAGATGCACTGAATGAGCTCGTGTCGCCGTCGTTGTAAGTACCCTGATAATACCCTGCCGGCTGTATGCTCCTGCCTAGAGTTTGCCAGAGTTGGTCTGGTCCATTCTTGCCATTGCTCGAGACCGAAGCTTTCGGCTTTGGAGTCTTAGGAGACGGCGTGCTCAGCCTAAGTTGAGAGTGGCCCAAGGCCGCCTTACTTGCCCGTGAGTAGCGGGAAGGCGAAGGAGAAGGTACACCGGACGATTCTCGTGAGGCTGTTTCAAACATTGCCGCCATGGCTTTCACGCCGCCTGGCTTCGAAACAAGTTCGCAAGAAGTAGTTGAGTTTCCACAGCTCCTACTACTGGGCAGAGGTACTGGTGTTGTAGCGAGTCCCAGGCTCAATGCTCGAGATCGTGTTGCAAACTCCTCCGGTACGACTACGCTTTGGGGTCTAGAAATTATTGGGTGATACGTGAGAGGCCAGGACTCCTCTGACTTAGATCCCTCCTCACCCAGATTAGACTTGTGTGGGAGAACGTTGACTGCCTGGCTCTTGTTATCTTGACATTCGTCCAAATAAGACAATTCTTCGTGACCAGAATTGAGCGGAGATAGCGCTTCCTACTGCTGCCTCGCAAAGTCTGTACTGGTTGCCTGTAGAGTATCTGGCGACTTATTTTTGGCAAGAAACCTTTTCGGGGTGTTCTGAACGGAACCGATGCTTTCAGATTCCGGGTCGAGATCTACACATTGCCTTGGAGTTTCTAGAAGGAAATCGCAGCCTGACCTAGTTTCAATTGGTCGCGTATGGTGACTGCGGCTGAGATTTAATGACTTCTCTTCTGGACTTAGGTCTTGTCTGTGCTCTGCCTTAGATATGACAATGGATGGGTCACTGTCATGTTCCGTACGTGTCCTGAGTCTAGAGCCTAGCGGCTCTTGTGTCACATCTGTTGTGTCTGAAGTCTTGGGCGATTCTGTAGAAGAGATAAGGGTGCGTGGGCTTACTCCATTGGGTGATATATGCTTTGTGTCGAGAACTTCAGGTGTCGGACTGCCTGAAGTTGACGTTCGACGTCGACCACTGCCAACGAGTCGACGAAGGGCCGAAGAGACGGATCTCCTAGCCTTCCGTCTAATTTCATCGGAATGTCTTGCTGAACCCTTTTCAATTTCGGACATGGTCTGTTCTTTGGGTTGACCGTTACCTCTTGGGTTTTCTGTAGATGTTCGCAGCTTTCCCTGCATTCTTGGGGTTTGCCTTGATGAGGTTCTTTCCGGTACTGTCTCCCCCGATACGCGAGAGTTTCCGGCCAAATGTTGGTCACGACTTTTCGCAAAGCTTTGGTTCTCATCGGTAGACTTTCTGTTCCTCCCGGCATGAATGTACGACCGGTTCAAGCTTCCACGTGGCGTTCGCCGGAGTTTAGCAGGGTTCGATAGTGATATATTTTGGAAATTCTCGGGTTCAGCTACTGGGTTCTTCTCTGGAGTTTGCGTCATGATTAAAGAGTCTTTCGTGTTTGCAATGACCGGAAGCCTTGTGGTACTTGTATCGTCCACCAAACTCTCCTCTGCTGTTGGTGACAGTGGATTAAGAGATTGGCGGGTGGACAGTTTGTTTGAAGATGCCGAATGCGACGTTTTTGGCCGGATTCTTTTGATACCAAGCGTTTCGCTCGGATTTTCACTTGTTTTCGAACTCGTCGTTCCTCCGCTTCCTGCCACCTATGAGCTTGAGTGATCTTAAGGGACTTTAGTAAGTTTTGAGCTTACTTGGAGCTGGTGTAGGAGTAGTAGGAGATGATGATCTCTCTCGGTCGAAAGAAGTAACTGGTGAGGCTCTCTTGCTTTTCCACCCTTTGGGTAAACCAATGGCGAAAGAGTCGGGATTCAATGATCGAATAAGCTCTCGCCGGTTCGAGTTTTCCGTATCATGATTCGGTCTGGTCAAAATTGACAGGCTCTTCATGTTTCGCACGACCTCCCGCCAGCTTGTGATGAGCATTTCAGCAATGTCGTTAGCCACATGGATTTTGTCGACAGACAAAGGACCTGCTCCGTCTAGGGTTTCAGTTTTGCGATGTCGTTCCTTTCTTATCCGAGGCGGGGTGAGAGGAAATAGTAACAGTCCCGAAGACGGATTTGCGAGCTTCATAGTGTAGGAGTCCAGCAAATCACTGACTAGAAGCGGCCCAAACACAATTCCCAATGCTGTGTATCCCATAAGGTCCGAGGTCGGAAGTGGTTGACCCTGCTCGTCCTCACGAGCCGCTGTCTCGGCAGCACGACCGATCAGGGAAAGGAGACCAAACACAGCACATATCAATTCTCGACGAAACTGAGATTTTATAGTGCCGATAGCTAATGCAATGAGTCGAGCACGAAGTTTCGTTTCTTTGGTACGGCTTAGCTCAGGCTCTTTTCGGAGCTGGCTGTGGATGGCCACTAAGGCGTCGAAAAGCGAAAGAGAGCCTAGAATACCACCTGGAAGCACGGAGAGAAACTTCTTGAAGGCTGAGGCTACATCCTGCGCGCCAGCGTTTATGTGAAGTGGAAGGTTAGGGCAACGAATTGTACCGGTGATCTCCTCTCCGGCACTTTCGTAGCAGTAATAGTCAAAGATTGCATTGACAATGCGGACTGATCCAGAGACACGAAAGACGCCACGTGTGGTAGGCCCTATCGCAGTGATGGTCAGACGAGACTCTCCGCAGATGATCCTGCCAACGAACCGTATTGAGCCAAGTACTGAGCGGTGGCCCGGAAGCAAGTGGGCAAGACAAGTGAGCTAGGGGTATAGTCGGAAGGGAGGTAGAAGAGGCTTTTGCCGCTCAGCCGAATCATTGTTTGGAGATCGAGCGATATGGGTTCCGGTTTTCGTGAATGGATCAGATGCAGGGCGATGTCGCTGACGCTTCTCTTGTGCCGGACGGCCCCAGGTGGTCCTTGTGAATCGGACGGCTGTCCTGATGAAGCCGAACGAAGCACTCGAGACCACCATCTGCGTTTCTCGGCCATGACAGCTGGTGTCTTGGGTCGCTAATACACTCAGCAGTGATTCGATGTAGAAACAACAAGACACTTACATCTCCGTTGAAGTCTTCAACAACAAGCACTCGGATTCCATGCTACGGGTACACATCAGCTAAGATCACAACTTTTCAATAAGGACTGGTGCTGGCAAGCAGTCTGTAGCCAAGATCGAGTTATTGCGTACCTTTTTGGCTAGTCGATTATACTCCTGGATGAATTTTCGACGATCCTGAACCTCATCTGTGTCCGAGAACATGGCCAGGTCCCCAGTCGACGATGTCCACGTTGCGCTGCTCGGGAGAACCCTGCCTCGTCGTCCTTCTTTGGTGGTCAAGACTGGTAACGTGTTCGAGCTCGCAAGTGGCTGTCGACAAACATCGTTGTCATCAAGAGATGCCATTGAGGCTGCCACAGGTAGTCGGGGAGGCACGGTGCTGGTCGGCGCAGTGCTTGTGTTTTGGCTTGTGAGGGTCCCAGCCTCAGGATCTCGAGACATGGCTGGGGATAAAGATGGTTCATTGCTGTTGATATAAGGCTGCATCGGAAGAAAGATCCGAGAATGGCCGACAAAAGGCCGGCGGCGTGTACGAGCAAGTAGGCAGGCTGGCGATATTCGACTCCAAGGCAAAGGACACCAGATGTCCAACGACTTGGTAGGTGATGTGAAGGACTGGAAGACCGAGGGCATGTGGTATCAGCCGGTCCTTATTAGAAAGACCTCATGGGAAGACAGTGCACCTGCCAAACCGAGTATGATCGGATGAGGCGCAGGTGAAGAACAAGGAGTACCTACCTCCTGCCACCGGCCCGGTGACGAGATACTAAGCATGCGTTACAACCTTGCTTGCTAAACCCACATGCATTCATCAAGCATGAAGCCGCTGTTGCCGCCGTTACCGCTCTCATCCGATCATCATCCAGCGTCAGATCGCACTAGTAAGCAGATCATGTCGCACGGAAGACCAGTAGTCAAGTTTGATGTTGGACATGTTCTCATTTCGTAATGCATCCAAGCAGCCGACTTCTCCGTAAGCCTTCCGAACCTCTATAATGAAGCGAATAAATAATGATGAGATACACGCGCCGTCTGGTATTCCTCCCAGTTACGCCTCCATACGCCTGGCACATGCTGAATACCATGTCTACCGTTTCCCAAGTCATTCCAGCGAGGATCCGTCGCTCTTAGTTCTATGCAACTCCAATTTTGTTCCAGCTTCAGGGTCCCTTGCTGTCGTCCTCTTCTCCGTGCAGGAGCACGTACTTGAGTATGTCTGACAGGGAAATGACACCCACAAGCCGGTTATCGTCGTCCACTACTATCAGACGATGTACTCTTGACTTCCGAACTGTGTCGAAGATTGAGTCCAATCTGTCCTCGGGACTACAAGTGTAGATTCCAGGTGAATCGTCGGGACGCCTGCACAGTGCCTCCCCAACGCTGGAGGATAGCTCTTCATAAGCGCCTCCTTTGATACACGGGATGATGTCGACGGCCTCGAAGACATTAAGAAGACGGTTGTCCGCATCCACAATGGGCACGCAAGATATGTTCTGCTTGACCATCAGGTCGACCACATTGAGGACCGCGTCGTTCATCTTCGCGGTAGCGAGGTTCTTGTATGTGCCCAGCCCAATCTCCCTGAGGGACTTCTTCAGCAGGACGGTGTTATGTTCGTTGTTGACAGCAATGAATTTGAGGATTCTATACTGTGTGATGACGCTGACGACCATCTCGCGGCCGGTTTCGTCGTCGACATCCACGAGAGGAATTCGGCGCGCGCGCGTCTTAAGCATGCGGCGGCAGGCCTCGTAAAGCGGTCTCATGGGGTTAACGGACACCGTCTCGAGAGGGGAGGCCCCGATGGCCTTTTCGATATCTGCAGACATGTTGGCATGCGACCTTGAGCCAGTGAGACCACCTTTGGACCACGTACCTCGCAAGCTGCTGAGTCGAAACTGTTCCAGCTTGTGCATCTCGTCAGGGAACTGGCAATAATATTGGATCACGTTGATGTAATCCGTCGCCGTCAGGAGGCCGGCGAATCTGGAATTGTGTGAATCCCATAACGGCGCGGAAACGATGGCTGTTGCGTAGGTCAGAATAGACGACTCGGCGCATCGAGGCAAACATGACTCGTACCGTTCTGAATGAGAATGTTGAGACTCTTCTTGATCAGGAGGTCGTTGTCGAGCACGATGAGGCGGAAGGAGAGCGGTAGGACATCGTAGCTGGTTCGAACTCTGAGGAAATCGCGAATAGATCTCTGTTACGCAAGAGAGATTAGCGACGGCTCGTTGCGACCCAAATATGCCCCTCGCGATGGCATCGTGGCCAAAGGACGACCCCGCATGCACTCGCTCTGATCGGGGACAGAATCGGGCGCAGGCACAAGAGTCGGAGGGGCGCGAGACGAGCGTGGGGTCGGGTCAAAGAGCACGGATAGCTTACCAGACCCTGGATCTGGTCCTTGTCGAGTGGGCTGGGGGGTTTCTCTGGCATTTTGCGAGCAGCAGACGAAGGTCTTGGGCGAAGGTAGGATGAAGGCGTGACGAAGGGAAGCTCGTGACCATGCGGTCTCGCGATAGACGCAGCAGTAGCGACTACGGGCGGTTGTAGTGGACCGCTACCACTAGACTGCTGCTGATGCGACGTAGGCATGGAGCCAGCATCGGCATTGTCCTTCGAAGCCGAGGAGGAGGGGTCGTCCATTGTGTCGTCGTGCGAGGGCTAATGGCGCGGTGTGCCCCTCTGGACGTTGGACGGGGTAAGGGTGCGAAGAAAGCAGGAGACGGATACGGGAGAGGCGGGAGGCAGAGACAATAGACGGAAGTAGAGGTAGGGAAAAAAAAGGTAAAATGAGAGGAATTCGTGGACCGAAGAATGGACTGGGCTGGACTGAACGGACGCCTTGTGGTGAGTTTCCCTTGCGCCGTTCTTTTTTCCCCTCCCAACGTGCAGCAGCAGCAGCAGCAATGAGGTAAGGCAAGAGATAGGTATTAAGATAGGTAGTGAGTATTGGCAGTGGCAGTGGTGGCACCAGGAGCGGCACCAGTAGCAGCAAATGGCATTCACCTAAGCTGTGTCCCTCTTGTCTCACTTGTGGAGCAAGGTACCGCTCTGGAACCATCCTTTATCTTTACTGTAGATAAGGATAAGGCCACTCAAGGAAGTGACTGTGTTGGGACTTTGGCGAAACCCAACCGATTGAGGTAGGCTGGCGGCTGTCGACTGTCGACTGTCTGATTCTTGTTTCCTGGTTTTTCCTGCAAGCGCTGTCTGGCGCTGGCGTTGGCCTTGCTAATGCGATGACCAGCCAAATCAACAAGACGCTGATTGTCCATGCTTGACACTGCAGCTCAGCGTGCGCAGCGGGCGTCAGCCCCGGAGAGATGAAAATCAGACAGCGATTATGCACGGCAGTGTGTTTCTATTATTGGTGATGGCCTCAAAAAGCCTCTCTCGATATGGACGGGTCAAGGCGACTATGTTTCTTCAGTGCTGTCTCTCATTGCCTTTCCCGACCCCGAATGAGGGGAACGCACATGCAGAAAGAGGGAAGGAGAGACACTCACGACTGCATGGCAGGTGGTCAGACAACGGACAGCAACAAGGACGAGTGATAAGAATGCAACATCTTGTTGGTGACGAAGCTGCCGTCGGCATTCCGGCCGAGGGCAAGCACACTGGACTCAAACGATCCTTTTAGCACTTGCGGCGGTAGGCGGGCTCGATACATGCTCACTGGAGAACAAGATCAATCCTAAACTTGGACCTCAGCCGAACCTTCAAGCACCGAGATATTTTGGACGATGAGAGACGAACAATGGTCCCTTGGCCTGTTGCTTGCCTTTTCCAAGACAACATGTCTTGCTTCGGCTCAAGCTTTGGAGACACGTCTCCGAAGAGCATGCAAGTTCAAGACATTTTCCAAAAATTTCCATGAATCTGTCCATGAATCTGTCCATGCGGCAGCTGATCGCCCAGATACCAAGCTTCTATCACAATGTACCTTGAGACGGAGGATGACCCAGCAGTTGTCTCCTTTTTCTTGTGTCACCAGAACCATTATCGCCAGTCCAACACCATGCTCTCACTGGCTTTAGGCAAGATGAGCAGCCGCCAAACGGAACAGGAAAGCGGCCACACTGGGCCTCGCGTGACACTAATTAGACCCTGGAGACCCGTCTGATCTTAGCGCCTTATCGCCAAGTGCGAGTCATCAAGGAGGATTTGGAGGGAACATCGTAACGGGAGGTGCAGGCTGATGGTGAGCTTGGGTTCGTTCATCTGAAACCTCCTCCTGCACAAAGTAGCCGAGGCAGAGCTCACTCACGGCAGTGCATCATGGTAGATGGATGGACGTAAGCATTCAAATGCACCTTTGCTCTAGCCTATAGCGCATTTCCCAAGATCCGAGCGTTGCCATAAGGAAGGTGCCTCAGGTGAGTACCTAGAACAGCTTGGAATCGTTTCTCAAGCTCTCAGAGATGACCTGCCGGTAACTAGACAGTTCCCATGGAGAACCCAATGGAAGCTTGTGATGGTATGGGGAGGAATTCACGCCGGCTAAAAGTCACTGTGTCGCTAGCGTGGCTCGCGCGATCTGTCAGGAATGCCTTTACATGCAGACCGCGACCTGCTTTACTTGCGCTTCCCCTAAGGTAAGGTACCTAGGCGGAAGAAGGGATCTCGAAAGATGTCAAGACACGACGCCGTCTCCCGTCATCATCGAAGGCGCCAAAGGCGCTTTTGGTGGGTTCCCACATGTGAAGGAAAAAGGGTGGTCCGTGTCCCTTGAGCTCGAGGTTTTGGATCCCGCGGCAGTGTCGCCCGAGGGAAGAGGACATGGAAGAGTGGCCCAGTTTGCCTGTTTCTTGCTGCAGAGTGAAGAGTGAGGCGGTGGGTGGGTACCTTCTCTTTTCCTCGTTTCGCCGGGGAGCAATCAGCGGCCAGTCACATCTTGAGCAAAAGCCGGCGACGCTGCAGGTACACTTGGTACGTACCTCCTTTCTCTGGGCCTTCTAGGGGCCTCTAAGCCAGAAGGGGTTAGCAAGCCTAAAGTCACCAGTCCCACATTGGGTTCCACGGGCCTCTGCTTTGCTTTGCTTGCTTCGCTGTTGCTGTCGTTGCTGGACCTGGGCCTGCTGCTGTTTTGTGCTGTGCTTGTGCTGTCCGATGCTCTCTCTGCTTTTTATTTGCTTGCTCGTTGCTCGTTGCTTGGTGCGTTCCCTCTGGTTCCCCACCACCACTTTACCTGACCTTCCCTACCTTACACTAGCCTCACTGAGAGAGGTCCCAGTGGCTTGCTGCTGCCGCCGCCCCGATTGCTGCTGCGGGTTGCTGCAACCTGATCCTGGGTCAGTGCTCCGCGAGGCAACTGGAGTATCCTCCCGTCGCCTTTCTTCCCAAATCCTCATTTGACCGACTGTGTCGCCCATTCACCGACCGACTTTCGGGACTCTCCCACCGGCCAGCAAAGAGCATCGTAGTTCGCAGAGGCCACTGACTGCTATTGAACCCGCGTTTCGATTAGTTTGTTCGAGAAAATCGATACTGTTATCGACCCGTCGTAACACCCTACACTCCGCATCCCTCTGATCGTCGGGCTGCCACGACGCTTGTGTTGCGAAGAGAGGATCCATCCAAACAAACAAGCCCCAGCTTTCCGATCCGCCGCCTCGACATCGAGTCTTGATACCATCGACACTGGCCTTTGTCGCCCACCTCGGCCATGGGAGTCTGCCAATCCTGCTGCGGAGGTATTGGTTTTCCGATCGTGACGTCTTGTGGGCTGAAGCTGACTGTGATCGCACAGGGAGAGCCCGCGATGGGCTCTACGAGCCAGTCCTCGCCGATAGCGAAAGAGAAGCCGTCGCCGACCTTCTCCAGTATCTTGAAAACGTACGCCTTCTTTGCCATGATTCCTCTGGTTAGCTTTCAGTACTGACGTTGTTTCAGCGGGGTGAAACGGACTTCTTTTCAGGCGAACCTCTTCGAGCTCTAAGCACTCTTGTCTTTTCCGAGAATATTGACTTGCAACGGAGTGCGAGTCTGACATTTGCCGAAATCACAGAGCGAGGTACGTCGACCCTCTGACTGCTTGCTGTCCACAAGCGATGGCATACCGGCCCTGAGCAAATGGAATTCGCATAGCCTCAGCCTACGTCACCTTGACTTGCTGACGATCTGCTACAGATGTTCGCGAGGTCGACCGTGATACCCTTGAGCCCATTCTGTTTCTTTTGCAAAGTCCCGACATTGAAGTCCAGCGCGCGGCCAGCGCCGCACTAGGAAACCTGGCAGTCAACAGTAGGTTCAACTTCGCAGACTGCACTGTAGGATGCACACTGACCTGAGCCACCAGCCGAGAACAAGGTTTTGATTGTCCAGCTCGGAGGTCTTACACCGCTCATCAGGCAGATGCTATCGCCAAACGTCGAAGTGCAGTGCAACGCAGTCGGATGCATCACGAACCTGGCTACACATGAGGAGAACAAGGCAAAGATAGCCCGGTCCGGCGCGTTGGGTCCTCTGACGAGGCTGGCAAAGTCCAGGGATATGCGGGTTCAGAGGAACGCGACTGGAGCTTTGCTCAACATGACACACTCTGGTAAGTTTGTCCACGAACGTGTATATTTGAGAGATGCGACACTAACCCATGTGACAGACGAGAACCGTCAGCAGCTCGTTAATGCCGGAGCCATCCCTGTTCTTGTCCAGCTACTCTCCTCGTCCGACGTCGATGTCCAGTACTACTGCACGACGGCTCTCAGCAACATTGCTGTTGACGCTAACAACCGCCGCAAGCTTGCTCAGACAGAGTCCAAGCTCGTCTCCTCCCTTGTCACTCTTATGGATTCCTCGTCACCCAAGGTTCAGTGCCAGGCAGCGCTCGCGCTCCGTAACCTGGCCTCTGACGAGAAGTATCAGCTGGATATCGTGCGGTCAAACGGCCTCGCCCCATTGCTCCGACTTCTTTCGTCGTCCTACTTGCCTCTGATTCTCTCCGCTGTAGCTTGCATACGCAACATTTCCATCCACCCCTTGAACGAGTCGCCCATAATCGAAGCCGGTTTCCTGAAGCCGCTGGTCGACCTTCTTGGATCTACCGAGAACGAAGAAATCCAATGTCACGCCATCTCAACCCTTAGGAACCTGGCAGCCAGCTCTGACCGCAACAAGGCCCTCGTCCTCGATGCCGGTGCCGTTCAGAAGTGCAAGCAGCTGGTGCTTGATGTGCCCGTTACGGTCCAATCCGAGATGACAGCTGCGATTGCGGTTCTGGCCCTTAGTGATGAGCTCAAGTCCCATCTCCTGAACCTCGGAGTCTTCGAGGTCTTGATCCCCCTCACACATTCCCCTAGCATTGAAGTCCAGGGCAACAGTGCTGCAGCTCTTGGCAATCTTTCTTCAAAAGGTATGCTGAACAGTTCTCTTTTCAAGTACCAATCTAATTTAAAAAACAGTTGGCGACTATGCGGTATTCGTTCAAGACTGGAAGGAGCCTAACGGCGGCATCCACGGTTACCTAACGAGATTCCTCCAGAGCGGCGATGCAACGTTCCAGCACATAGCAATTTGGACTCTGCTTCAGCTGCTCGAGTCAGAGGACAAGAATCTCATTCAGTTGATCGGCCAGGCGCAAGATATTGTCGACCAGATCAAGGAGATTGCCAACCGCCAGATCGAGCCGGACAACGAATTTGAAGACGATGACGAAGGCGAGGTTGTCAACTTGGCACAGCGGTGCCTGGAGCTGCTCGGCCAAAGTGGCGCCAAGACTCACATTGAAGGCTAAAGAAGACCGCTATGCTCCACATGGATCTCACTTCATTATTTTGTTCACCAATTTCCCTTCCGGGGTACTACAGCAGGACCAAGGGGCTTGGAGGCTTGGGTTGGTGGTGTTTTCGGCGTTAATCAGCATGCAGAATGAGATTCGGTTGGTACGTTGAGTGTATATTTCGGCGTAGAAGCATTTTGAAGGAGCGTTTATTTTGGCGTGCCAATCCTCTAACGGACGATAATGACACCGTCAGAGGGCACGGCTAGGTTTCTCTTACACCGAGACGACCCGGACCTTTTACTTTGTATCAAGCATCGTGGCTCGTTTGTCGGGTCATACGTGTCTCATATTACTCGGCCTGTCGTCAGGCTTGATGAACCTTCACCTGGCGCCTTAGGCTCCCTTACTCGTTGTAATTAGGATCAGACTTTTAGAAGACCAGAGAAACAACTCACAATCTGTGACTTTTCAGCATGGGGTTGGCTGGAGTTCTGTTGCCTGTCGCGTTTCGTATTACCTGGGTTGGGCGTGAAAGCACGTTGATGTCCCACTTAGTCCTTTTTTAATTCAATTTTACTTCCGGCCCTCTCCAACATCACGTAGTCCATTTTCGAGCCATTTCTCTCCGGACAAAGGCAATGGCTTGGCCACCACCTTGCCCCTGATGAGAGCCAATGGTACGGGTCCGTACATCCGCGAGTCTCTGGAGGACTCCAAGTTGTCACCGACAAGCCAGCAGTGCCCTTGAGGAACCTATTGTGGCTACTTTTTAGCGAAAATGACCTTGCCAGATGGTTACCAATGTCTGTCCGTACCTGAATCATTTGGTTTCTCTGTGAGTCTGGGCTGTCGAGCAGTACATAGTCGCCTGGCATGCCCAGCACACGCTTGATGCCGTCAGACTTTGGGAAGATCGGAATCTTGTAGTGAACCAAGTCACCGACGGCGACATCGCGGCCGTAACGATAGCGTCTGTCTGTGAGGAGATATTCACCGGCAACTTCAAAAGTTGGGAGCATAGACGGACCGGAGGCGGGACCGGAGGCATAACCGTACTCCATAAAGACGTGGGCAAGCGCCATAGTTTTGCCCACGTTCAGGGCTAGGCGGAGGGGTCGTCCCGCCATTATTGACGGAGCGTTTGCATTCGTGATCGTGGTTATGTGCAGTATGCTTGGATACCTTTCTTTTGTTTGGAGGTTCCGTATAGGGTGAGTGAGGAACGGGACGTGATCAGACGTGTAGATTCAACTGGCGTATGAGACTCCGCTAGAGCTTGGACCATTCGAAAGCTCGTCGCAATGCGCGATTTGATTGGTGGGAGAGCTACCATCCTGGCCCCGTATGAGAGTTCTCTGTTTGCTTGCCTCTGCTCCCCATTACTACAATTACAACCGTATCGCCTCCCACAACAGCAAACATTGCACAACAACGATAGACCGACCTGTGACTGAACGGAAGCCCTGAAGCATACCTGTTGCAACTAAGATTAAAACCATCCACCATGAGGGTTACACGATGTCTGTACAACAATAGCAGGACAGCCCTGTATAGGGTCTTCGTCTCGCCCTTTGAAAAGGTGGAAGCGTTATCCCGCAGAAGCGCCCTCGCATTTCCTGCCTCCAGAACCCTACCGCCAGTATTATCTCCCCCAGTGCAGTCTTTCGCCCGTCACGCAGCGCTCGTTCACCGACCCCGGAAGCCGCACAGATCGACAACAGACTGGAAGGCTGCGACCAAGCCGGGACAGCTCCCCGCCGACGAGATGATCCGCGACCGCGAAATTCTGGTCGTCGACGACGATACCAACAAGCTCACGGGTCCGCACAACACCCACCGGGTGCTTCAGTCGATCGACCCGGAGACGCAGTCCCTGCGGATGGTCTTGCGGCCGCCGCCGAACCCGACGGGGAACCAGCGCCGGTATGCCATCTGCCGCATCGTCGACAAGCGCGTCGAGAAAGAGCGCGAGAAGGCGCATGAGAAGGCTAAGAAGGAGACTGCGCGCAAGCTGGCGCGGGTCAAGGAGCTCGAACTCAACTGGGCCATCGCGCCGCACGACCTTGGTCATAGGATGAGGCAGCTCAAGAGTTTCCTTGAGAAGGGGTACAAGGTCGAGGTGCTCTTCGCCAAGAAGAAAGGCAGCAGAATCGCGACGAGGGACGAGGCGCAGACTCTTGTGCAGGCGGTGCGGGATGCCGTTGCCGAGGTTAGGGGTGCCAAGGAGTGGAAAGAGCCGGACGGGCAGCCGCTTAAGGTCATGAAGCTTTATCTGGATGCACCGGCGTCGGCTAAGGCACCATCTGAATCTCCTGCCAGCTCTCCTGCCAGCTCTTCGGAGAACTGATGGGCATGCGGTTTCACATTGCGGTGGTCGAGCTGTGCTTGGCAGACTGGATGATGTGTACGATTTGACAAGAAGGCCCATGAGGCCGTGCGACAACCCTGTCCTGTATATTAGAGTGTTCATCGGATGCTTGTATAGCAGATCTGCATACTGCATCATCTAGACTTCAAGCCTGTGTGATTGCAGGTTATAAATGTGCCTTTATGCTCTTAGCCTGGTTTTGGCACCAGTGATCTTGACAGAACTTGGTTCAGGCTCTTAATGTTGGGCAAGTCAGCAATACCCGATTGCATGATTATGGAGGTTCCAAAGAAGCCCTTGCTTGAGCCCATAGCTTCGAGAGCCTCGTATATACGATGAGGAAACAGCAGACTTTGTCCCAGTTGAAGACCTGAAGCAGGCGAGTGAGGTGCAATCACTTCTCACTCCTTGGTCACACAAACAATGGGCTCAGGGCCTCAGAGCAGGTAAATTCAACATGGTCAGATGGCTGGAAAGCGCCTCGCGGCTTCTTGACAAAAAAGACGTTTGTGCAATCATTAGACCCCTACTACTGAGCTGCTGCCATTAACTTCCTTCAAAGCCGTCTGAAAAGACCCATCAGGACCAGCTTTGACCTGACGAGGAGCTGGTTGCAGCAGCCGCCGAGTGGTGATTGGCGCCACAGTTGGGACGTCATTCCCCGCACCATGCAGTTAAGCTTTAGCGAGCTTTTAGCGCGGGGCACCCGTCGCATCCCGCCTCGCAAACCCCTGTGACTCAACCCTCCAAAACTTCTCAGCCTCTCCGAGACCGATCAAAGAAACTCCGATCGATCACTATACACCCTCGACAAAGCCTTTAAAAATAAAAATCCGAACTGAGCGTCAGGCTCTCGATTGAAGCCGGCCGCAGAGCACACAAAAGTCCAATCGCGAGGTTGTTTCGACTGGGAACAAGGGAAGGAGCGGGACACAATGGCCACAGAAACGCCAAATACCGCGCCGCCCCAGGCCACCACGACCACCCCGAAGACAAGAAGAAACAACAACCCCAGAAGAAGGACGACAAGGCGCAAAAGAAGGATGCAGCGGCAGCGCCAGAGGGAGGAGAGAAGAAGCTTTCCGGCGCCGAGTTAAAGGCAAAGGCAAAGGCCGAGAAGGCAGCAAGAAGAGCAAAGGCCAAGGAAGCGCAACCCGCACCACCGCCCGGCCAGGGAGGCGCCCAGCAGGGCGGAGCAGGAGACGGTAAAGGAGGAAAGTCGAAACCCAGACAGGATGGACCCCAGGGATTTGGTCAAGCTGGCGGCCCGAGGAGTGGTCTGGCGGCCAAGGCTTTGGTGGCTGCTGCTCCCAAGGACAACAAGCCAAAGGTCCCCGAATGCTTCAGTCACCTGTCTATGGCTAAGAGGATACACATGTCGGAAGCTGATAAGGATGTCCACCCGGCCATTTTGGTGCTGGGTCAGCAGATGAGCGCCTTTGCCATCAACGACAGCACCACGAGATTGGAGGCGACTCTCTTGGCGTTCAAGAAGGTTGGTTTCAACGCCCTTACATCCAGCAAAAGGATTCGATTCTGACATGGTACCAGGTGATCGACTCCTATACGACGCCCCCAGGCAACACGTTCTCGCGCCACTTCACTTCACATGTGCTGAACCCCCAGATCGAGTACCTCTCGGCATGCCGGCCCATGTGCTTCTCCATGGGCAATGCCGTCCGCTGGCTGAAGCTCCAAGTCAGTAAGATCGACATCGACCTGCCTGACTTCGATGCCAAGAAGCTCCTCTGCGAATCCGTTGACAACTTCATCCGCGAGCGCATCACCCTCGCCGACTTTGTCATCGTCAAGACCGCCGCTGACAGCATCGATGACGGCGAGGTCGTCCTGACCTACGCCTACCACCCGCTCGTCGAGCGCGCCTTGCGCCAGGCCCGCGCTGACGGCAAGCGCTTCTCCGTCGTGGTTGTCGATGATCCGTTTGAGAACACAGGCCGCGACCTCGCCAAGCGTCTGCGCGACCTGCCCGGCAGTGATGGCGGCGTCGAGGTCGCCTATTGCCCGGACCTGAGCGCCATGCGCGATCATCTCCGCGAGACGTCGCGCGTGCTGGTCGGTGCCGAGGCCATGTTCAGCAACGGCGCCATGTACGCCCGCGCCGGCACGAGCGACATCGCCATCGCCGCGGCCGACCAGGGCATCCGCGTCATGGCGCTCAGTGAGACCATCAACTTCACCGAGAGAGTCGCCATGGACTCGCTCACATACAACGAGATCGACCCGGAGCAGAACACCGAGGATGGGTTCCGGCTGCTGTTCGACACCACGCGCGACCGCCACATCTCGGTCGTAGTCACGGAATTGGGCATCACGTCGCCCGTCTCTGTGCCGGCGATTCTCAGGAAGTTGGAGGAATTGTAAGCATGAGACCGTGGAGAAACGTTGGGGGCATGGGAACTAAGGGCATGGAATCTGGAGGCATGAGACTTGGGCGGCATGATGTCTTTTGCCTCCTAGATGATTGGGGTATTGGCGAAAAAGACAATTGTTCCTCTTGAGCTTTAGATAGATACCAAATTCATGCTGGCTCAGAGAGAGTGGCACCATAGACTTTTGGCCGTCAATCAAGAGTCCCGTACATGGTTCAGTCTGGTGGTGGCAGGTTGTTTGCCCAGTGTGCTCTGGACATACTCTCCTATGGTCTTGCGTGTGAGAATACAACATCCATTGCTTGCTAGCACAATGTCATCGTCAGCACTGCAAGCACAAGTAGTCTATCCGCAGGGGTATGCGCTTTTCCTCGTCGGCATTTGCATTGAGAGTATCGTATCATAAGCTTATCCTAACCGTGCCACTTCGGCCAGCAAGGTTTCTTAAGCTATTCCAGCCTCACGCTTTCTGCCTCTCTAACAAGACTGTGGATGGTGCTACAGCGGCCATGCAGCTGGTACGGAGGATCGGGAGCTCGGGTATTGAGCATCCCTTCCTCACCTTTATCATGGGCAGTCTCCCAGCTGCAAATTGATCACCAGGGGCGTGCTTGATGACTTTCACGGCGTCAATTGAACCCTCTCTCTCAACGCAATATGTACAAAGGGAATCTGCTCCCTCGCGGGGGATTTTCCCAATTGGCGTCCCCAGTCAGCCCCAAAGGCACTACGCGGCATGATCCCATCCTTTCTCTCGGGATGGTTTTGACGATGGGATACCCGATTCCACGCGCAACACCATGGCCCCTCCTTCATCCAGGTTTCCTTGTTGATGCTAGGTTGTCTTCCTCTTTTTTTACAGCTTACATCGGTCGTAGTCGGGGTGGAAAACATCCGTCGTCTATGCCTTGGCCGCCTCCTCCTCCTCCTTGCGCGCCGCCGCCCTCGCACGCTTCTCGAGCAGGATCGACTTGCGCTCGCTCAGGATGGACGTCTGCTTGTCGTCGACGCCCTGCAGCCAGTAGCCGAAGCTGCCGCCGCCGATCATGTAGGCCGGGTAGGCCCAGAGGGACTCCTTGTTGAAGAAGGGGCGCATCTCGATGCCCATCTGCCAGAAGCGGACGGCGAAGCCTGTTGGGGTTCTAGTAAGCCACACTACTCCGAATCATATGGTCGCTTTATGCGTTGAGAAGCGGCGGGAGCATATCGGCGCCGGGACTCGGAGCGTCAATGGCTCGTGGTGGGCGGCGTATGGAACGATGCGAGGCTGGAAGGGGAAGGCTAGGGGAGGAGGTATCACGCACCGAAGCCACTCCAGAAAAGGATTCTGCCGACCATTGTCGATTGTAGAAAGAGGGTTCTTATCGGGGTATCGGACGTGTCAATTGACCAGTGTCGGAAGGAATGGGGGCCGCTTCCGTCGTTTCGCGATTGCGTCGGGGGTTCGATCGTGAGTGATGTCGAAGCTTGTCCGTACTCTCCCCGGATTGAAGGTGTGTGGTCCGCGTACCCGCCGGGTCGCCGGGACTGGGCTTGGGGCGGAACAATTGCAAATCCAGTTTTTCCGATTCGGTGGTCGAATTCCTGTTGGCATTGTGAATTGGGGTGGGTGGCTTGCAGCACTGTAAGTCCCCTGAAGGGCTGCGGGCTTAGGCGGTACAGTGCTGCAGGGGCCGCTGAACACTAAGTAGTATTAGGTGTCTCGAATCCAGTTAACGGTCGCCCGTCGAGGAACACAACACATTCTAATCTTTGAAGAATGGATGTTAAATATCTGGAAAATGAATGTACAGGTTTTATTGCTTTACGGTCAAAGGAAAACTAGAAAGAACCATCTGCATGGCCGCTGGTTTGGTGGAAAAAGGAGGTGCTTTGTATAACCAAGTCTGCTCGGTTCCACCTGATATCATGTTAGCATACTTAGATTTTTATTTCCCGAATATTTCCAATCAAATCCGATATGGTGTAGTGGCCAACATGATGCCCTCTCACCTCTTGAGAGGTTAGGCATAGCCCCGAGTTCGATTCTCGGTTTCGGAACATTTTGTTTTTGGCCTCATTGCCTTCCTTGCTTGATAGGCGCTTTTGGCTGGTAGAGCTTTACAGAAAGAAAAGGCTGACGAATAGATAGGAAAGCTTTGTAATGCGTGCCATCTTGATTGTCTTGCGGCGCAATGCACTTGCATATTCTTAGTATATCGTTGACCAAAGTCAGACGCACTCGTCACATTATCAGGGTATCATTATTGATCAGATTGTACACAGGCTCGGAGTGGCCTGCTCAAGGGCTCCGAAAGCCGTCTTCTACAGTACATGGCACATCTTACAAGGCACCACCAACCGCTTGGGCGATCCACATAGCTATCCTTACTTGGAGACCAACACGTCTCTCGTTATTAGAGAAGTCTTCGCGGGTGACACGCTCAGCGTGTTCTTGGAGCCAGGTCTGCTCCTCGCCCAGGCGTTTCTTAAGGCTCTCGTCTCTAGTTAGGATCATGGCGCCAGCCTCAAGGTCATGGGAGTAACTGCGCTTCGTGTAATTGGAGCTTCCCACAATGCTAATTGAGGGGTTCTGCTCTCCCGGCAGCGTGATCCAAAGACCCTTGGCGTGGTAGGTCCATCCGCCGGGCTCACCAACTGTTCCTTTACGCCACTCCTTCAGAACGATGGAATCGTCGAGCTTGCGTTCATGAACAGCGCGGACGAAACGGCGCGCAAGGAGGGTGTAGGCGCCCGGTAGGAGTCCGGATACGCCGGGGGACTGGTAAAATCCGTTCGCCTGTTGCGAGGCGGTAATAACAACGTTGTTCCGCGATGCTGTCGAGAGCAGCAGCTTGGTTAATGACGGTGCAGGGTTGAAGTATCCCGCAGTGAAGGTCCATGATGAGCCGCTGTATTCAGGCTTGCCGAGCGTCGATAGTACGTGAGTAATGGCTGGGAGCTCCGTCGAGGTATCCGGCTTCATGAGCTGAGACAGTTGAGCCAGAATATACACCTTGGTATCTTTGCCTGCATCTGCCGAGGCAGGTTGCTTGGGCGAAATCAGGGCATCCAGGGTTGGCGTGGTGGTGCCGATGAACTGCCTCGGTTCTTTCAGTGGCGAGGGTGCGGGATTAGACTTGGGCCAAGTCAATGTGAACCCAGCAGCTTCTTTCGAAGGCTCGACGAGGAAGCTAAAGGACGAGACGCCTTGGTGTATGTTCCAGAAGTAGTCGGTGACCTCTTTGGAAGAGAAGAGGTGGTAACGATCTTGCCGGTTTGTGAAGTAGTCGGAGGAGAGGTTTGCTCTGCATAGCTATTAGTCGCGGTTCGGTCATAGTGCATCAATATCGTACCCAGAGAGAATGATTTCATCGTCAATCCCATACAGCTTCATATGCTGCAGTCCCCATCCTTCGTTGATCCGCTTGGGGATGTACTTCTTTCTCACGCCTGTCAGGTTGGGTGTGTGGTACATCCGGATCTCAACTCTGTCGGCACCGAATTCCGACACCAATGGCGCAAGCAGAGATGCACATGACGGGTTCGGCTCCTCGCGAGTGCCTCGTAGGGCGTCCGTCAGGATGCTGAGCTTCAGCTCAGGGTTGTTTCGCAAAGCTTCATGCAAAGTCGCAATCTAAAAGTAGAGACCATCAGCCACTGCTTCTAATAGATCCATAGGTACGACAACATACCAGCTCCTTCTCCGTCTTTCCGATGTACAGAGTGGACAAGAATATCCTCCTCTTCGCGTTCCGTATCCGCTCCTATGCCTGTATTAGTCCCGTCCCTAAAGCCCGTTGCACTTGCGCGTGATGCACACCTTTAGTGTCTCGTAGAAATCGGCCGGCGTCCTAATGATCTGTATCTGGGAGCCGTTGATGCTGAAGGACGGTGCGATTTTGTCGAGCTCGTTCGCGAATGGCGCAAGCATGCCAGCAGCGCTACTGGAGCTCGAAGCCGATGGGGTACCGGCAGAAGGCATTGCGAATCGTCGGCATTGTGTTCGTGCGCGTGTGACATTCGTTTGGCCGAAGGGAATTTTGAGCTTCGTAGAGCACCGCGAAACACCGCGGACGATCATATCGCTTGACTGAATGAGAGTATGAACTAGCGCTTTCCAAGATGCTCAGTCAAAAGTCCATCCAAAGAAGGAGAGCTTCGAGATTCTAGGGACAAGGGTGAGTGCTCGAAGCTCCGTCATTGGTAGCGGGTTTTGCCGGGAGCGCAGGGGAGTCCAAAGCCCAATCGTCTTCGAGGTTATGTAATCCAAAGCTCCACTCCCGGTACCTGCGTCGTTCAACCTTCCCAAACGTCAAGTCTTCAATCACGTCGTCGATAGCACAGCTTCTCGAGGTCAATTGACCAGCCGCCACCATGTCGACCCCCGCGAGAACGTTCAACAACCTGCGCAAGATTGGCGTCAAGGCATGTATCCGATGCTCCCACCGCTGCGGTCAATGTCGCTAACTTTCGCCCGTAGGAATACTTCCGCCAGCTGCTGGTACATGGCCCACGAACCCCCCGATCGCCATTGCCCCTCTAACGCTCGAGAATAGTACATTGGCGACACCAAGCACGGTCGTCTTGTCGGCGAGGACAAGGCCGGCAACAAGTTCTACGAGAACAACGACGAACTCCCCCGTATGGAATCCCCGCGATCTGTACTTTCGATGAAGGAGAAGGCACTAACGAGAGGAGCCGATAGTGCGCACTCGATGGGTGGACTTTAAGAAGCACGACTACGACTCGGCGCAGGTTGAGCCTGGCTGGCACGCGTGGTTGGCCTACATGGTCGACAAGGCCCCTACCGAGGATGCCCTTCTTCAGACCAAGACGCGGAAGTGGGAGGTCCCGCATGTTCTCCCTAACTTCACTGCGACACCAGGAGCTTTCAAGACATACAGCACGTAAGTGTCAACGGGTAGTATTTGGGAAACATGCAGAGATGCTGACACCAGGTGGTATAGGACGAAGCCAAAGATTCGCTCTTGGGAGCCCAAGGCTATTGAGAGACAATGAGTGTTGAGAGAACGGAATGAATGTACATAACCAAGGTCGCTCGACGCAATTTCAGGGGGTTTTGCTTTGTGATCAATGGTCTCATGGATGTTGCAAAGTGAATACGTGCGAAGGTGAGAATAAACGAGTTGGCGCTGCGCAACCAACGTTCTCGTCTGAACTCTGAAGTTCGAAATCACTATAATTGTCGAAGTTACCGGAAAGCACTTTGTAACTGTCTGATAGGCATTAAAGCATGGGGACTGGAGAGGTGAAGACTCAACGGCGGCGGTTTGCAAGCTATCGGGGCAAAGCCTGGGTTGCCGGAAGGGCATACTGAGTGATGCTTCTAGTATTGCAGAGTGCGGTCTGTCTTCCTGAAGCTAACGAATTTCGTCTCAGGAGAGTACTCAGAGAAGTAACCTCACAAGACAGATAAGTAAGATTGCAATGCAAATGAATGGTCAACGATTTACACCGGTGCTCTCTTGGGCTTATAAATGCAGACCGCTTCTTTCTCGCATATGTGTATTTAGCCGCACATGAAAATGTAGAAGATATAGTAAGGCCAACAATATTTATAACGACCCTGGACACAAGGATATTCGTGATAACACTGCAATTCCTAGTCTCAGCCTCCCAATATTCGAGCTTGCAAAATCAATGCCGTGTCTCATGAGTGATGTGAATCCAGGCACAGAAACAGGGGCTCGTAGGAGAAAACCTTCCATCCTCCGTGGATGCGCTAAACACCGTTTGGCCGGGTACATGACTTCCTCCATCCAGAATATTGAGAACTTCTTGGAGTTTGGGTAATATTTGCGTCTTATAAGCTGTGAGAACTTCTGATGAGATATGTTCGGATCCCAATTTGGGTTGGTTGGTGGGTGGTAGTATGCTGGTACTCTGGAGACCACACGACAACATTCTTTTAACCGAAAGAAAGGCTGGTTCCAAAAAATAATTCAAGAGAACCCGTTTCAAATTTTGAAGGAAAACAGTACGGGAATGTTCTTGTTGACTTCATTCTCCCTATGGGTCCGATTGGGAGCAGCTACGCAATCAGTTGAAAGCATATTGCTGGGGTGAATAAATCTATGCTACACAGATCATCTTCTGTACTTTTTTTCGAGGTAGTTGGAGTCATTGTGGCTCGCCAGCCTCGCAACAGAAAGATACCGGCCTATACTCATTGTCGCAGCAGCATGTCTAATAGTGATATCGTCGGCGCTGGCTATAGCTCAGACTTCTGCTTGTCTTGCGCAACCTCCGCAAACCCCTTCTCCTCAAGCTTCAGGGATCCCACATCGGGCACAAGCGGCGTCTCCGTCCCCCGGGCGCCACCGCCGCGCCAACAGCGCCAGAAGCGACACCTTCCTCATCCGCCGCGAAGTTTTCCCACGCCGGCGGGTTGATCCTACTAGGATTAGGATCCGGCTTGAAGTGGTATCCCCTCGCCCTTGGCCTCGTTCCCGTGCCCTGCGGAAGCTCTGCCTCGTACACGGCGGCGAAGCGCTTGGCCTGTTCTTCGAACTTTTCCGCGCCCCCTCTGCGAGCGTCGCCCGAATGCCCGCGAAGAAATCCGTCATGACCTGGTGGTTGTGAATCTGCAGCAGCGTCCAACCGAGCATCTCTTTGGCATTGAGGAGGTGGTGCAAGAACGCTCGATGGTGTGTTGTGCAGGCGTAGCATTTGCAGCCTTCGACAAAGGGCTTTAGAGAGGTCTCGTTCTCAGAAGACCACATATCCTCGCCGAGCGGCAGGATGGTGGTGCTCTGGCTGGGTGGAGGGAAGGTAAAGGAGAGCGCTACGCCGGCGTCGGAGATGGAATTGACGAAAGGAATCGTGCAAACGTCGATTCCCAGAGAGATTTGGCGGAGGATCGCTTGGGGCGTAGCGGGAATGTGCAGAGAGAGACGAGGTAGCGAAAGCAGAGGTTCGTAGTTGTCATCAATATCAGGCAGAAGGTCCACGTCGTAGATGGCCAGTCCTGAAATATAGTCGATGATGTCGTCAGCCAAGTGACGAAGATGCTCCCACTGGATGGGATACGGCACCGCCAGGACTGGTGCAAACACAGAGACTCCGGACTCCTTCAGAGCCTCCCGTCTCTTGGGCGTCAGAAACGCATCAGTCCACTCTTCGGTGCGCTCGGCCATGCGGACGAGCTTCTTCGGGACTGGCATTGTGCTTGTGTGGAACAAGTCGGCCGGGCCGATGGCAATGTCAGGCTTGAGCGTCTCGACGGCTGCGGAGTACTCATCCGTAGTAAGGTTCCGGAAGCCAGTCGAGGTGAAGATAGCCATGAAGTTTGCGCCGTTGCCTACCGGAGTCTTAATCGCTGGGCATCGTCTAGGAGCAAGAATAGTGGCCATGCCTTCAGGGAGGCAGGAAAAGGTGTGGAGAGGCTTCTTGTCTGGCGAGGGTATTGAGAGCGCCGAAGGGTTCTTCTTCTCGATGACTTGTTCTTAGATTAGTTGTCCGCTCAAAATATTGATAACGAAGGCAAACAGGTTAACCAACAGTCCTCAAGCGCCATGTACGCTGCACTAACAGAAGAGTATTTCTCAAGGTTATCGGGCGTGACATGAGGAACGACACCTCTCGATGCCACGGCAATGTAATTCGGGGTTTCGATAGGGTTCCGTTTGGGAAGACTCAGTCTCCCCAGCCGAGCCGCCGAAGCGCCATCGACGGCTTTCTTCAGTATTTCGAATATCATGCCTTCCGAGTTCCTCTCCCCGTTGACAGTTTCCGCACTATTCATCTTGACACACTACCAACTCCTTCAACCAAGTCGTGAGTCAAACCCGGTGCCACAGGAAGCGGATGTGGTGATAGCTTGCTGATGCTAGGTCCGATAACGAAACTCCCCTGAAACCCCAAATAGTGAGTTCCCTCGAACTAGTTCTCGATGCTTACTCGCTTGCATTCACCGAATCAAGTCGAGGGCTGTGAGATGTTCTAGCGCAAGTGTAGTGAAAACGAAAAAGGCAGCCACGCGCGCGACAGTTCCAGCCACAACATGCAGGCAGTCGAATACGGGTGGGCGAGGCTTGCAGGTGTGGCTTGATGTTCACAAGAGTGGATCTGGTTGGAGCCCCAAGCTCTAGCCGATGACAGCGGGCAATCGCGGCTCGGGGTCCCGATGGGGGCACATGGAGCTCGGGGCGGACCCGGGCGAAGGGTGCTTGCAGGGGGGTTTGATCAAGCACAAACGCAGTGCGACCGAGCCGTCTTGGCCAATCATTTGACCAGATGCTGATCTGACCACACCCAGTGGCGCTGCAACAACAGATGTAATGCAGATCAACAACGAGATGGAGTTGTTGCTGCTTTTGCCCGTCCTTCTGCATGTCCGGCAGTCGGTCGATAGCCCTGCAGGTTCGCGGGATGACGTCTGTTGGCGTTGGCTACGGCAAAAGGTTGGCAGATTTCCAAAGAGGGCAGTGTAAGAGAACTGATGAAAATCTTAGTAGGAGTGTAGACCTTGACTCCGAAGGTTGGCCTCCAGGAGGGAAGTGGCCTCTAGGTAGCGACAGTCCCGTCCGTCAATTGTACCTGACTGTTTTACCATCTATGTTTGATGTCGGAGACCAACACCACAGACTAGTAGAACATAGTGGTTCAACAACCAAATGAATTAAACGAGAAAATATTAGGTAAACGGATCGTTTTTAGAGTCCAATATATCTAATCCTATTTGAACCGTCCCTAACCAGTCTTCTTCGCCGCTAGTTATATCGTGACCAGCTTTGGCATACATTCTTCTCGAACTCTCCAACATGTAACTAGTCATAATCATTAGATAGGCTCATCTCTCGGCTCAATGAGAACCTCGTTGACGGCAACGTGCTCAGGCTGGCACACCGCGTACACAATTGAAGAGGCAACGTCCTCGGGGTCCAGAACCTTGGCACCCGTAGGCTCGCCGTACTTCTTGATCGCCTCGGCGTCGGTAGACATGCCTAGCAACTCTGTGGCAGTGTTGCCGGGCTGGATCGAAGTAACACGCAGCCCTGTGCCAGCCGTCTCGAGACGCAAGCTCTGCAAAGTAGCCTCCACAAAGAACTTGCTGGCCGAGTAGACACCCAGACCGGGAAACACCTTACGGCCGGCGTCGGAAGAGATGGCCACAATATGACCCTTTCCGCGGCTTAGCATGCCAGGGACTGTACTCGAGAGGCAGTGCAGGAGACCCTTGCAGTTGACATCAACGGTGCGCTCCCAGTCCTCTGTATGGTTGTTCGCCATCATGGTGAAGTACATGACACCAGCGCAGCTCACGAGGATGTCGACAGGGCCAAGCTTATCGGCTGCCGCTTGCATGAGCGACGCAACATCCTCCTTCTTTGTGACGTCTGTCTTGTGGATAAGGACCTTGCCGCCGGTGCCGGCAAGCTTGGCCTTCACACCTTCTAGGGCTTCTGTGCGCCTCGCAGCAAGGGCGATGTGAGCACCCTCCTTGGCAAGACCAGCTGCAACAGCCGCTCCGATGCCGGAAGAAGCGCCGGTGATAACGGCAACCTTGCCCGCCAACCGGCCCTTGTTGACGCGGGACGTGACACCATTGGCATCTGCGCGGCGCGGAGGTCTTGAAAGCCAGCCTCTGGCGCAGAAGTGACGAGTGTAAGTTTCGAGCAAGTTGGTGTCAATCTTGGGACGGTGGAGGTTGTACAGAGCCAGAGCAGGTGCCGTGGCATCGTCCTTGAGGACAGTAACTGCCTGCAGAGCCTCGGCGGTAGGCATACCACCGCGCAGAATATCTACAGTGAAAGGCACGTCGCCAGCAGTACCGAAGCCTCGCTTCTTGGTCCAGAGCTCGACCCAGTCATCCCACGGCACGCGCGTAGTCGGAAACCCGAGCTCGTTCAGGGTGTCGAAAATGTAGTTGGCGGAAACTGGGTTGGGGTCACCGAGGTGGTAGACAAGTTGCTTAGGGTCGGTGTGGTTGGCAAGAGTTGTAATCGCCGCACTGACAAAGTCGACAGGCGTCATCTCAGCAAACCAACCATCGACATGAGGCGCAGTCTTGAGATGCAACGACTCCACAATCAGGGCATTCAGAAGATCCCAGGCATTGCACGAACCCGTCTTGCTGTGGCCGCTGATCGTACCGGGTCGGTAGACTTTACACGGCATTCCACGACGAGCCGCCTCATAGACTAGCTTCTCAGCCACCCACTTGGTCTGCCCATAGCCGTCAATCAGCTTGTCAGGAACGTCATCAATGTCGACCATGGCATCTTCGGACCAGCCTGCTACAGACGGCGTCAGAACACCGTTCGTGGAAACGTGGTGAAGAGTGGCGCCGCTCTTGGACGCCAGGCGCAAAATCTCCTTGGTACCTCCGACGTTGGGACTTCTCAACGCAGCATAGGGGTACACGAGGTTGACAGTCGCAGCGGCGTGAATAATGACCTCGACACGGGAAGCAATGTCATCGTAAACTTCCGAGGCGAGACCGAGATGCTCACGAGACAGGTTTCCGGGTAAAATCTCCATCCTGTCGAGCAGGGAGTCGTCCCAAATGCCGAGATCGATGAGATTCTTGCGAATTCTAGCCATACCAGCAGGACGCATGTCTTCCGTGGGGTCTGTGAACCGAACGAGGCAGATGATGTGCGCCGAGGTGGTCTCAACGAGGTACTTGAGAAGGAAGGCACCAAGGTATCCAGTCGCACCCGTCAGGAGAACCGTGTCGGCATCGTTGAGACGACGCATTGGAGTACCGTTTGACTGGATGTCCTCCGGCAGAACGGAATCAGCACGGAGAACGGCGGGAAGATCAGCTTGTACAGCCGCAGTGTGGCCATCGCGAGCATCACGAATCGCTTGCAGGTGTCCTTGCAGGGTGGGTGTGCCGGCAAGGGGGGCAAGCGAGACCGGGAATCCAAACTCCTTGGTGAATCGGTTCGCTAGGTCTGCCAGAACGAGGGAGTGGCCTCCAATGTCGAAGAAGTCGTGCTCCTCAGTGATGGCACTGTCGGGCATGTTGAGGGCAGCAGCCCAGAGCTTCTTGATAGTCTCCAGCTTTATCTTCGTGTTCTGTTCCTTCTCGCCGTTGACGGCAAGCTTGGGACTCGGTGGTGGCGGCAGCGCTTTCAAATCGGTCTTGCCGGAAACACCGTGAGTAGGAAGCTGTTCAAGCTCAACCCAGTATGTGGGGATCATGTAAAGGGCAAGATGTTCCCCAAGAACGCGTCTGGCCGCGGGACTGTATCCAGATTCATCGATTACGACATCCGCTCGGCCTCTCTTCTCGTCGTTGTCACGGACAATATAAGCAACGAGTTGTCTCTCGAGGCCCTCTCCGTGGGAGGATACCGCACAGTCACGCACAGCCAGGTGCTTGACAATGGCGTTCTCAACTGCACCGGGCTGAACCGTGTAGCCACGAGTCTTGATCATGCCACCTGCTCTGCCAGTGATCTCCAGAAGGCCAGAGGGCAGCACGCGAGCAAGGTCGCCAGTGCGGTACATGCGGGCTCCTTCCTTCTTGTCGAAAGGGTCCGGATGAAAAGCCTTAGCAGTAGTCTCTGGCAGGTTCAGGTATCCTCTAGCCAGGAGGTCACCGCCAACGTAGAGCTCTCCGCTGACGTTGTTGCCAACTCTGTTACCAGCTTCATCCATGATGTAGATGTGCTCTGGGTCCATAGGTGGGCCAACGGGGCAAACGCGGGCCTCAAAGTCAACAAACGTGCGAATGTCACCAGCAGCGACCTCGTGGGTCTCGCTAGCGCTGTAGACGTTCAGGAGCCTAGTTTCAGGCAAAGCCTTCATGGCTCTGCGGCAGAGATCTGTAGTTACGACCTCGCCGTTCAGCCACAGAGACCGCAACTTGGGCAAGCGCTTGCTCAGGTCAGGGTGACGAGACAGAACAGTTGCCAGCAACGTAGGCGTCATGAGCGTGTCCGTGATCTGTCGAGAGTCAAGCAAGTTGACAAGAGCTGATGGGTCATAACTAGCGCTGTCCGGGACAGCGAAGACGGTTGCTCCGCGCAAAAGGGGGCGAAGCATCTCCCAAACGAAAAACACGTTGCAGGCTACACGATCGCCCGGCTGCAAGTCGCTCAGGCCAAACCTGAGATCGTATGAGAGCACCGCGGCTCTGTGAGGATTGGCAATGCCTTTTGGCTGGCCGGTCGTGCCTGAGGAGTACGACACGAACGCAAGACGCTCCAGGTCGTCGCTAGCGGGTAACGGGGAAAGCTCGCCGTTTGCATGGCCGTTGACTGTCGTCTTACTGGGCTCATCACAGACGATGATTGGCACATCCGCCTTGATGTGATTGACGTGTGCGCTTTGGGTGATGACTACTGTTGGCTTTGCGTCCTGGATGACATCGCGCAAAAGCCCAGAAGGGTACGCGAGCTCAAGCACTAGGAAAGCACCACCCGCGCGAAGAGCAGCCAGAGAAGCAATGACATAGTCTGCACTCCGGCTCATGAGCACGCCAACAAGGCTGTCTCTACCAACTCCATAATGCCGACGCAAACGGTCGGCGAGGGCTTGTGTCTCTTGATCCAATTCTGCATAGGTAAGAGTTCGTGACTCGTCCTCAAGAGCAATGGCATCTGGGGTGGCCTTGGCCTGCTGCTCAAAGAGCGCGGCGAGGTCCTTGGTGATGTCGAGAATAGGCATGGTGACAAAAGTGTGATAAGGGGGTATATGGTAGCCAATTCGTGAGATCGCAGATAAAACCAAAAAAAAGCGGTCACTTCCAAAGGGATGCGATAAGAGAGTTGTGAGGAGGGAAAATACACAGACAATGAAGTCTGGAGAAGAAAAGGCTGTTGTGGTAGGCTTCAAAAAAACCACTTCTAACCTCTTTGATAAAAGTAGCAGGGCCGCAGCTTTAAATCTGGGAAGGAAAGAGGTCACGAGACAAAGTTGCGAGAAGCTCTTCCAACTGGCTACTTAAAGTAGTTGAGGCAAGGAGTGACGCGGAAACGACACAACCAACAGGACGGGAAGGCAAATGTGTGTGTACCTTGCTTGGCTTCAAGTCTCTTCCCGGTTACAATTCCCTCAACAAGTTGAACCGCCGACGAAGCGTACACGTGTAGGGTAGCACATGCAGCACCGACAGCCGTCACGAAGCGATCAATCATCGGTAGGGGATAGACCAGGCCAATCCATCGCACCCACCATCGGGAGGAAACGGCCAATGAGATGCATGGTTGCCAAGTTGACCGATAGTTTAAATGGGTCGAAAGGAAAAAGAAGGCGATAGAAGCCGTCCCAGGTCTAAGGTGAAAGAGTGTGGAAGGTAAGGTTCAGCTCGTATCGGTTTCCGTGTTCTCTATGTGGCTATCAGGAACAAAAGACTGCCCTAGCACCGCTGAAAACGCATTAATCAAGGGTTTGAACTGCTCCAGTTGCGACCCTAAGTAACTAGGCGGCATAGGATGCTTCATTTAGCGAATTCGTACCCAATAATGCGGTGAAGGCACGTCAAGGGGAAAGTCAACGTTGAGACTGCGAGCACATGCCAAAAAATTGTAGAGGCGATATCGGTGACGAAAAAAGTCTAAACCGCGTGGGGGCTGAAGTGGCATTTTAAGCATGAACAAGTGAGAGAGTTGCAGATTGTCATTTAAAGCCAGGCCAGCCCGCGAATTCGATCTGTCCCTGTCAAATGACTCGCCGCATTGCTGCTGACGGCTGTTGAGAGTGCGACAGATACGCCACTAGTACGAATCGGCGGCAAAGTCGGACCGTCATGTGGCTGAGTATCGGCGTGGGGTATCGGTGGCTGGGGTAGTCGGGTCGGCCGCCGCCCCTCCGACACCCGGTCCACACTCATACCCCATTCAGCTCTTCCGTTCTCGTTCCACCAAAAGCGGCAGCCCGGGTACGTACCCATGATCGCACTCTACCTATCGCCACGCGGAACGCCGGCCACGCGCACGCAAGGACCAACCGATGCTCCACCTGCCAGGGCCAAGTCAGGTCAGACAGGGAACAGAGGTACTGCGGTGCCGCGGGATCGTCTGCTTCAGGATCACTGGCTAATGCGGTTCCTGAGCTCTTCCTTGTGCCACAGCGCTGCCATCCATAGGCTGCCCTCCCTCAGTCTGATGTTTCGAAGCCAATGCGTTGACGCCGCTCTCCAGCTGGACGAGAGGCCAGCGAAACGTTCGTTTCACGACCGAGAACCTCGTCACTTCATAGCATCGCATTGATACCACTGCTCTCTGCCTTTCTGGTATGACCTCCCGCTACGCCCCCGATGCCGAGCCTTTTCTTTGCTGACTGATCGTCATGGCGTAGCCCTCCTTAGATTCCATAACGGCTTAGCTCCTCAGATCTCGCCCCTGTCCGGTCGGGGGAATCGTCACAAGTTACCTTACATATCTTGCCTAGCCCCACGTCCATTACCTCCACCATGGTTGACGGAAGACATGAACACGAACCGCTCTTAGCCACCATGGAGCGACAACAGGCCAACGAGCCTGCGAACCGGGCAAACGCCGCGGAGCACCCCGATGCGCCGCTCGAGGATACCGGACGCCGCGAGCTCGAGGTCGATGACGATTCCTCCCCATCGACGCCCCGGTTCATGCAGGACGAAGGGCCATGGAAGCGGTGGAGATGGGTGCCATACCCGGTGCGCCGCATCCTGAAGGCCACCGCGAAGTGGTCAAAGGGCCCGCCGAACCCGCAGGACTACAAGATCAAACCCATACTGCCCCAAATCCAAGAGTTTCCTCTCGTCTTGGTCGATCGATACCTACGAAGCTTCAAACACCGAGTCGGCCTTGTTTTTCTTTACGTCGCTATATGGATCATCGCGTTCGCTTTGGTTAAGAGGAGCGAGACGTTTGCTACAGAGATCGAGGGATGGGGAGCGCCGCAGCAGATTGGATGCGGCGCGACATATTGGGGTCGCGGAAACAACTGCGGCCTCAATGGTGCTGATTGCCGCCCATTCAACGGTAGCGGGTTCCCTTTTAGGTGCTCGGCCAATTGCGCTGGTTACATGGTCCTGAACCCGAGGGCTGTAGGAGATCAGGAGATCGTTTACCAGCCGCTCGTCATCGGCGGACCAGCCGACAACTCTAGTTCGCCCATCTACCGTGGCGATTCGTTCCTCTGCAGTGCCGCCATTCATGCTGGCGTGATCTCCAACGAAAACGGAGGGTGTGGTGTTGTCCGCCTTGTTGGACGACATGAGGGTTTCGTCAGCTCCAGCAGGAATGACATCGACAGCATCAGTTTCGACTCCTATTTCCCGCTATCATTTACGTTTGAACCAGGCATCCAATGCAAAGCACGGGACCTCCGATGGAATCTGTTGGCGGTATCTGTCGTCTTTACGACAGTCCTCTCTCTGTTTACGGCGTCACCCGCGCTCTTTTTCTTCTCCATCTTTACTGGTATATTCTGGCACGTCGGGCTCGCCTCTGACCCGCCGAACCACTACTCCGTCGCCGACCTCGTGTCGAACATTGTTGGCAAATTCCTCCCTGCCATGTTCTGCGCCTGGGTCATGTACGACAAAATGGGTGTCCGGCGGACACTCACTGGTCTTACTGCTCAGATTGAGAAGACAATTTTGTGGCTCGGTGGGTGCTGGGTCGGCGCGCTCAGCAACTACACCTTCAGCTGGATCCCAATTCAGCGGCTCAACGCGCATGATCTGAACCAGCAACCAGGAGCCAAGGCGGCCTTGGCAGCCATTATCATCGTCCTGGTCGTCATCGTTGCTCAGCAGGTGTGGTATTTCAGACAAGAAGGTCGTCTGCTGAAGTATCTCAAGCTCTACCTGCTTTTCCTTGCAGGGATCATTGTCTGCCTCGTCCTACCGGACTTGAGTCTCCGTATTCACCACTACATCCTGGCCCTGCTGTTGCTCCCGGGCACGAGCATGCAAACGAGACCTTCGCTGCTCTACCAAGGACTCCTGGTCGGGCTCTTCATCAACGGCGTCGCTCGGTGGGGTTTCGACGCCGTGTTGCAGACGCCTGCAGCCCTTCAAGGCGACGCACAGCATGGTTCGGTGCTGCCCAACATCTTCCCGCCCGTCATCGACCTGGGCCAGGCCATGTGGAGCATCAACTTCACCTGGAACAGCCCTCCTGAGGGAGCGCGGTACGATGGCATCAGCGTCCTGGTTAACGACGTGGAACGCTTCCGCTCGTACTTTGACGATGGCCCCGTCCCTGCGAAGAGTTTTGTTTGGAACCGTGAGAGTGAACTTGGACTGAACGAGTATTTCCGCTTCGGTTTCATGGAAGGCAGCACGAGTTACGATTTCACTAAAGCTGGCATTTGGAATGCCGAAGGTAGATGGATAGACATGAAGCCGGGCCCTTCCATGATCCGGGCCCGGTCTCTAGGAGATGAGGATGAGTTTGCGCCGCGATGATTGTGGCTTTACAATGAGCCTTTACACTAGACAGACGAGTTGCATATATACATCTTGGGCCTTTTCACTAGGACTTCATCCTTCTGGAAAGTAGCATGGTTTCTCTCATCTCTCCGCAGCAATGCATTATTCTTATTTTTGGTATGATTATGGACGGTAATGTGCGACACGGCCACAAACAAAAAAAGCTAGCTAGTGACATATCCCTTCCATTATATTGAAACCTCTACAGCCACTGATTTACGCACCCTGGCGACGGCGGCAGAGGGGGCGGCCGCGCTCGAGGGTGTTGGGGTCGCAGCTCAGTCTGCTGTCCTCGATGCAGGTCAACGTGGCACCGCCTGTTCAAATGTATTAGTAACAATCATCTCGCACACGGCCTACTACCTTCTCCTCCCCGAGAACTTTCTAAGGAAATTGTGGAAGAGGAGGTATGAGAAACAGACGGAGGAGACTCACAGTTGTTGATGTTATCAGGGACGCAGCGACCGGTCTGGCCGTTGACGTTGCAGACATCCTGCTTCAGACTGGTGTTGGCGACGCAGCAGGCGCCGTTGGGGACGGGGCGGTTGGCGTTGGCGCCCTGACGCTCCATGAGGAGGGTGTTGCGGCGGACGGCGGTCATGGAGGGGTCCTCGACAGCAACAGCGCTCGCCTGAAGAGCGAAGGCGAGGGCGAGGACGGCGGACTGGAGAGTGAACTTCATCTTTTCGGTTTGAATAGAAGGGATGTAGTTGGATTTGAGCGAAAGCTGAATTAAGATGCAAAAAAAAGAGTGTCCGGCCGGCGGGAAAGAAGCAGAAGAGATTGAATGATGCTGTTGGAGATGATGAGGATACTAGACTGACATGGCGAGAAGGAAGTAGTTCTTATATACAGCATCTGGAAACGCGAGATCCGACGAACAGCTCAGCCCCTTGCCTGTCAACCTCAGCACCCACGCCTTCGCAATGTGTCAAGCTTGTACCTCCTGACCAGACCGCAACCCGAACCCACGGCACATAGTCTAAAATGCACAACCAGCAACTCGACACGAAGAGCCCGAGGCCATCGCATTTGATCCTCATGATCACCCAAGGGAAGGGGGAGTTTCGGAAGGGGGGTTACATGGGACGGCTGGGCAAAATTTCAGACCAGATTAGGACGCTATCTGCCAGATCCCTTTTCGCTTGTGTCTAGGGAGGCAGTGGAAGGGGACGGTGGCCTCACGGAGTTGGTCATCGTCTCATGTCCCAAAAGAGCCTTTTTGCAGGCCCCCCCTCCCCCCCTAACCCGAAAGGAGATTAAAGACTAAAGAAACTCAAGCTTGTATGAGACGAACGTGGGTCGAAGAGGCTCTGCGGCCGAACAACGTTAATGCAGAGAGACTTAATATGGCTTAGTTCGAGGGGATTGTTCTGAGATGCGGCGACGATGCGACGGTTTGAGGTGTTGGGCTGTGGGGGAGAAGTGAAACGGCGGGCAGGGGTACCGCGGGTCTGGGACTCAGCGCCACGCCGGTACCGAGGCCCCGACTGGGTTGACGGGGCGCCTAGAGGCATTTGAGGACGAGGCAAGGGAGAGTTTAGAAAAATCATAGGATAGACAATAACAAAAATAAAAAGGTTCTGAGGTTTGGTCTTGGTTGCTTGTGTAAAGCGGTGAAGTGCAATGATTGAGTTGTAGGCTCTGTGTTCGGATGTAGAGAAATCAACAACCGTGCCATCTCGAGGTAGTTTTTCGGTGAATGGAGCAAAAAATATTGATTAGCAAGACAAAACCTGTCAGACAAAGCTTAATATCATGAAGTCGGAAAGATCTGCCGAGACCCCTGCCAGAGGTCAAGAGCATTGTTCCGGTGATCTGTACGACTGATCTACCAAACATTACATCGAGCCAGGCGGCCACCGCCCACTCTTATGATCAACAATGTTGCCATACAGTGAAGATGACTCTCAGCATTAATTTGGAAGGTTTGATCCATTCCCATGAGAGTAGAGTTTAAACTAAAGTGAGGTCCACGTAGGAAGTGAATCATTACCCAGCGAGGCCTCTCCGCCCAAGCTCGAAATTTCATATCCCTATACGTTCTCCAACCGATGGGAAGCCAAGAAGACGATGGATAATAACAGGCAAAGACTTCAAACACGAGAGGCAACAGTTAGTTCAAGACAAAAACTGAAATCTTTGTGTGGCTGTTGTAGAATACTAACGCCTCAGTTGTATTCCACTTTGACCCTCGCCTCACTTGTTTAGACGCCACAAGTTAGGATTCCCAGAATTATGTCATTCATATTGGTTTGAAATTTACAGACACCAGCTTGCGAGCCTCATAGTCCAAGCAAGTTCAATTCCCTACGTCCGTGCTGGACACCATTATCTCAGCCAACCATACATCCCACCTCACTCACTCCTCATCCCCGACGGCGTCCTGAGCAGCCTCGACTGCCTTGCTTGCCGCGCCAGCACCCTTGCCCTTACCGTTACCGCCGTTCTTCTTGCCCTTGGCAGCAGCGCCTTGTCCTCCGCCGACGGCGGCGAGAGACTGGTCGATGACATCTCCCGCCTTGGTCGCCAGCGCGTCGTCCTTCGCCACCTCAGAGGCGGCCGGGTTATCGGTGGAGGCGTTGAACTGCAGGGCGGTTGCGGGCTTGCCGGCGTTGGCGACGTCGTCGGCAATGTTCTTGTTAAGCTTCTTGGTCTCCTCTTCAAGCTTGGCCGTCACGTTCTTGCCCTGCGCCTGCTGGGCCTGCAGACCCATGACCGTGGCCGTGAGCTTGAGGACCTTGTTCTGGATCTTGGCGCGCTATGGTGGACGTGTTAGCTAACATGATTTATATTGGCTGACAGGAGAAAATTGAAGGAACCCAACTAACCTGAAGAGCGAGAGCATCTTCACCCGGAGCCGTAGCGGCAATTTTTACATTATAGGCGCCTCGCTCGGCCTGGTTGGCAATCTTATTGACACCGTCTAGGAAGGCAAGATCGGCCTTGTCTACCGTAGTCAAGTCTGCCGGCAGGCCGCTGAGCTTCGTGAGGGCGTCCTCCTTGGCGGTGCCGGCGTTGCCGCCGCTGATGGAGAGCGCATCAAAGGTCTTGGGCGTGAAGACGGCGCGCTTCTGGACCTTGTTGCCGGACGAAGTGGAGATATCTCGGGAGGGAGCAGCCGAGGCAACGGCGGCAAGAGTGGCGAGGACAATAGAGAACTTCATATTGGTGGTTTTCGGGTTGGTTTTATAAAGAAGGTGTTAATAGAAAGGTGGAGTAATGTGTTTCTAATGAGTGACAGACAGTATGAAAACGGAACAGCACAGCTGTGGAGAAGACGGATATCAGAACACCAGGTTGATGAGGCACTAGAAAGAGAATGAGATGATGAGGATGAGATCCGAGATAGCGAGGGTCTCGGACGATCTTATAGTTCGGTGTGGCCTCACCTACCTATACTATGAATGGGACAGGGACGCCAGAGCAAATATTCATGTCCATGAACCGGAGGGCATGGAACGAACGTTCGGCAGCGCCGCCGGAGGCTCAACTCCCGCCAGTCATGCGACAGTCCCGGAAGGTGAGCTTAGAACGAGCGTGAGAGCGAGGGAGGGCTCGTAGAGCAGATGCGCAAGGTGTTTCAGGGTACGACCATCCGTCCTTGATTAGTCCATCTCATGTGTATAAACATAGAACGGCCCTTCAACTAGACATTAGAAACGTTATGGTACAGTAAGAGTGAGTTTGGAGGCTAGAGATCCCGCAACTACACTCGTAGGTTTGGTGAGATGCCAAGAGCGGCGTTGCCGGGGACCTCCCTACGCAAGACCGGAGCAGAGCCTCAGTGCCCATACCTCACAGCGAGGCACCGTCTTAGATGCCGTCTCATGTTGTTATGACAAGGCGTTAGGATTTGAGAGAGCAAGCGTGAGTCTCGAGTCAGTTTTTGCTCGATTAACAAGCAACACTGTACTGGACTACTGGACAACCAGCCGCCTAGAGAACAGTGTGCTGGGACGACGGGTTCAGTCTTCCGAGAGGAGGGAGGGGTACCGTCGGCGAGGATGGATGAGCTTGGCGAATGTGAAAAGCCAAATTTGAGACGAGTTTTACTGATGTCTTTGACAGCCTGAACCTTGAGAAGAGACGAAAAATCCGACGTCTGTGTGAAGGGAAAGTACGCGGTAGGGTTGGGAGAAAGAAGAGAGTCAGGAGGGCACAAAGGACAGGATGACACAAATGCACAAGCATGCTCGATCCATGGGCCGGCTGCCGACGAACCACACCATTAGCGTGGTCAATTTGGATGAAGTCAGGCCCCAAATTCGACAACGGTTCTATCTCTCCGTAGAGCAGTCAATTACAGATAAATTGTAAGGTTATTGGGATCCGCATATTACACGTTGGTGGGGAGGCTAAAACGTACGGTGGGCTAGCTAGGCGGGAAGAGAAAATTGGTAATACATAAATAAAAAGATCAGCCCTGCGGTGATTGCAGTGGTGTAGAAGGGCAATCTATCACAAACGGCGTTTGAAGCTTGAGTCTGTTGGAGAAAAGTGGGGGCATTTGACATCATGTCACTGAGAGTTCAGAGTTCAAACTCGCCGTGTGAGGAACCGTTTTCCGGGCCCCCACTTGGAGATAACTTCACCTCATCGTACCTACTGCGTAGTAGTCTCATCAGCGCCACTCACTCTCACGCCCATCATTCCGACACCAAGACCCAAGAGTTCGCGCACACTCCCCCCCGTTTACGAGTCATCAGGATCTGTGCTGTTGGGATCTAGCCGAGATTTGCGTAGACGAACACCGAGATCTAGAGCACCCACCCACACCCTATCCGCAATATTCAGATCACATCCAACGCCAAGAAATACATCGACACATTAGCAGTCATGCCTCCTCGAATCCCGACCCCAGATGACTTCGCTCCCATCCAGCCCGTTCTCCCCCTGTCCCTATCCTTCCCAAACCCGCCCGAGTCCACCACCGCAATCCTAGTCCTCTTTCACGGCCTAGGCGATTCCGAGGCCCCCTTCGCCTCCTTCGCCAAAGCAATGTCCCTGCCCGGCGTCCTCTCCATCTCCGTCCGCGGTCCCTCCCCCCTACCCCCGTCCATGCTCCCCGATGACACTCCCTCGTCAGCATCGGCATCCGCCAGTGCCGGAGCAGGCCACTTCCACTGGGGCGACGACATCACCTTTGACCCCTCCACAGACTCAATCTCTCCCGACCCGGGCTTCTCCAAGTCGTACGGCCTCGTCGTCGATCGCCTCATTCGCGAGACCCTCATTGCCCGGTGCGGCTGGGAACTCAGCGACATAATCCTCTTCGGCTTTGGCCAGGGCGGTTCTCTAGCTCTGGGCATCGCCTCGCAGCTCCGCCTCGGGCCCAGAGTCGTCGACGTGACCAACGCGCCCGCGGATAGACCAAAGGGGAATGGCGACGCTCACTTTGACGGAAACACCCTCAAGGGCGTCCTCTCCATCGGCGGGCCCTTGCCGCAGTCCATGGTGCCCACCGTTAGCACGCGCGGCAAGTGCAAGACGAAAGCCTGCCTCGTCCAGCTTGACGATGACGCATTCGACGCCGTCAAAGAAGAGTTTCTCGATGCCAGGCTCGTCAAATGGAAGAGGAAGGACGTGGCTATGCCCCGCGACCGGGAAGAAATGTTTCCCCTGATGAAATTCTTTGCAGAGTGCCTCAAGAGTGGATGGTGAGGTGGAACAGTCACCCAGTTGATGTCAGACAACGATATACATACCGAATATTTGCTGGCTCTTCGTCACTTGGGATGTGATGAGATCGTACACCAACGGCGTTGAAATCTCGCCACCAACGAATCGACATAACAACACGTCACTACAGCTTTAACCACGGCGAAGTCGTTCTCACGGTACTTTACACTTTTCATCGTCAAGACGAAATTCATTATGAAAAAAAATGCTTTTACAAAATACTAGCGGTGGATTATAGAGAGTGACTCTAGGAATCGCAGCTATGGATCATAATCACAAAGGCTGTTGTTGGACCGGTTGCTTCCCACTCTCAATTACTTGCCCCCGTCTACTCCTTGTACGGAAGTGTCGACACTCCCTGTTGCAGACTTCTTGTTAAGTTCTGCTGGGGCTGTTACAGAACGGCCACTGTCTACTAGCTGGTGTGGACTCAGCTTCTTCTTAGGTACCCTGACCGCGGCGCTGGTGTGCATGGCATGTTGCCTCGGCTCGCCTTCGGCAACCTTGATCGCAGGATCATCATGGACGCTGTGGGGAGCAGCGCGCTCTGACCGAGGCACCATCGGATCCCCGCTGAGGGGGTGCGGAGTTGGCTCGCCAGGCATGCCCGCTGTTCGATCGTCATGAACACCGTGGGGGTTCGTTCGAATGCCCACCGGGGCCACGCGGTCTTGGCTGAGCCTGTGATCGTACACGGGATGGGCAACATTGGTAGTCTGGTCACCACTAACCGAGTGTTGCATTGGCTCTTCGGCCACCTTGACAGCGGGATCGTGATGTACGCTGTGAGATGCCGTCCCTTTTGTCACCAGTGTCTTTGGATCTATAACGATTTGATGAGGAGCCAGGCGGCGGGCTACTTGAGTCGTAGGATCGTTGTGGACAGTATGTGGGTGAACCTCTTCGGCAATTCCAAAAAGAGGATCGTTATGTATGGTGTGAGAATGATGCTTCATTCCAACTGGCTTCTTGGGGTCTTGGTTGAGTCGATGAGGTTCAGCAAAGTCAGCCACCGTTACGTGGGGATCTTGAGGGCCCAGAATAGGACTTCGTAGGACATCGGGAGATCTCGCAGGAGTATCTTGACGATTGTGGTCCCGAGGAGGTGGAGACTGGGAACTGGTCCCTGGCTCGACCTTGTCCAACTCGGGGCTTGCCAATATGCCCGGCGGTTCATACCTCCCTGTTGAGTTACCGGACTCTGGCAACTCCACTATCCTAGGCAGGTTTTTGCTCTTCATCTGCATTGACGATTGTGACTTGTATGGGTTGTCTGGCTGGGCCTTGAAGCGGCGGATCTCCTTTGGTGGAGGACCTGGAGAAAAGGGATAGGTTTTGAGGTCCCGACAGATCTTCTCTCGTATTAGGACCTCATTGTGATTGAGCATAAGAGTCCAGAATGGGTGTGCGCAAGCGTTGATATCGTCATCATCCGCACTGCCAGTGATGGCATAGCGATTCCGAATGTCACCGCGTTGATCGCGGAGTGGCTTCTTCCAGTTACATACTATAGCGGTTAGGCGATACTCGCGAGCTCCCACAAAGGCCTAACTTACTCGCAGAGCTCAGGAAACAAGACCAGCAAGGGCTGTTGCAGCCCACGGAAGGTGGGGCCAGGGGATCTTCATCGTAGGCGACTCGTTCGAGTCTCTCCGCAGTGCGGGCGTAGACAATGCAAGGGCAACATGCGGCTTCGTTGGTGATGTGTGGCCTCTGTTTGGCGAGCCACTTGTGCGAACGAACAGTTCCCAGCATACTAGGTCTTTGTTGCACTGTCTCCGTCGAGTTTCGTCCGTTCTTGGCTGGTTTTTCCGTTGTAAGCGATGGTGGAGAAGACATTGTGATAAGAAAAAGGGATGAAATAAATGGCGTTGAAAGTTGAGTCAAAGTAGTGCGATAAAAGATGAGGTTGACGATCCCCAGCAGTCGACTAGTATGGATGATGAGAGAAAGTCCGAGAAAAGCAACAGTTTTACCCAGGGTCCCATATTCGAAGGAGAACACTCAGAACAGACCGCTACTTCTGGGATCGGATGCCTCGTAATAAGGTCTTTCCATAGGTGCTTTCTGCGCACTTGCACTGGGTACGCACTGGGCGAGACGGCACCTTCCATCAAGCTGCTCAGAATTCTCATGCCAGAAGGAGTGGGGATGAAAACAAAGCAAACATCACAGAAGAGCACTGAGGTAAGTATTGGTCGTTCTCTCCCCCCATGAGTTGGGAAACTCAAATCAATGAAAACGACGTCTTAAGGGAGCCCCTGCGTTGCAATAACAGTCTTAGTACCCGACAATGTGACATCAACCGTTCTAATTGCAACAAGCCAGACCAACCGTAGAAGAGCCAACGAGCAGCAATAACCGCCTCATTCCTTTATCCCAACCCACAAATGCGCCGTGACACCGTAACCTCTTGATGAAGGGGGTTTATTCCGATTCTGGTCCAACCTCTGATCTATACTCCAGTATGACTGACGGAAAGCATTCGTCAGTTCGACCTGATTCTCCAGCTCGACCCAAGCATCCTATTCGTCTACAGTGCGCTCCTCTGCGCTCCAGCCATTCGATCCCCGAGAGGCTCCGTTATGTAATGATCTGAGAGTTGCGCTTCTGCTCTTGTTCGACCAACTGTGCAGTGTCAGTGAGAAAAACATTTGACGCTGGTATCGCAAACTTACATTTTGACCTTGCCATCGTCACCGCACGACGCCAATATACATGGGTCTGTTGGGTTCCATGCCACAGCGTTGGTCCGAGGTTGATGTCCTTCGAGCCTCTCTACCGCAGCGCCACCGTTCTTGTGCCAGATAAGAATGTTTCCATCTGTACCCCAGATGTCAGTACGCTGGCAATTGATGTAACCAAAATCGACTCACCTTCACTGCCGCTCACAACGAAGCTTTCGTTGGCGCCTCCGAAGGCGCTGCGAATGATGTACTCGCCTCCAGTGTGGCCGAGGAATTTTTTCACCGACGTCCGGTTTACCAAATCGATTAGTTGAAGCTCTCCATCTTTCTTGTTGAGGAGCAAATGGCGCGAGTCTTCGCTAATGCTCACACACGTCGGCCGAGACTTGACCTCCATCTCGTACTCCAATTCGCGTGTGAAGGCATTGTAAACATGGATCTTCTGCGCATCGTCAACTGCAACGAGCCAGTGGCCATCCGGCGAACCACAAATGTCTTGGACCCTGTGCTTTTTGCCCCATTCGCATAGCATCTCCCCCGAAGTACTCCAGGTGCGCAAGCCGTGGTCCTTGTCCAGGGATCCGGTGATGAATGTCTTGCTATCCGCCGCCCAGACGCAGCCGCTGGCCGGCTCATCGAACCGCTCAAGCTTCAAGATCATCTCTCCGGTCTGTTCCGAGTCAGCATTGTAATCGTACTTACACAGAGGGAATAGTATATACCGCTGTGTCCCAAAGCCGCGCGTACTTGTCCTGCGAGCATGTCACTATCATCGAGTCGTCGGGGCTCCACGACAAGCCACCAACACCCTGAGCATGCGGCCGTAGGACGTGAGAGACGGTGAATGAGGGGAGATCCCAGATGACAACGGCCTCGCCATCTCCGCACGCAGCGAGACGCTGTCCGTCATGCGAAAATACCACCTGCCATACCTCGCCAGTCAGGTCTGTGAGCTCCAGAGCGACTTCTGTAGGAAAATGACTCCGTTCGCAGTAGTGATCTGAGTACAACGACGGTGATGATGCGGTTGTGTGCCAGAGACAGCTGTTAATCTGACTTTGCTTCACTTGTTGCAAAAGTACGGCGAGCCTATTCTCCGGCAGCATGACTGAGGGCGATATACATTCTATAGGGGTAATGAGCACTGCACAAGCATCATTGAGGGACAAGGAATACGTACTGGATAGTTCCGATAACAGAACCTTTCTTGACTGACCGTGAGCTCCATCCCACTCGGCCTTGGCCTTCAAATCTTCCGTAGACTGGCACATGAGAAGACTAGAGAGGAAATGGAGCTTTTGGGTATCTTGATAAAGCGGCGTCAGCTCTGTTCGCAGCACCATCAGAGCCCGGCTGGTATCACGCTGCTCCAACAGCTCGAGGAACTTTTGCTGGCGCAACCAAAATCGCATCACGTTTCGATCGGACCCGGGTGCCAGCACCAGGCCGTTCCCTTGCTGGCCTCGATCGTCGGACATTACGGCTCCGAACAGAAGCTCCTCGGCTTCGCTCCACTCGCCGCCGATCACAGCGTTACGGAAGGCGGCGACAGTTGGACTCTCCAGCTCATAGCCACTGTCCTTGCTGACGCTCTCGGCAGCTCCATGATATCCCATATCGGACAGCGCTTGTATGAGTATCCGCGTAATCTCCTCTCGATCATGTCCAAAATAGGTCGAAGGGACGGATGGCGGCGCTTCCTTTTCGGCACGGGATGAGCCGTTCACGGCGGCGGCTTTGCGAGCACCGTTGCTGGCCGAGGCGGTCACCGGCGCCTCCGTCCTGGCACCGTTTGAATACGTCCTGGACGTTCCATTCGAAGCAACTCCATCGCCGTCTGAAATCATGGCGGTGTCTCCTCTTCTACGTTTGGAGCGATGAGAGGCGGGTCGACTGGCGCCCGCAGACGTCACAGGAGAGTCTCCCCGATCCGAGTCGGAAGTGGCTCGTTGTCTACGGCCCAAGACCTGACGGGGCGCCAAGGGAGATAATATCGCTCCGGGGGCAACCGAGGAATGTTGAGGACTAGTCGGATCGTAGGGGCTCGAGGGTGAGGTATCGTCAGAAGAGGAGGGCCGGGAAGCCGCGGGGCTGGTGGAAAAGCTGTGTTGGAAGATGTCTGAACAGTCGGCGGGGTGGACAGGTGTTGGTCGGTGATGACGGGATGGGAATTGGAATCTGTATTGGAGTTGGTGTCCAGGTCGGCCTTTGTTACCGCGGGAAGGACCCGCGGTTGTTCTCGTAGGTCGATATATTGGGAGTAACGGAGACGCCCAAGTACGTAGGAATGTTGTGGCGAGTGCTTTGTCGCTAGATGTTTGATTACGGGACGGGTTCAGAGAAGGGTCGTTCGTAAGGTCCGGTAGTGTACGGTAGCGCGGGCGGACGGACGTGCGGATGTTCGGTGCGGTAAGGCGAGGCAGGTGAGGTGCGTGAGAGGATCGAAGGTCTGGGAGCCGAACCAAGGTGCGTGGAAGTGGACGTAGGACGTGGAATGGAAGGTGAAGCTTTGAGATTTGGAGTTCGTAGGTGCAGGTTTCGGGACTGCGAGATGGTAGAGGTCATACCTTGAGGTGAGGCAGGAGGTCACCTACTCAGATACATTAGGTAGTCCGGTACCTCTGGCCTTTCGTGGTAGGTCGCTCACTAGCCTGCTAGGTAGGGACCAGTGGCCGGCAGCCACACTGCTGTAGCACTCTGACTGGGCAAGCACTGGGGCCAGCGAGCAAGTAGATGACGGGATGCCGTCTGATTGGGCCTATTGAGGTCCCTCCACACGAGAGGTGGAGACAGATGACCTGCTTACTGGGGGGGGGGTTGGACGGCAGGTTCGCTCGCCGGTGTCTAAGACAGTGAAGCTCACTAACACACCACTACGAATCAGCCCATATGTTGCATATGGAAGAAGGATCCCATCGAAGATGAGCCCCGATAGGTACTGAGGGGTTGGGGGTCACATGCCCCGTAAATGTCTCTCCGTCTACCGTTGGCAAGGTTGGTAAGGTAGGTACGGCAAAGTGTGGAGCAACTCAGCGTTGCTTTGTAGCTTTGGTCAGAACCGGGCACTGAAACCACACCTACCTTACCTACTGTACATGTCGGCGGCGCAGTGGACGCAATCCGCACCTGGTTGCTTGTCGATTAGGTCCTGCTGCAAAACAACAGACAAGTTGCTCTGCTGTGAAAGTGCATCGGCACATTTCATATGTTAAGATGTGGATGAGCCTGCGGTTGCCGCCTAGATCGAGGCTGCATGACGCCGTTGGCCACTAAGATGCAGTTGCCGTTGAACGCATCGCCAGAACTGTCTTGCGTCCAACTCTTTACTGGTCTCTTACCGTGGTTTCCCATTTGGTCCAGACTCTTCACTGACAGACCCTGGTGAAGATGATATGCACTTATCGCAGTATGTTGCTTTTGGCTGCACAAAAGCCACTGGGTGGGAGCAGGAGCATGACGGTCATTAATTGGGAGCGCTTGGAGGGAGAGGGGATCTTAGTGTGGTCCAGTGCAACTGATTCTTCAGTTAGACAATTACCAATATTCTTCTTCGAGTCCTCGAGTTCTCGCACAGAATATCAGTCGTCGTCCATCACGTTCCGCAAACGAGCTCTGATCTCATTTCCAGCTCGGTTAGTGCAATAAGGCAAGTTGCAGCAGCAACCGGCGAACGAAGCCCATCTAGTCCATCGAATTCCATGTATCGCGACAGAAATGTTCAAGGAGTGAAATAAAAATGGCATCATCGTGTAATGCGATGCAATGTTGTCGACACTGTACAGAGACTTACGTGGCTCGAGTGACGTACGCATAGGCACCCATATTCTTCATCCAGCAGTGTCCTACCTGCCTGCTCACCGACACACCCGTTCACGACGCAGTACACTACCGAGCTTGTCGGTACAATTAAGGTGCTGAAGCTGTCCTTGATGTAGATTGGTTGGTCACGTGCGACGACTGCGCCCAAGTGGGAGGTCTCCAAACATCCCACCTGCCCAACGCCCCGCCAATTGCTGCTTGCCCGGTGCGCCAGTGCTGTCGTCGGCAGAGTGACAGGGGCCTACGACACCGGTGGGACCGAACGCATGTGGCTGGTGCGTCAGGGATCCTAGGCACACCCTCAGGGCAGCACTGTATGTAGGCTCTTGACAGACCAGGCCTTTGGGTGCTTGCGACGTCTTTTCCCACCATTCCCAACCTAACCGAACACTTCAAACTTGCAACCTGCTCGACAACCTCGCATCTTTGCTGATATAAATACCCGTCGTCGCCGACAACGCAGGGGGTACCACCACTGAGCTCCATCCGATCCCCGCCGCAAGCTACCGATCGTCCTCGCTTCGAGCCCGACCCCCCTTTCCCGGCTTCTTCCACGTATTGCGATTCAGGAGCCATCTGCGACAGGACACTTGACCACAAAGGAATCTGTCCTCGACTTGGTCCATAACCCCATCCGCCTCACGACCGTATCCCTAAGAGCGCCGGCCGCATCGCAACAATGAGCGCGCCCCAGTCCCTTGCCAGCCAAGGCGGTATCTCGGATCCCGCCTTGATCACGTACGTGATGCCCAACACCCCTTGACCCGTGTCGAAAGCTAACTGTGCGCTGCGCCCCAGGCTCGTTAACAAGCTCCAGGATGTCTTCACAACAGTTGGCGTCACCAACCCCATCGATCTCCCTCAAATAGTCGTCGTTGGCAGTCAGTCCAGCGGTAAGAGTTCCGTCTTGGAGAACATTGTAGGAAGAGACTTGTGAGTGTGGCAACCTCTCCCCTCTGCCCCGCCGTCACATGTTTTCCAGGTTCTTGGGAGCGTCTAACAAGGTTGTATTCTGCAGCTTGCCTCGAGGCTCTGGTATCTGCACCCGCCGACCCCTCGTCCTCCAGCTCATCAACCGCCCCGCGACTTCACAAAACGGCATCGAGGAGGTGGAAAACAGCACTGACAAGGCTGCCAACGCCGACGAATGGGGCGAGTTCCTCCATATCCCGGGCCAGAAGTTCTACGACTTCAACAAGATTCGGGATGAAATCAGCAGAGAAACCGAGGCCAAGGTCGGCCGCAACGCAGGCATCTCGCCCGCCCCTATCAACCTGAGAGTCTACTCCCCGAACGTCCTCACTCTTACCCTGGTCGATTTGCCTGGTCTGACCAGAGTGCCTGTTGGAGACCAGCCTCGAGACATCGAGCGTCAGATCCGCGACATGATCCTCAAGTACATCTCCAAGTCCAACGCCATCATCCTTGCCGTCACTGCTGCCAACATCGACCTGGCCAACTCTGATGGTCTTAAGCTTGCGCGCGAGGTCGACCCCGAGGGTCAGCGAACGATCGGTGTTCTTACAAAGGTGGATCTTATGGACGAGGGCACTGATGTCGTCGATATTTTGGCTGGTCGCATCATTCCCCTGCGGTTGGGATACGTTCCTGTGGTCAACCGCGGCCAGCGTGACATCGACAACAAGAAGCCAATCCAGGCGGCGCTGGAAAACGAGAAGAACTTCTTCGACAACCACAAGGCGTACAGGAACAAGAGCTCCTACTGCGGAACACCCTACCTGGCCAGGAAACTCAACCTTATCCTGATGATGCATATCAAGCAGACATTGCCCGATATCAAGGCCCGCATCTCGAGCTCGCTCCAAAAGTACACGGCCGAATTGGAGAGCTTGGGACCTAGCATGCTGGGCAACAGCGCAAACATTGTGCTCAACATCATCACCGAATTCACCAACGAGTGGCGGACAGTGCTGGATGGCAACAACACGGAGCTCTCGAGCACAGAGTTGTCAGGCGGTGCCAGAATCAGCTTCGTATTCCACGAGCTGTACTCCAACGGTGTGAAGGCTGTGGACCCCTTCGATGTGGTCAAGGACGTTGATATCCGCACCATACTGTACAACTCCTCCGGTTCTTCCCCAGCCCTTTTCGTCGGCACCACTGCCTTCGAGTTGATTGTCAAGCAGCAGATCAAGCGCCTCGAGGACCCCAGTTTGAAATGTGTGTCTCTCGTCTATGACGAGCTGGTGCGCATTCTGTCGCAGCTCCTCGGCAAGACTCTGTACCGCAGGTATCCTTCGCTCAAGGAGAAGGTCCACACCGTGGTCATCAACTTCTTCAAGAAGGCTATGGAGCCTACCAACAAGCTCGTCAGAGATCTGGTCGCCATGGAGGCATGCTACATCAACACTGGTCACCCTGATTTCTTGAACGGCCACCGAGCCATGGCAATGGTCAACGAGCGCTACAATCCTAAGCCCGTCCAGGTCGACCCCAAGACCGGCAAGCCTCTGCCAGGTGGCACTCCTAGAGCGTCCAGCCCGGTTGTGCCAGAGGATTCCGCGAACGGCGGGTTCTTTGGCAGCTTCTTTGCTGCGAAGAACAAGAAGAAGGCAGCCGCCATGGAGGCTCCCCCGCCAACACTCAAGGCCTCGGGAACGCTCTCGGAGCGGGAGAACATTGAGGTTGAAGTCATCAGTACGTCTCCCCTGCATTGTTGTGTAAAATATTCGCTAACACAGACGTGCAGAGCTGCTTATCTCCTCCTACTACAACATCGTGAAGCGTACCATGATCGACATGGTGCCCAAGGCTATCATGCTCACTCTTGTCCAGTAAGTCAAGACCGTGATTGTGGTTGGTAGGCTTCGTGAGCTGACAGAAGTGGCAGATTTACCAAGGACGAGATGCAGAAGGAGCTTTTGGAGAACATGTACCGCACCGACACCTTGGATGACCTGCTCAAGGAGAGCGACTTCACCATCCGTAGAAGAAAGGAGTGCCAGCAAATGGTGGAATCCCTTGGCAAGGCCAGCGAGATCGTTAGCCAGGTCCAGTAAAGACACGATTCGACATATACAACTGCTTCCGAGAAGTACTAGAATTTTGCCCGCTGAGATGCTGGCCGCCCCATGCTTCCGGGGCACAGAAAAGAAAGAGCGCGGCGTTTAGGCAGTGAAATCTTCACATGTATCGTCGGCGGGGTCCCTGGAGGCGTGGAAGGCAGTAGACAGCTGGACAGCGGCAATTGCGGTGATAGTCCTTTAATGAGAGTGGCATACATTTGTTTCTTGAGATAAAGACTGGATCATGATGGCCGAAGATGTTACAACGAGGTGGAGGCAGCAATGAAAACTTAAGTTCTAGTTCTACGGCTCCCTTGCTATCAGTGCGCAGTTCGCCTCGCTTAAAACATTTGTTGGAAGCCTAGATGATCTAGTTAGGTTCACGACGCCCGACGATTTTATCGAGCGTTTAAAGCTGGGTTCGGATGGCCTTTCTGGTAAAGGTTAGTGGGGAGGTCAATGTTCCAATGTGATGAGACATGTGGTGAAGCATGTATCCATGGTTCGAGCTTTCACCAACCTGTTTGCCCTTTGGGCGTTGTTGCCGTTCCCATTGGATCGACCTGGTGTGCATGGAGTCCAGTCCCAAACTGCCAGAACAACGAAGGGCGTCAACGAAGGGCGTCAAAGCGGTATGCTTGTTGAGGTCGCATGAACCATAGGTACGAATGCGACTCCGGATACAGTGGATTTTACGCACTTTGCAACCATTCCGGTACTGAATGCCACACATATGCCTGCCGGGCCTTCACCTCATGGTTCGACGGGCTAGTGCGCAGCGTTGTGTGTTCCACGTCAGTCAGTGCCCCTTTTGCTGGAGCTAGGTGAAACGTTTCCCAGGGAGTGGGAAACATCAGGGTAGCTTCCGCGCTTCCGTGCTCTCCAGACCCCGCTGCATTAAACGGGCAGGAAAGCTTGGAGCTCTTGCAGGGGGGAGGGAAAGAGAAGCTTTGCGCGGGACATTCGGGGGGAGGAGGGGGGAGGAGGGCAGGAGTTTGTGTGTTGGTTGATAAACTCACCGGACCACCCTCTCATCAACAATTGTTTGCTTCCCCGCCGCTTTGTTCCAATTCTATGCAGCTTCCGAATCAAAGCAATCCATCAACTGCAAGAAATCAACTACAAGAGACAACTATTCATCGCATCGAGAAGACGTTTGGGACGACACCGAGAACCTGTTCAAGTTCATCAAAGTAAGCCGCAAACATGAACCCCGTAGACTTCCTCCGCTCCCAGTTCAAGACGCTGCCTTACCCGTCCGAGGACTGCGCGGGCCGCACGGTGATTGTGACGGGCTCCAACGTCGGCCTGGGCCTCGAGGCGGCGCGGCACTTTGTGCGTCTCAACGCTGCGAAGGTGATCCTCGCCGTCCGTAGCACCGACAAGGGCGAGGCGGCCAAGACGGACATTGAGCTGACGACGGGCCGGCGCGGCGTGCTCGAGGTGTGGCCGCTGGACCAGGCGTCGTTCGACAGCGTCAAGGAGTTCGCGGCGCGCGCGGACAAGCTGCCACGGCTGGACTGCGTGGTGCTGAACGCCAGCATCGCGACGGTCAAGAGGGTCGACGCCGAGGGATGGGAGAGCCAGATCACTGTGAATGTGCTGAGCACGTTCTTGTTGAGTATGAAGTTGATGCCGGTGCTGCGGAGAACGGGAAAGACGCACAATGTGACGCCGAAGATTGTCATTGTCGCGTCAGAAGCGAGCCAGATGGTGAGTTTCTACTTTTTCTGATATCTGAGTGGGTGATCAGTGTCTTATCTGAGAACCGCAGGCCAAGTTCCATGAGCGCAACGCCGAGGACATCTACAAGGCACTCAACACCAACAAGAGCCTGAAGGACCGGTACAACACGACCAAGCTGATGCAGGTGATCCTCGCGCGGCAGATGGCCATCGCGGCGGACGCGTCAGGCAAGGGGAGGGTGCAGGTGACGACGCTGAACCCGGGCCTCTGCGCAACGGCGCTGTTCCGCAACATACCGTTCCCCCTGACGATCATCGTCAAGGTCGGGCTGAAGCTGCTGGCCAGGTCGGCCGAGGTCGGCTCGCGGTGTCTGTTGGCGGCGGCGTTCGCGGGTGAGGAAGCCCACGGGCGGTATATGAGCGACTGCGTCGTCACCAAGTTCCCCAAGCTCATGCAAGGGGAAGAAGGAGAGCAGATGCAGGGACGGCTGTGGGAGGAGACAGTGGAGTTGTTGAATGGAGTTGATCCTGGAGTTTCGATGAATCTGTGAGCTGGCTGCGCTGAACGAGATTGATAGGAGGGCGTTTCAATGGGTGCGTTTTCGCGGTTCTTTGCTTAGGGGGAAGGGAAATTGTAAGATACCTTTTGGAATTGGATACTTGCGGTTTTGCTACATCCAGTCCCGTGATGGCTCCGGTTCACAGCAGTGAAGTCTGGGACTATCCAGACGCAGTGGACAAGAGCCAAGAGCAATGAAAGAAGCCCATACCAACCGAAACAACGTCCTCGGCATACCTTGTAAGTGACCTGGTCAGCCTACCAGGTATCTTCGTCCGTGCCTGTGTAACTCCTGCCTGAGGTGGTGATCACCTCCCCCTGCCTCTCTGCGGCCTCACCAGGCAACCATTCAGCCACGGACCTAGGCTACATAGCCAGCAGAAAGATGGACAATTCCGCCTTCGGGCATTTGGTCAATTTGAAACGATACAGAGAAGATGTAAGATCACCCCCATCCCAGAGGTCGTGGGTTCGAGCCAGTATACTAACGTCTTCACAGTAGCATGGCCCCTGCACTAAGGATGACACGCTCAATCAAAGAGAAGCTACCAATTTTTTTGCGCCTTTTCTTTTTCGGGTCTTGTGTGTACTTATAGTGCAAGGCTATGCAATTTTGATGGTGTGGTTATCGATTTGACGCGACCGCGGGAACATGGTGCAAAATTGCCTTGAAGTGCATTGAACAATCGGGGGAGGGGATGAATCTTCCTGATCACCACGATGCAGGCATCCAGTTTTCCCTTTGGCTCCTGCACCATTAAACCCGGGGGGGTTTTTTTTTTTTTAGTAATGTCCACGATAGGCGTGCGATCTTGCCAGCTGTTACAGAGAGCAAGGTAAAACAATCCAAGATAATGACTCCCTGTTTGAACCGGTGTTGGCTTGGTTGCATTCACTCGCCTTGGCCACGCCCAAGTGACATTGCAATGCGGCTGCTTCTGACCGTTGCGGCAACCCTTTCTTAACGAAGCGACTCTTCCTGGGGTAGCTGGGAGAATCGTGACGTGCTAGGCCTGAACATTTACTCCAGTGACAGATGAATGATTCGCTTTACGGGCGTGATGCGTACTCTACACATATCCCAGTGTGTTTCCCGCATCAACAAACATCTCATGATAATCCAATGAAGAATTACGGGTATCTGTTACGCCATAAGCTCATGATATAAGCTGTGATCTTGCCGTTGCACAGATTCTCTGGCGATAGCAATAACAGCAGCTTCTTGCTATTTATCAAGGCACCACGGTGGCTAACCCGTCAAAATGCGACGGGAAAGTGATGTTGAACGTATGTAGTAGCCTTCGTCCTTTTGAGAGGTAGCGCTCAGAAAGGTTAGCGTGGGAAGGACCTGGCGAAAGCCAGCAGGGAGCGGTACCCACTGTTGATAAACTAAGGTTGATTGGTTGACTGAGAATGGTCCATCCCTGTAGTTCTAGGTATATAGGGAACAAAACAAGTTAAGATTTCGCCTTCGGGCATTTGGTCAATTTGAAACGATACAGAGAAGATGTAAGCCCTACCCTAGAGCTCATGAGTTCGAATCCCAGTCGCTGACAACCTCACAGTAGCATGGCCCCTGCACTAAGGATGACACGCTCAATCAAAGAGAAGCTACCAATTTTTTTTGCACTTTTTTCTCTACTCCGTAGAATAGAACATGGCGGTTCGAATGCTACCGTTTGTATTCTTCTGCGACCGTGGGAACATGATACAAAATCACCTTAAATTGTGAGAAGCGGGTGCATCTTTGACAAACATGAGCGGTTTGCCGCAATTGCAGGCACCCGGCCAGTCCTCTCCTCCTTCTCCCTCTCCAGCTCCCACTTCGCGTCACCTCGGTCTAGAAGCCACTGCAATCCGGATGGAGCAACCACTTCACCGTCGGTGACCCCGCACTCTTCTGATGCAGTGCAGGCGAACTGATGCAGCTCTGAATCCCCCCGGTCTCCACAGCAGCTTCGTTCCCCCGCGATGCGAGGTGCATGTCGTTTTTGGTGATGGATTGGGCGGGCGCAGCACCTACAACATCCGTCCACAGGCGCACGCTGCCTCGGCTTTTTGGAGCTTCTCCAACTCTGGCTTTTGCCGGTTACTTTGCTATCATCCGACGACTGTAAGACGACCGTACGCTCTTCTTTTCAAGCGGCCCTTGAGGGGGCTTTTTTTTCCCTCTTCATTTCTCATGTAGATATCTTCATCTAAATACATCTTGATCCCACAGTTTCGATCTCATCGTCACTCATCCTTTCCCTATTGTACTGCATCGCGCTGTGAACCCGCAAACATGGTTGGTCCCCCACCCCTCACAGGCATGAAAGTCCTCGAGTTCGCCGGCCTCGCACCAGGGCCCTTTGCCGGGATGCTCCTCGCCGACGCCGGCGCCTCCGTCCTCCGCATCGACCGCGCCCTCGAAGGCAGCCGCACACCCTTGCCCACAGAGGACATGCTGGCCCGCCACAAGGCCTCCGTCGCCGTGGACCTCAAGTCCCCTGCCGGCCTCGCACTCGTGAAGCGCCTCGCCGCCAAGGCCGACGTGCTCATCGATCCGTTCCGCCCGGGCGTGCTCGAGAAGCTGGGTCTGGGCCCGGAGGCCTTGAGGGAAGTGAACCGGGGCTTGGTGTATGGTCGCATGACAGGCTTCCGGAGGGACGGGCGTTACAAGGATATGGCGGGCCACGACATTAATTACCTGGCCGTCTCGGGCGCGCTGAGCCTGCTCGGCCGCGAGGGTGAGAAGCCGCATCCGCCGTGGAACATCCTCGCCGACTTTGCGGGCGGCGGGGCTATGCTGTTCCAGGGGATCCTGATGGCGCTGCTGGCAAGGGCGGGGAACGGAGGGACGGGGCAGGTGGTCGAGGCGAATATGGTGGACGGGTCCTCGTACCTTGCGACATTCCCGCGGTTCGCGCTCAAGAACCCGTTGGGGGATAACGGGAGGGGAGAAATATTCTGGACGGCGGCTGTCCTTACTACGATACCTACGAGACGAAGGATGGGAAGTATGTGGCGGTCGGGGCGTTGGAGCCCCAGTTCTTCAGAGCGTTGATGAAGGGCCTCGGGCTGGTCGGTAAGGGGTGGGAAGGGAACAGGTTCGACCGGGAGAGGTGGGGTGAGTTGAGGGAGATTCTCACGAATACCTTTAAGAGCCGGACGAGGGGTGAGTGGGAGGCGGTGTTTGACGGCACGGACGCGTGTTGTACGCCCGTGTTGGAGTATCATGAGCTCGAGACGGAGACAGGGAGGGAAGGAGACCAGAGACCGGCCGTTACGCTGGTCGAGACGCCGTGTTTGGCTGTGGATGAGGGCAAGGTGGAAGATGCAAGACGCGGCCAGGGACCCGGCGTTGAAGGAGGAGGGTACGCAGGTGTCCCGCTGACGCCTGGTGAAGGTGGTGAGGAGGCACTCGAGTCGTGGCTCGGGTGGAGGAAGGGGAGAGAGTTTGAGGTTCGAGACGGGGCGTGGGTTCTCAACGAGAGAGCAAAGCTGTAATTGTCAAGTGGATGATGGTTTTGTATATTGTTCGGTGTATGGCGCGGTTCTCTGCCGCAACTGATTCATCTATGACATTGCCCCTTTTTCGGCACCAAGAATCGTCATATCTTTATTTTTGGTAAATGAGGTTGTGTGTTTTAACAAACAGAAAAGTATTGTCTTTGAATGGGAGTGTTAGATGTTGATCCCAGATGTGCAGGGAATTGGAGCTCACGCGTCGTGAACCAAAAGCTTCAGCTTCCGTAGTCAAGTCGGACTTGGCGGTGGGTTCGGTGGTGGCCGAGGGGAGGGAGGATCTGTCCTCGACATGTTCGTCAAAGGATCCAGAGCCGCTACTCTGCGTAACCAAAAACACACAAGCACTGAGCCACCTGTAGACAACGTCAGCCAATTCTCGGATTTGCTTACAGGCCGACCGACGTTATACCTCAATGTGCGGTGCGTGTACGATTGCTTATATGGGCGTCACGCAAAACATTCCTCGAAGAGAGAAGCCGTCATCTTATCCTTTCAAAACCTGTTTTCTCAGGACGAGTTCGTACACAAAACCTCTCATCATCTTTTGCGGGCACTGTCGGCTTCCCATCGTACACTCGTTCCCGTCCGGCGCTGCGCCCTCCCGCTGCCTGACCGCCACTGCTGCCTCCTTCCTTTTTGTTCGGCGATAAAAAAGAGCTGCCGGGCTAATTTGACCGACTACTCACTCTTATGCCGGAACCCGTCCGTTGCATCCCCGTCCCGCCGGATGGAGTGTCACTCAGGGACCGATAGTCCTATTAGCCTTCCCAATTTGTCCCAGCTCGTCGGATCCTGACGGCTCGTCTTCCGAGGAATGTTGAGGTCCTCTCTGGTCTCTTCGCCTATCAGGCGTTGGTGTTACTCGAACGTGGGGAAAGGGGTTGGGTGGTGCTTTTCGGTGCTGTCATCCTGCCTCCCCGGCTCACCGCCATGGTCATGGCAACCGGGGAGCGTAGGAAAAAGAAAGCTGACCCTAGCGACTTTGAGAAGCGACAGAAACGACAGCATACGCAATCGCTTTCATATAGCCTGTTTTAAGATTGTGCCCCTAACCATGTGAAAAAGAATTGAACCCAAGATCGAGTTGCATTGCACCTTGCGACTAGTGATGCAGCAGATTGACACTGAAATATATCGATGGGGCCATACATGAAATTCACTTGCTAGGTTCAGCCATTTGTTTTCTACACCCAAGAGTTCAGACACATTTGCTGTTAATGCGAGTGACCTGTTGTGATACTGTTGCCTAACTCCATTCTCGAACATAGTGGCTGGAGTGTACTGGCGGTTTGCTGCTCGAGGTTTCTGATGAACGCCAGTATTCGACCATAAATTTACATGGCCAGCTGGTTTTCATCTTGTTCGCTACAGAACTCAGGAACGTATATCGATATGTCCCGCTTCCCTCAGAGGACCTTTTTACTTAACGAGGCCGTCTTCGGCCCATAAAGATCCAGTCCTGAACTTATTCCTAACCCGCCTTGATTGGCCTCAAAGTGCCTCCTCTATAGATGTGCATCTTATTGAGTGCAAACTTGAATTTTAGAGAACCTTCTGAACCAGCTCGACTGTGTCAAAGAAGGCCTCCCTCTCGGTATCAACCTTGCTAAGTCCCAACCCCAGAACCAGCGTCCTGCGATCTTCGGGGTCTCTGGTAGAGATGAGACTGGCAATCTGCGCGGCGTAGAGCTGTCCAAGTGTCTCTCTCTCATCACCGCCCCCACCGAGAAGAGTAGTGGGCGTGAGGTGGACCGAAGGGAGCAGTCCCCTGCTGCTTGACGGCAGGCTCAGGTCGACCATGCCGCCTGATGATGCTTGTAGAGGTACTTGGATCTAGCAATAGTAAGTATATCGAGCATCGTTACGCCTATGAGAGAGAAGAAAATGAAAGTGAGATAACATACCCATTGTGAGAGCTTGCCTTCTTGTGAGATTGTCACCATGAACTTGTCAGAAAAGGACACTGAAGTGACTTCTGTTGGAACGCCGTTCACTGTGCCCGCCTCTTGTTTGCTCCGCGCGGGGAACGGCTCTTCTCTGATCCCTTGGGCTTCCATTCTGTAATTAGGGCAGTGCCAGTTTTGTCTTGGATCTTTGAAAATTCAATCTTGTTCTTTGGATGTCGCAAGTTCCTAAAGCTGTGAGATGATATTGTAAGGTGGGATTCACAGGGAGTATGGTAAGTGCAGCGGGTCTGAGTATGCTTCATGGTCTGCCCCACAAAGCGGCCGATGACAGGGGTGCGGATCGCCCCGCACTAGACCGTAAATAGAGCAAACGTTGGCGGTCAGAGCGGCAGAACTTTTTCCACCCAAAAATTTCCAGAAGTTCGCCTGCGGATCTCATCGTCTTTTCAGTTCAAGGTGAGAGAACGTGAGAATCATTTCGTACGTTTCTCCCAATATTGATACCCCTTAAAATGGCAAGTCTTTGTAAAGATTAAAAGTTGTGATTTTACAAATTTTTGTTTGATTTTGATCGATCTATCGATCCCCAGACTTCGCCCAACACTCCAGATCAACTACTCACGACTGTCTTAATCCACCAAGGTTTTCTTGGGTGAGACTGCGTTATCACAACCACGCCTGGGATCAGATATCGCCAGAAAAGCCACCCGTCTACCGAGCAATTGAACTTCATAGGAACAAAGTTTCCAGCCAACCAAGATGCCAAAGTTCGTCCCAAGACAGAGGAAGCACAAGGTGCTTGCCCGAGAGAGGGCCAAGGAGAACGGTGTCATCCCCCAGGACACCAACACGGATGAGATTCTCCCTGAGGATCAGAAGCGCATTCAGGAGAAGAGGGCTCAGCTCAAGGCCGAGTTGCAGGGAGACGGAGCTAAGGTTAGCGGCAAGAAGGCAAAGCGCCTGGAAAAGTACATCACGAACAAGCTCCGCAAAGATGAAAACCGAGAAATCCTCGCCAAACTCGCACAGCAAAAGGTCGACACCAGTCTGTTCTCGAGTACCAAAACTCTCGGCCAGGGCAAGGAGACAAAACGGCAAGCTCTGATTCGTACGCTCAGGGAGAAGAACGCGGGGTTGGATATCGACCCGGATGCGGAGGAGCTTCTTTATGAGGAGAGAGAGGATGCGCCTGAGCAGGATTCCGACGAGAGTGAAGCTGAGGCACCCAAAGCTATCAAGCCAGCACTTAAAACCCAGGCGCCTGGACCGGTGCAAGCAGCAACAACAGCGGCACCGTCATCAACATCAGTATCAACATCAGCATCAGCACCAGCGCCTGTCGCAAAGTCGGAGCCGCAACCACCCGCTCCCGTCGGTTCTGGCTTGAAACGCCCGCTTGATGTCGACGAGGCAGGACGGCCAGTGCTCCGAAAACGCCAAAAGAGGGGTGGTGTGGTTTCTAAGTTCTCTATTTCTGAACCCGAAAAGGCGAAGGATGCAGAGGATGAATGGGGTGGTATCAGCGACGATGAAGGCAAGGATGACCAGGCACCAAGCGACGACGACGAGGCTTCTGAAGAGGAATCCGAAGACTCAAGCGAAGGATCCGAGGAATCAGACGACGACGACGACGACGAAGATGAAGACGACGACGAAGAAGGCGATTCGGGGAGCAACAGACAGTCTGCGTTCAAGGCCTGGGCACATGCTCAAAGGAATCAGGCGTTGGGCTACCAACCAGTAACGCCGTCTTCCACTGCTCTCGATATTCCTAGACCGGAGAACTTTCAACCACGACCTCTTGAGCAGGAACCTTTACCACAGGAACTCCAGCCGACGACAAATCTTGCGCGCAAAGCGTACGCTGTCCAAGTGAATAGGACACCGGAGATTCAAGAAGCGCGCATGAAACTGCCGGTCGTTGCCGAGGAACAGAGAATCATGGAGATGATCCACAATAACGATATTGTGGTTGTCTGCGGTGCCACTGGTTCCGGTAAGACAACTCAGGTGCCGCAGTTCTTGTATGAGGCTGGCTATGGTACTCCTGGCTCTGCCACCCCGGGCATGATCGGTGTCACACAGCCTCGTCGAGTTGCCGCCGTGAGCATGTCTAAGCGTGTTGGACAGGAATTGGGAGATCACTCGGACAGAGTCGGATACCAGATCCGATTTGAGGGCACAACGTCAGCCAAGACAGCCGTTAAGTTCATGACGGACGGTGTGTTGCTGCGGGAGATGGCGCAGGACTTCTCGCTCAAGAAATACTCGGCAATCATCATCGACGAAGCTCACGAGAGAAGCGTCAACACGGATATCCTAGTTGGTATGCTGAGTCGTATCAACAACATCCGCAAGGGTGACGACAAGGTCGACCCTTCAATCAAGCCACTCAAGATCATCATCATGTCTGCAACGTTGAGAGTCGAGGACATGACCAACAACACCACACTATTCCCCACGCCGCCACCTGTGGTCGAGGTTGAAGGACGACAGCATCCCGTCACAATCCACTTTGCCCGGCACACGCAGGCTGACTACGTTGACGAAGCTTTCAACAAGATCATGCGCGGTCACAAGAAGCTGCCGCCAGGTGGCTTCCTAGTTTTCCTCACGGGTCAAAACGAGATTAGACACCTGAGCAAGCGACTGACTGAAGCGTTTGGCGGCTTCACTGGAGCGAGCGCTCCCAAGGTTCAAATCTCAGCCACTGATGCGCCAATCGAGGTTGAAGATATTGACTTTGGCGAGGTGGACGATGCGGATGCTGCCGACTTTGATGACGGACTGGACGAGGATGACGACAACGAGCACGAGGATGACAAGGAATTCGAGATTGAAGGAGAGGAGGGCGAGACGGGGCCCCTGAAGATGCAGGTCTTGCCCCTTTACTCTCTGCTGCCCACCAGGGAACAGATGAGAGTCTTTGATGATCCCCCAGAAAACCACCGTCAAGTCATCCTGGCGACCAACGTCGCAGAAACCAGTTTGACGATCCCGGGCATTCGGTACGTCTTCGACTGTGGCCGTTCCAAGGAACGCCAGTACGACCGCCTTAGCGGAGTACAAACGTACGAGATCGGCTGGATCAGCAAGGCCAGCGCCAGCCAGCGAGCCGGTCGTGCCGGTCGTACAGGTCCAGGTCACTGCTACAGACTCTACTCCTCCGCCGTCTACGAGAGAGACCTACCCGAGTTCACAGACCCCGAGATTCTGCGGATGCCTGTCGACGGAGTCGTGCTCCAGCTCAAGGCCATGAACCTCTCCAACGTCGTCAACTTCCCCTTTCCGACACCGCCGAACCGCATGGGCCTGCACCAGGCGGAGAAGCTCCTTACCTACCTCTCCGCCATTACGCCGGAGGGTCAAATCACGAAGATTGGATCAACCATGTCCATCTTCCCGCTCTCGCCCCGCTTCGCCCGCATTCTCCTTGTCGGCCACCAACACGACTGTCTGCAGTACACAATCATGATGGTCGCAGCGCTCTCTGCAGCCGAGATCTTCGTCCCAGAACACCAAGCGATCCCCTCGCTCGCGGCGCGCGACGAGTCCGAGTTCCGCTCCAACGCCGACGTCATCGCCGAAGACCGCCAGGCCAACATCCGACGCCTGTTCAACGCCGCGCACAAGAACTTTTGCTACCTGGACGACCGGTCAGACGCCATCAAGCTGCTCCAGGTCGTCGGTGAGTACGCGCACGACCCGACCGAGAAGTGGTGCGAGGATCACTTTGTGCGGTTCAAGGTCATGAAGGAAATCACGCAGCTGCGCCAGCAGATCACCGAGCTCCTTCGGGCCAACATCCCGGCGTTCAAGAACCTCAAGTACCAGGACCGGCTGGATGCGCCCTCGGACAAGCAGGTCGCTTATCTCAAGCAGATGGTGGCTGCGGGCTTCATCGACCACGTCGCCCTCCGCGCCGACAAGTCTCCGGTACCGCCCGAGTTGGCGCGCAAGCCCCGCCGCGCCATTGACGTGCCGTACATACCGCTCGTGCCGCTCGGCGTGGGCCACGACGCGGAGAAGTTCGTCTATATCCACCCGACCTCGCCGCTCTCCCACCTCAGCCCGCAAGAGTGCCCCGAGTTTGTGGTGTACTCGCACCTGCAACGGGCGACGCAGGGCGCGGACCCGAACAAGGCACCCAAGACGAGGATGCAGTCGCTGACGGACGTCACGGGCGGGCAGCTAGCCAGCTTGGCCAAGGGGACGCCGCTGGTGAGCTACGGCAAGCCGGTGAAGGAGATTTCTTCGACGGCGAACACACGTGAGGTCTGGGTTGTGCCGTATCTGAGGGCCGAGGGCGTCGGTGGCCAGGGATGGCCATTGCCGATGAAGAAGGTTACGCAGCGCAAGGTTGCTGGAAAAGGATGGGTCGTTGAATAACATGGGAAAATAAAAGTTATTGTAGGCATATTCAGGTTTAGGGAATAGAGGCAAAGCATTCTGTTCTACTTGTGCTGTTCAAGATGTCTCGATATGTTCTTTTCGACCGATCTAGAAAGGGGTAAGCAAGCATCACAATACTGACACACCAAGCACTACATAATCAATACGGACGCAGATTCTTCTCGGCCAATGAATCAGCACCGCACAGATTTCATCAGAACGAAGACGCGTCGTGCTTGGTGGCTCGGATGCCACGGTACGCACGATGGCAGAAAACCACAACCAGCCGCGCAAATTATCAAAAAAAGTGAGTTCAAACACTCGCAGTCTGGACACGTGGAGAACAGGCAGATCGGTCCAATCTTAAATGTCGCGAGCTTTTTCTTCAGACTCAAGATGAGCCATGTGTTCTTTTTCCGTTTCCTTGCTCGCTTTCCGAGTCGTTCGGGGAGAAAGTCGGCGACCCGGGCTTTGAACAATACGCGGCACCAGGGCAAAACTTGAGACGAGATGATGCATCTCCTCAGCTACGGGCCCGAGCGAAACTTTCACGCGCCGTTGGCCATGCTTTCGAGAAGGTCTTTTTCCGTCTGGCCGTGCTCTATCGGTTGTCCTTATTCGTTAGAGCCTGGCTGCGAAAGGAAGGAAGAGGAAAAGGTCTGAAAGGTTCAAGGCAAGCTTTCGCCGAGCTTACCACACCAAATTTTTACTTTCTTACTCTTTTATCTCGTCATCTGCCAAACCACATTCTCGGTTTCTTGAAGTGGTTGCTTACTACCGAGACTATTGCAGCAATACATCACGGATCGTCATTCCTGCAGATATCCCGAGCCTGGTCCTACCCCCCGGGCGCTGGTTCAGATATCCGATGATCTTGCAGCAGCAACAGTCTGCTTTGGAAACCAACGAAGCTCTCATCAACGAATGTCTGAGTGCCCTGCGTGCCATCGACATGAAGGTATCGCTCTTCTCTGGAGTCGCCGTCGTCACGGGCGCTGCTTCTGGTGGGGTTCACTCCATTCCTGTTGTTTCGCGATGCCAACCATCATCAAACCTGGCTTTGAGGCGTATTCAAATATGAATACTATGACTGACAATCACAGGAATCGGCCGCCAGGTCGCCATCTCCTTCGCACGTGAGGGGTGCAAGCGTATCGCCCTCCTCGACAGAGACGAGGACGGCGCCCTCGAGACTGCCCGCATGTGTCGCGAAGCCAATGGCGAAACGCGCACTTTTGTCATGGAGATTGACAACCGCAATGATGAGGACGTGTTGGCGTGCATGGAGAATGTGGTCGAGGAATGGGGGCGCATCGACTACGCCGTCAACTGTGCTGGTGAGTGTCTTCAAAAACCAAGTCGCAGAAGACGAGGGGCCAAGGCCCTGGGTTAGATGTAGGTGGAAAGCTCACAGATTGCGATAGGAATGTTCGGTCCGATGGCGCCGTCACACCTCTTGACGCCAGCAGAGTTTGACGAGATCACGACAACGAACTACCGCGGGACCTGGCTGTGCTCCCGCGCCGAGCTGACTCACATGATAAAGCAAGAGCCCATGAAGACACACGACGGTAGGCCTGGAAACAGGGGTGTCATCGTCAACGTTGCGAGCAACCTGAGTTTGGTCAGCCGGCCGGAAACCCGTGAGTTGACCACGGCCCCTGTCGTGGAAGATGTTTCAGACTGAGCCCCCTCTTAGCGGCCTATAGTGCTTCCAAAGCAGCTATTCTGAGTATGACAAGAAGCGATGCTGTTGATGTGAGCCCGAACGTTGAGTAGACTGTTGAGTATGGCACTGATGAGGAGCAGTATTCGAAATACAACATCCGTGTCAACTGCGTCTGCCCCGGGGTCATCGAGTAAGTCTTTAGGTCAACTGCCACAAGATATCAAAGTTGACCGACGAACCAGCACGCCAATGACCAGCGAGGTCACGCCAGATGACCCTATCATCGCCGTTGCACCAATGAAGCGGAAGGGGACGCCGCAGGAAGTCGCCGACGCTGTCTTGTTCCTCTGCAGCTCCAAAGCGACCTTCATCCAGGGTGCCGCGTTATCTGTCGACGGAGGGTACGTTATTAATTAAGCCTACTTGGCGCACATAAAATGAGAGCAACCGGTCAAAGATGGAACCGAAAGTAAAACGTTTGGGTCGTAGAAAGTCATCCGCGTTGAAAAGCATGGGTGAAGAGATGAGATATCTCTGCAGAGGCCGAGTTTGCCGTTCTTAGAGCGATCTGGACGGAATTGCTTTTTCGAGGTTAATGGAGACGAAGCATTAGGCGTGGATATTTTTGTTTGAATATGATGACGATTTAGCTTTTCATCGAGATTTTGATGGTGTAAGGTGAGCGCTCATGTTTTCCAGATACGCACTGTGGCGGATGCGTTGTTCATCATCTATGGCTCACATGTAAGACAATCATCATACACAATACAATGGCTAAGTTGATAAGCCAAGAGACAGATGAGATAGAAACCACGTTAGTCTCAACCATATAGTCCATGAAAATGTGACTAGTGGTGTAAGTCGACCGCATACCGTATGCTACATAAGCAACTTACAAAGTGCCCGAAAAGTCTCCATGATCCACCGCGCTCCAAGACTATATCTATACATGGCGTTCCAAATGGCGCCGATTTCATCTCATTAACATTCATCTGTAACTAGAGATAAAGCATTAATTTGGGTCATGGAATCAAAAAAGAAGATGCTCGTCATTGGCGCAACAGGCCGCACCGGCAGCGCAACCATCTCAGCCCTCACCACCCTACCGAACCCCCCCAAGATCCTCGCTCTCACCCGGTCCCCATCGTCTCCCAAATCGAAATCTCTCCTCGCATCAGCCTCGTCCTCTGTCACCCTCGTCGAAGGAACCCCCGAAGACCCAAACCCAATCTTCGCCACCCACAGCCCCATCTCCGCAATCTACCTCGTCACCGTGCCGCCAGCCGACGAAGCCCAAGCCATCCCCCTCATCGACGCCGCCATCGCACACTCCGTCCCGCACATAGTCTTCTCCAGCGTCGACCGCGGCGGCGATGCCGCGTCGTGGGAGAACCCGACCGCCGTGCCGCACTTTGCGGCGAAGCATCGTGTCGAGCTGCACCTCCGCGACAAGACTCGCGGCACCGCCACGCGGTGGACCATCTTGCGGCCGACGGGGTTCATGGAAAACTACGTGCCCTCGGCGGGGCTGATGGGCTCCGTCATGGGCGGGCTATGGGCGACTATGCCGAGGGATCGAAAGATGCAGCTGATCAGCGCACGCGACATCGGCCTGCTCGCGGCGAGGGCACTGGTGGACGGCCCCGAGGAGGGGTGGGCGGACAGGACGCTAGGGCTCGCGGGAGATGAGATCAGCTTCGCCGAGGCGGAAGAGGCTTTTCAGCGGGTTGTTGGGAGGGCGATGCCGCGGACTTGGGGTGGTGTGGGGAGCGTTATGAGGTGGGCTTTTGAGGATGCCGGGCGGAGCATGGAGTGGTTCGAGGAGGAGGGTTACAAGGCTGACATTGGAAAGCTAAGGGGGATGGAACCGAGGTTGCAGACTTGGGAGAGGTGGCTGAGGGAGAGTAGTGGGTGGGTAGAGTGACGAGGACGATGAATGAAGATGGGCTGATAGGACAATACCCAACGAATTTATAGAGAATCAGCAAAAAAGCACGCCTTCACCAAGCATGAAACCAGCGCCAAGAACGTGAGCGCATGGCTTTCCTACACAAAAGGGGGTATCATTTTTTAAAGCAAACGCCATGGGCCAAATCTAACCCATTTCCCTATTTACACATCCGCTTCCCCCTCATGAAGACGGGCCCGGAGTGGTCGCCGGTGTCGCAATCTTGCTCTTCTTCCTCTTAGGCTTCGGCACGGTAGGCGTCTTGGGACTCTTGCTCTCCTTCCCGTCCTTCTTCGCCTCCTCCGCCAGCTTCGTGTTGACAACCGGCTTCGGCGGCTGCTGTGCCTGGGTCGTCGGGGGCGGCGGCGGCGCGATCTTGTCCTTGCGCCCCGTGCTCGCAAAGTGAAAGTCGCCGGGCCGGCCCGTGATAGGGTTCTCGTCAAAGTAGTCGCCGCCGTGGCGCATGTGGATCGAGAACGACTCTTCGGCGAGCCTGTCGAGCGCGTTCTTGGTGGAGTCCTTCTTGGCGGCGATGGCGGACTTGGCTGCTGCTGTGGTGGTGCCGTTCGTGGCGGTACCATCGGGCATGGGGGTATCGCCGCCCTCCTTGGAAGCAGTTGCGCGAGAGAGGGCCGAGGGGGGTGTGGGCTGGATATAGACGTGGCCTAGGGAGGGCGTCCACTTGCGCACGCTTTCTGTTGCGGGGAGGACCTTTCGCATCGCTTCGGCGATCGATTCCTAGTTTTCATTAGCCTCAATCCAGTCCCAATGGGTATCCCATTGCTCGGGACTATCATGAACCTACGATCCTCGAGCTGAGAATGTCACCCAATGTCGGTGCCTGGTAGATGTTCTCCCCAACGACGAAATAGTACGCCAATGGCCTCGTCTCCATACGGTTCCGGTCGACGTTCTTCTGCCTCGTCTGCTTGACAATCGTCCACACGCCCGTTCCCGTGACCATGTCGGCGGGCGCGTGCAGCACGCGGAACTCGAGGCCGCTCATCTTGTCGAGCTCGCCCTCAAAGGCCTCGCGCGTCGCCAGGTTCTTGAGCAATGCCGGGTTGAACATGGCCTGGTTCGTGATGACGGCGTTGTTTGACTGGCGGTCAAAGAAGGGCGACTCGGCGAAGTAGAAGAGCACACTATTGGAGTGAATGCCCTGCATCGAGGCCGCGATCTCGGGCGCGCGCCATTGGATCTCGTCCAGGGGTGGGTCGTTCGGGTTGGCCATTTTGGCGGTGAAGTGGTGATGTGGTGGTTTCGTGGAGAGGCTATCGAGGGTTGCGGACGGTCCGTCCGGGTGTGGGTGGACGTTGCGAAGGCGGATTGCGGAGCTTTGCTGAGCCGCAAGTGAACCGAGAAGCTATCCAACCTTTGTATCGTGGGGCTGGAGCTTGTTTAAACTACAGGGAGTCTCGGGTGTTCGACAGGGGTCTCTAGCGGGGCCGGATGGTATCACGTGATTCAATTGCCTGCCGAACCAACCTCCAGTCAGCGATCCTATCTTGAACTGCGACAGACATCATCAATTACTCCAACCACAACGAACCCGAAAAACGAGGCCTCGTTTCATTCAACCTGAAAAATCAATCCGAAGTACCGAAACGAACACGGTAAAGCGAAGAAAAAAAGAAAAAGGGGCAATTCAATTCCACAATGGACCTCCTTTCGAGCGTCCGCAAATCCGGCTCCCGCGGCGGCGTCAACTTCAGCTGGGACGAGGTCGCCAACTCGTCGCACCGCGAGAACTACCTCGGTCACAGTCTCAAGGCCCCCGTCGGCCGCTGGCAAAAGGGCCGCGACCTCAACTGGTACGCCAAGGCGGACGACGCCGCCGGCGCGCGGGAGGGCGAGACAGAGCAGGAGCGGCAGGAGCGCGAGCGCAAGGAGGAGATGCGCAAGATCAAGGAGGCCGAGGAGGACGAGCTCGCGCGCGCGCTGGGGCTGCCGGTGCCACAGCGGGACACTTCGGGCGCGAATGCCGTGGAGGTCAGCGGGGTCAGGGGCATTGGAGCTGCCGCTGCGGCGGACGAGAAGCCTGCCGAAGAGGAAAAGGGCGGGCTTGTCGTTTCGGAGAAGAGGGAGCGGAGGGATCGCGACGAGGAGAGGAGGAGGAGGAGACACAGGAGTCGCAGTCGCAGTCCGAGACGGGAGAGGCGGCGGGATGGGGAGAGGAGACGGAGCCGCGAGAGGGAGCACGGCGGGGAAGAGAGGCGTAGGAGGGGCGAAGGACGGGAGCACGACCGCGCGCGTGGGGGTCGTGATGAGGTGCGGGAGAGACGGCATCATCGCCGGCCGAGGAGTCGCAGTCACGAGCGTGAGCCGAGGGAGCATCATCGGCGGAGCAGGAGTCGCGAGGGACATGGACCGCGGTCAAAGGATCGTCGGCGTAGCCCGGATGAGCGCCGTCGGTGAGTGCTGGGAGCTTGTACGAAAACTAGAATGATACCCAGGGCCAGTCTGGTGCGCTGTCCGAATAGTCACAATACACACACACACACACACACAAACACACACACACACACACACGCACACACACACACACATATATACACCAACAAAATTATATGATTAGGATTGAGCAAGAAAAAAAAGTAAACGAGTACAATGTGTGATGGGCTATCCTCATGAAGCAAGGTATGCAAAAGAATGAGAAGGCATAAAGTCAAGAATGGCAAAAAGCAAAAGCTCAGGGGCGGGATTGAACCCGTACCCTACGAAATCCTCCATCAGCAAACTTCTTTGGATTCCATCACCAAGTTCACACTAACGATCCAGGGCGTTATACCTCTGGGCCAACTGGTCCTTCATTGGGCTTGGTTGGAAGGAACGGAGATGTTGAATATAACACCATTAGCGCTGGGGATAATATAAACATCTGACGTCATTGCAGCCGCTCATGATACTCGGGATGAAATCCGGCTACCTCACTATATGCTCCTCTTTTGTTCTGCCGCAATCTCGTTTCCCGTAACAATGGCAAGTTGCTCCTGGCACGAAGGCGTCGGGTAAACAGTGGTCTTTCTCCTTGTACCGCCCTTTAATCTGAACGCCGACCCCAAACTCCAATGTCCTTATTTACAGTCCCAACTCTTGAAGACAGCTTACGCGCTGAACGATGTTACATAGTACTGTCGGTAGTCAGCATGTTTTCTGGCATCGGTGCCAGTGAATTCTTACAGTGAGAACGGCATCGTCCGCCGAAGCGTCATCGTACTGTGGCACATAGACATATAGTATCAAGGCATGGTCATCCGCAAAAGCCGCGACGACCCTCCCTTCTAACCTCCCCACGCTCAACACCCGACTCCAGTCTTTACCGTCAACCCTCACCGTCGCCCATTTGTCCGGTCCGGCCTCTTTGAACTTCACACTCGGGTGCTCCTCGACCGGCATCTCCAGCTGCGTCGGGTCCAGCTCTGGGTTCACCAGCCCCGACCACGTGCTCGAGACGTCGACGGCTTCCGTGGCGATGCGCAACTTCAGGTTTCCAAACATGTTGGCACTAAGCTCCAGCTTGGGGCTCACGCGAGAGTTTGCGCCGGACGACAGCGCGAGCTTGGTGAAGCGGTCAGAAATGGCCTTGAGCTGGAGCAGGGGTGGCATCGTGATGTGCACATCCGTTTCGCGCACCGTGGGCTGCATGATGGTCTCTACCGTCTCCGGGTGTAGTACGCGCACAGGGATGTCCTGGGTGATGATCTTCTCGCGCTCGCGGCGCAGAGAAGTCTCTAGATGCTCCGCGGCGAAGCCCTGGTCATCATCGTCGAAGGGATCGTTCTCGAGGCCAGCGTAGGCGGCGTTGCCGCGGCCGGGCAGTCCTGCGCCTGCGGAGGCGTGGGTCGTCGTTGTGATTGTCATGGAGAGCACAGGGATCCCGTCCTTCTTGGTGAGACGCAGCGAAGCCGAGGTGCTGTTGAGTGCGGAGCGGAGGGCGCGCTGGAGGGGTTGCAGGGGTAGCTCTAGGTTGATGGTGTTGTGCTCCTCGGCGGACTGGATATGATAGCTGTCGAAGATGAAGTCCATGGGCAGGGAGCTAGCATCGTTCAGCTGCTTTCCTTTGTGTTGAAGTTAGACGGGGTCAATCTTACGACCAGACCTGAGATCCCGTATCGGGGATGACGGTGAAGCGTGCTGTTTCATCGTCGAGGCGAACCCATGCGATCTTCTCGAGTGAGTTGAGAGCGGCAGTAAGCTCTGCCGGCAGAAGGATGACAAGAGTCAGTGGTGCGAAGCGGTCGTGAAGTGGGAAAGCAGGGGGTGTGTTTGGGTAGGCACGCACTGGAGAAGGTACGAATGTTTTTGAGCTCCGTCTTGAATCGCATCTTAAAATCTCGATCGCGCGGGCACGCAATGCCGTCCGACTAGCACAGGAAAACCAGCTGATGGATAATCAGGGTAAGGAATCTCCTGGAGGCAGTCAGACACAAAGCTAAGGTAGTTGCCTCTTTCGGTGCAGACGCGTAAAGTGGGATGAGAAGCGAACGCGCGATCTTGCACCCAATAAAAAAAGTCTCCGTGGTATGTGCAGCTACTGCGGGAACATAGAAAGTAAAGCAACTGCGTGGTGCTGCCACCGGCAAGGAAAGGGCGTTCTGGGAAAAGGTGCGCGGATGCCTGCCAGCCACGCTACGATGCTGCAGAGACGGCAGCTCTTTAGCGCGGGGTATCCCCCTGTTTAGCGTGACCAGATCAGGAAACCTCACCTCATTCACAGTTCGCGCCTACCCCGCCATCACCTGAGGCGCGCATGAAAAGGGCCTGGCCATCCATCCTCCAGTTGGTCACAAGGAATGATACCGAGCCGCTTCACCTTGCCTCCCCCTCTCACTCCCTGAACTGCTTTGGGATCCGATAGTGAGGGTAGCACAGAAGGCGGCAAGATAGAGGCCGGTGAGTGTATTGACTGATGAGGGTGTCGTTTGGGTGTGGGGAGGAATGGTCTGGACTGTGTTCAGTCACGGCAAGCCTGACATGAGCTGACATTATTCAAACGAGGCGGTTCTTCAGACATTGTCTATTATAGTGGCCGATCGCAGAAAGAAGCCGCAGCAGTAATGATGATGATGATGGAAAAAAAACTTTTCTCATAAACAGTAAGTCTTTGCGGATATGGACAAATGAAATCCGTCAGCTATACCACCTGCTGTATCTTATAGTCTCAAGAGGCGTCACCAAAGTCATCGCGCTCCTATCCAAAAACCTCCGCCTTCGGCCTGCTCAGCCAGCCTGCTTCTGTGAACCGCGGTCGATGAAGAACCATCCAGGCCCAGCTCATCATAATGCCAACTGTTTCATCCGCTGAAATGCCATGTTTCTTTCCCAGAATCGATTTCTTCAAATGTGTTGCGGCCGAGCTCCTCCCTTTGTCTGACCCCCCGCTTTCTTTTTGTGGCGCTCCGTGTGTTCACCCTCATCGCCATGGAAATCGCCATGGAAAACGGTTGCTATTTCTTGGGCGATTTCGACGCAGAAGCTTTCCGATCTTCTTGCAAGAAGTGCTCCGTCCACTTCTTCCTCCACACTTCGCGGTCCTCCCACGGTTCCTTCGTCGGCGCCTCCTCCTGCTCCTTGGGCACCTCCGCCGGGATGGAAGCCATGTTGTGGTCGAGCGAGTGAATGAGGGAGTTGAGCCGCGGCAGGAGTTGGCCGCGGAAGTATTTCGACGCCTTGCGTGACCGTTGGAGTTGAGTATGGCATATTTCGCACGGCATCCAGCCCCAGTACATGTAGTTGCGCGTAGGCTTCATCGTCGGCACCACGGGGTGTCCGCAGTCGCACCGCATGCTCACCCGACACCACGGGCAGTGCGGCTCATCGACGCTGGCGACGCCGAGCCAGTGTTGTATACAGTCCCCGCCGAAGCGGTGGCCGCAGGGCAGGTATCGCCAGACCTCCCGGTCGCCCTCCTCCTTCACTTCGCCGACCTTTTCGTAGCATATCGCACAGCAGGTGTCGTCGGCAGCGGGGTTGGACGCCATCTCCTGCTTCCGCATAACAGACTTGAGAATATTCATGGTCGCCAGCGGCAAAGGGAAACGGAACTCGCTATATGAAATCGGCGATACCGGGCGTCAAAGATCTCTAGGGCAACGAGTTCGGGACTTAATCGAGTCCTTTGTTGCTAATCAAGCGGCAGGCGATCGGTGGTGAACAAAGAAACGAGGAGCTTGACAAAGAGGGAAATGGCAGCAACCCAGACAGTAAGTCACATCGGCTTTAGCAAAAGCTAATCGTGCCTTGCAGATGGCACGACATTGACCTCGCTGTTGGACCGTTCCGAATCCTCAACCGGGAAGGCCATGTTACCTTTTCCAAAAGGCATGGCGCACGGAGCCATACCTTGAGCAAAAGGTGTGTATCCGGCTCGCTGGGCTATGCCTGACATGTGCGCTGGCAGCGTTTAGTCTGACCTTGAGGAACATGCACCGAGCATTGGCTGGAGTCGCGTGACGCTTGTCAGAAGGAATGCAGGCCCCTCCAAGAAGGGAAGAGTCTCGGTATTGCTGACCTCCATCCGCCATTCATCCCACTCCCTCTCTCTCTCTCTCAGCTTAGAGAGCGAGATACAAGGAGTCTGGTAGACCAGCAAAGGTAGGCGACGCCGTCCCCGATGGCAAATGCGAAGAAACACGAAGCAGCCTAGCCGGGCAAGGTGTATAGATATGCAGAATGGAAACACAGGCGCCTGAGCGGCGGTTGTTTCGGACATGTGGTTGCGCCTGGCCTGATTCCGTCCCTCCAGGCCAAACACAACAGAAATGGAGCAAGGCACGCGAGAAAAAGTGAGGCAGCGTGGGAGGCGGCATAAGGTTCGGCTGATGTTGATGCCAGCATTGAGTTGTATGCAAATCTTGGCCATCCTGTCGCCACTTACCCACTCTCCAAACCATGTTGACCAGCAATGCGAAAGAGGGGCAGAAAGGGAGAAGTTGGACGAGGGAACGATTCGGATCGCTTTCATGAATGCTGCCCTGTAGCCGCGGATTCCGAAAGAGGGATCGAGGCTAGACTTCGGTGACAGGCCAACCAACTAGATCGGTCAAACTAGCCGAAAGGCCAACCAACTCGTTTGTCTGGGACCACCACGTCGCATGTAGGGCGGAAGAAACGGGCTCTGTGCGGGAACAATGTGTGCCTGACGGGATTCAGCCGAATGTTTCATGGATTGGTGGGAGACCGAGCTAGGCATCCGGTACACGGAAGACGAGGCTGAGGTGAGTATTAAGATTGATGCTATCGCCTATTACCAGCTCCATCATCTTCATCGTCACTATCGTCTCTGAAGCCCTCTTCCAGGCTAGCGGGGAGGATGTGTTAGCTCCAAGACCACATGGCATGTGAGAGGTAGGTGGGGGCTCAGTTGACTTACTCTCTGCTCAACCGTCTCGTGCTGTCGTGCCTGTCTCGCCGAGCATTTTCTGTGAGGGCTCTCCGGGTATCTTCCCCTACTTCTCCAAGCTCCTCTCCATCTTCTGACATGAAGCCATCCTCGGAAGCGTCGGTCGCGACAACGAGACGTTCGTGAGCGTTCCGCCTCCAAGTGCTAGGCACCATTAGTCTCGCGATGCCATTCTGCACGCGATGCCGTAATGATACAGTCGAGGTCGATATGGTGTCGATGGGGAGGTATTGGCTATAGCGACTGCGCCATTTGCGCCAGAGCGGTAGGAGAATGTAAGTCGATACGAGGAACAGGAGGAGGGAGATGATGGCCGGCACGATCAGGGTCTAGATTGCGAAGAGGCGTGGTCAGCTCACAGAACAAGACGACAATCGAGAAGCGGGACGCGTAGACGAGAACGGGAGGCGCACCCTGACGACTGACATCGTGGCCCCATGATGGGGCTGGTGTTGATGTTGAGGGAACAGATTTATCAAATCCTCAGGTCGGAGGTAGACTCGGCTCTCCAGAAAACTGGGCTGCGCTGAACGGAGCGGCGCGACAACTATCAGCAGGCTTACCTGAAGGCTGCCGCTGGCGAGCGCGGACGAAGCAGCGAGGCTAGAGCCAAACGAAGCGACCTTGGTTGCCAAGCCAGGCGTGGGTGAGAGCGCGGGCGGACGGGTTGACGTGACATTGTAGCGAATTGACATGGGCACGCACATACGCAAGCGGAGGGCCACTTGGCCCCGGCCGGTGCCAGGCTGCACAGGCACTCTGCACCGACGTTATCTAGGTAAGCCTACCTGGCTTGGCCCACTAGACAAGCTGTCGATTGCGCACTTCCATCCACCGAAATTGTGTGACTGACAGCGGTCAACTAGGTACATAGTTGACAAAACGGCTTCCTCCACAGAAATCGCAGGTGCCCGGGGTGATGCGCGCAACCCGACAAACTACGGTTGGACATGTTTCTTGTCTTCCCCCTTTGTATCCAGCTTCTTGCTACTCTTAGTCCAATGTACAAGCGCTCAGGATGAGATGGGGAACCTGGCAGATGACAGAGCGCAGGTTTCTTTCTGTCTCTTCGAGCGAGGCCCCGAGGATAAGAAGACATCTCGGGAACATTGCACCAAGATGCGCCAACCGTGCTAGGTAACGTGAAATTGCTTTTGCGGCCTCTTCTCCTGCATCGAAAAAGCAACGCTCGGAAAACCACACAAAAACAAAACTCTGTCTCGCACGACACGCGCGGCACCAACAACGAGAGGTCCAGGCATATAACGTAGGCAGGTCTTCGTAATGGCCGACTCCCCTCCAAGATTTTACCATCAATATCGCTTAAGGTACTGGGCCTCCAAGGCGGTGGCACCCCAGAAGACATTGATGCCAAACATAACTCAGGTATCCCCACCACCACATTCCCAAGTGGAGGTACATGGTTCGAGACCCCTCCGGGACGCTCAAAATGGAAGGCCACGGCAGGCATCGTAATTGGCTCACAGGGGTTCTCTCACCTTGTTTAGCCCAGCACCACAGGCCCGAAGGGTCGTAAGGGCCTAGGGGCCAGCAGCTGAACCGTCCGTCAGATCCCACGCTTTGGAGGCGCGACCAATGAGGGGACGTAGGCGCCAGATCCTCGCAAGGCGCAAGGAGAGCGCGAGTATTCTGCTTTTGGCTCTGGCAGACGGACGAATGCGAGGAAGGGGTGTGAAGAACCGCCTCTGATTGACAGATATCCGCCGACGAAAGCTGCGTGACTCTGATCCAGCGTTCAACTGGCCCAGCGACATTTTGAGTTTCTCGCCGGGTGCTCCGCAGTACATAGTATGTACATCGTATGTGGTTGCCAGTCTCGACGTGACGTCTTGGTTGGTGAACCCAGCGCCAGAGTTGCAGATGGCCACCTTGGGCGCGCTGGATTCGGTTCACCCACGGACTTACTTGGGTTTCCTGCCGGACTCTTTTCGCGCCTTTCTAGGCCAAAGCCCGCGTCCACGTTTTCACCCCCTGAGGGACGCAGCAGCGCCCCGTAACATCGCATGCCAATACTATGTAGGCACGGTACTAGGGAACGAGCCAGTGGTTACGGGCAGATCCAGTCTCCAGTCCTCCAGAGTCCCGCCCAGCACCTTGCGCATCACTGGGTAGTCACAATCTCATCGCGCAACAACACTGGACCTGAACTAAGGTGCGCCAACGAACATCCCCACTCCAAGCGCCGGATCCGTTCAACTTACTCTCCTCCTTCCCCTCTGCCGCCTCCTTTTGCGCCTTCGTTGGCCTCTTCGTCCTCGCCCTCGTCCATTCTCCCCTCTCTCTCCAGTTTTCGTCATCTTTGCGCCGCGCATTCCAGTCCAGCTGTCACCACTGCAACGCACTGAGCCGCCATCAGGCCAAGACCTTGAGACTTTGCGCGCGCCCTTGCCAGCTACCCTCGTACGCCGCCCACGCCCAGTCGCCCGCCTCCTCCCCCGGAGCACGCTCAGGCAGTGCCTGCAAGAGGAACTCGCACATCTGCTGCCCCTGAAGTGTCAAGTCAATCGCGGCCCCTTGTCGAGCCCCGTTTCATCAGGGGACTCCGCACTTGCAACGTCGTCCTGGCCAGCGACGAGACCACGCAGAAACCACACGGAAATATTTCCCTGCTCTTCGAGTTGGCCCTGGCCACCACTGCTGGGTAACAAACTTTTGGTTACGCTTTGCTCAACTGCCGTCCGACAAGCAATCTCGGCTTTCCGTCCAGCTGGAAGCAGTTGGAGAGAGGAAACCTCATCGACGGAACACGCGAGCACCCAGCTGCCCGTTTCCCCTTCCCTCCCCTCACATGGGAATCCTGGAACACAACCCACAGCCAAAACACACACGCACACACACACCACACGCAACACACTCACTCGCGCACCCAGTGCCATCATCATTGCCAGCCCGCCGAGGTCTGTAGTTCGTCAGCCTGCGAACCAGCTGTGGTACATTTCGGATACTCAATCCGGCATTACCTCCACCTTGAATACCCGGCAGTCCACACACCCTTTGTGACACCATCTTTTTTCGCGATTCGATCCTCTTCTCAATTCGAACCCTGGTTCCATCCTAGGCCACCACGCAACTGTTTCCGCCTGTCAAGCAGTACCACGTTCCGAAGAGGAGAATTAGAACCGACGGACGCTTTCTAGCACGCCCAACTGGCGATTGTCGCATCTTAGGGTGACGAAAGGTGCGTCCATGTGCCCCAGGGTACCCCGGTCTCAAGCCCAAACCTCCATTTGCTTCGAACCAGACTTGGGCAGTAGACATGCTAAAACATAACCGATTCATGCGGACAGAGATTCGACGCGCCACATTGCACCTTCACATCTCAACAACGACCGAAGGGCTCCACGTCGGCGGATAGAGAGCTTCAACCATGCGACCGGCCTTGGCCACCCTGCTCGCCCGAACTATTATCCAGACCCGTCAGTTCTGATTATCCGAAGATACACCACATCGATCGAGGTTTACGTGAGAGGGCCGGGTGTTTCACCTGCCTCCCCTTCCCGCGCCCACAATGTCTTCTACCGACAAATCGAGGCAGTCGTCAGGAGGGAAATCGTTCTTCTCGCGCAATAGGAAAGACAAACGCAACACAAGCGACGAAGGCCGCCACCTGGCTGGAGGCGACTACTCCGACACGGCCAGCGTACACTCGCGCGCTTCTCGTCATCACCGCGACTCGTCCGTCGTGTCCATCGACCAATACCCCGAACCCGGCATGACTGCCGGTCCTATGACGAGCATCCCATACGATAGCATTACCGATTCTAGGTCGCCGGTGTCAGCCGAATACCTACCCAAGGGTGATCAGCTTGGCGTCCTGCGCCAGAGTCCTTTACCGCATCACCTCAACAAAGTAACGAGCGACTTTCACCAATACCCCAGCTTCGATCCGTCCACCATGGCGGGGGGCGCCGGTTCACATGCGTCGGCGCAGCGTGTTCCGCAGTCCAACATCACGATGGCCAGCACCGGTCGTCAGACGCAATACCAACAGTGGGGACCAGGGCCTGCTCGCGGAAGCACAGCTAGCACAATCAATGGGTCCCACAACCCCAGATACGATTCGTACATGACATCGGCGGGTCGTAGCTCCGCTGACCAAGCCAGCATATTCTCATCAGGTAATGGAGGCACCTATGACATGACAGCAAATCGCTCATCAAGACCAGCATTACCAAGTGCTTCTTCGCAGAGTTCCTATTCCTCGCATATGTCCTACAGGGACTCCTCGCACCCTTCCTCGCACCGATTGACAAAGTTCCCCGGCATGGGACCCACTGGACACGATGGCTTTCATTTCCCGCGGCCAGACAACGACGAAATCATCAACCAGATGTTTCTGGCGTTGATGCAAAAACGAGGATGGCACAACCTACCCGAACAGGCTCGCCGCCAGATGGTGGCGTACGCGCCGGACAAGAAGTGGACGTTGCTATACCAGGACCGATTGACCGAGTGGCAAGGAGAGCAAAAGAGGAGGCAAACAGCGAAACCGAACCAATATGCGGCGCCGGAGATTCTGGTCAACTCGGACGAGGAGGGCTCGCCAGAATGGTACGTCCGACGTGTGATGGATAACAGCTTGGACACGAAGGGCCTTGGGAGTCTGGAAGTCAACCTCCGTACGCAGCAAATCGGCTGGGTCAAGCGCTTCATTGAGTGCCAAGGTCAGGTCGCGTTGACCAACGTCTTGATGAAGATCAACCGCAAGACCGCGATAGGCCCAGTGCCGGATGGGAAATCTGACAGAAATTCCGATCGCGAGTACGACATCATCAAGTGCCTGAAGGCCTTGATGAATAACAAGTTCGGTGCCGACGATGCTCTAGCACACCAACAAGTCATCATTGCACTGGCTACCTCGCTCACCTCCCAACGCTTGACGACCCGGAAGCTGGTCAGCGAAGTCCTTACATTCCTATGCCACTGGGGAGACGGCGAAGGTCACCTGAAGGTTATTCAAGCTCTGGATTCCGTCAAGACGCAACAAGGGGAAAATGGACGCTTTGACGCCTGGATGCGGCTTGTCGAGGTTACGGTGGATGGCCGAGGAAAGATGGGCAGCATGGTCGGAGCCAGTGATGAGGTCCGAAGTGGTGGTATTGGCATGGAGAACCTGCTGATGGAATATGCGGTTGCCACGCTGATTCTCATCAACATGATTGTGGATGCGCCGGAGAAGGACTTGCAGCTGCGGATGCATATCCGCGCCCAGTTCACAGCATGCGGCATCAGGCGAATCCTCACGAAGATGGATTCGTTTCAGTACGATCTCATCGACAAGCAGGTGGAGCACTTCCGAACGAACGAGGCCATCGACTACGAGGATATGTTGGAGAAGGAGAACAACAGCATCAAAGACAGCGTCGAAGGGGAAGTTAAGGACCTCAACGACCCTGTCCAGATCGTCGACGCCATCCAGCAACGCCTGCGCGGAAGCAAGACCCAAGACTATTTCATCTCGGCTCTGCAACATTTGCTACTCATTCGTGACAACGATGGCGAAGAGCGACTGCGAATGTTCCAGCTCGTGGACTCCATGCTCAGCTATGTGGCTATGGACAGGCGCTTGCCCAACATGGACCTGAAGCAGAGCCTGAACTTCACCGTTCAGAGTCTGCTGGACAAGCTTCACACAGATTCGGAAGCCCGACAGGCCCTGGATGAGGCGTTGGAGGCGAGACAGGTCGCCGACGCCGCCATGGCTGAGCGAGATGAAATGAAGGAAAGGTTAGAGTTGGGCGCTGATGGTCTTGTGGCGAAACTCCAAAAGCAACTGGATGAGCAGGCGAGGTTCATTGAAGCTCAGCGACGGCAGGCCGAAGGCTTGAAAGCCGAGTTGGAGAACATACAGACGTTACGCCAGAAGGAAGCGCAGCGCTACGAGCTTGAGACCAGAGAGCTATACCTTATGCTTAGGGACGCACAAGATGTTGCTGCGTCCAACGCTGTTAAGGGCAGCAAGCTCGGAGAAGAAGACCCAGCCCGAATGCAAGGTATTCTGGATCGCGATAGACTCATGGAGCGTCTGCAGATGCAGATCGAACGCCAGAAGACGCAGTTCAAGTTGGAGGGCAGAGTATGGGGAGATGCTGTGGGACCGTCCGACCGACTGCGCGCTCTTCGCGAGGAGATGGACGATGCTGCCGCGGGATCAGGGCCGGGTACGCCGCCGAGAGACTTCACAAACAGCATGCTTGGAAGTGTCAACCGCAACACAAAGATCGCGCGGAAACCGGTCAACGGTCGCGGCGAGCCTGTCGAAGGTGATCTCCCCGAGGGCGAGGAAGGCGACGAGGATGAGGATGGAGTCATCTACGAAAAGCCAAGAGTCGTCGAAATCCGCCGCCCCGTCATGGATTCGAGCCAAAAGGCTGGTCTCTTCGGTGAGATGGCCGGAAAGGTCAGGAGATACGAAGGAAGCGACTCGGAAGACGCCGAGGGCGCGACAACGGGCCCGTCACACCCGAGCCTCGAGTCCGGCTCCCCCATCACTCCCGCCGAGGGCGAGCCTCCCAAGATCCAAATTACCGGTGCGGCCGCGCCCCCGCCTCCACCTCCGCCGCCCCCAATGCCCGGCCAAACCGGTGTTCCTCCTCCACCTCCGCCCCCACCACCACCTCCCCCTCCCATGCCAGGTATGCTCTCGCCTACAGGAGCTCCCCCGCCGCCGCCGCCGCCGCCGCCGCCGCCTCCACCACCGCCGGGTGGTGCGCCGGGGATGCCACCGCCGCCACCTCCCCCATTGCCCGGTGCCATTTCTGGACACTTCCTTGCACAAACTACGTCCTTTGCTGGCGGTCCTTCCATCGGCCTGCCTGTTGTTCGTCCGAAGAAGAAGCTCAAGGCTCTTCATTGGGACAAGGTCGATTCTCCTATGACTACTCATTGGGCAGCACATGCCCCGTCTGCTGAGGAGCGCGAAGAGAAGTATCTTGAACTCAGCCGCAAGGGTATCTTGGACGAGGTTGAGAAGCTCTTCATGGCCAAAGAAATCAAGAGGCTTGGTATCGGTGGAGGTGCGAAGAAGGACGACAAAAAGCAAATCATCTCGGGAGATCTTCGCAAAGCCTTTGGTATGTTTTACTCCTTCCTGGGATCATGATCTGTCGTAACTGACCTTGTCTACAGAAATTGCGTTTGCCAAGTTTTCTCAAGTCTCTGTTGATAAAATTGTGCAAATGATCATTCATTGCGACAAGGACATCTTGGACAATACTGTTGTCATGGACTTCTTGCGTAAAGACGATCTCTGCAACATTCCCGACAACACGGCCAAGCAAATGGCCCCGTACAGCAAAGATTGGACGGGCGCCAACCCTGATAAGGCGGACCGTGAGCAGGACCCAGCCGAGCTCACCAGACAGGACCAGATCTACCTGTTCACAGCCTTTGAGTTGCATCACTACTGGAAGGCGAGAATGCGCGCTCTTGCTCTTACCAGGAGCTTTGAGCCCGACTTCGACGAGATTACCGAGAAGATGCGCCAAGTTGTTGCAGTGTCTGAGTCTTTGAGAGACTCTGTGTCTCTGATGAACGTCCTTGGTCTCATTCTCGACATCGGAAACTACATGAACGACGCCAACAAGCAAGCCCGCGGTTTCAAGCTGAGCTCTCTTGCCCGTCTCGCCATGGTCAAGGATGACAAGAACGAGTCCACACTGGCCGATTTGGTCGAGCGTATCGTCCGTAACCAATACCCTGAATGGGAAGACTTCTCAAACGATATTGCGGGCGTGATGATGGCGCAGAAGATCAACATCGAACAGCTCCAGTCCGACGCCAAGCAGTATATTGACACGGTCAAGAACGTACAGATGTCGCTCGACGCTGGTAATCTTAGCGACTCCAAGAAATTCCATCCCCAAGATCGCGTCAGTCAGGTTGTGCAGAGGATCATGAAGGACGCGAGAAGAAAAGCGGAGGAGATGCAGCTATACTTGGAGGAGATGATGAAGACGTACAACGACATCATGGTCTTCTACGGTGAAGACCCCACCGACGACAATGCTCGCAGGGACTTCTTCGCCAAGCTTGCTGTCTTCATCTCGGAGTGGAAGAGGTCCAGGGAGAAGAACGTCACGTTGGAGGAGACGCGCAGGCGAAACGAGGCTTCCATGAAGCGGAAGCACGCCCAACTCCAAGCATCGAATGCCAAGGTGGAAGGCGCACCTCCATCGCCATCAAGCGCAGGTGCCATGGACTCTCTGCTGGAGAAGTTGCGTGCTGCTGCACCCCAGACGCGAGACCAGAGAGATCGCCGCCGTAGGGCGAGACTCAAGGATCGCCATCAGGTGCGGATAGCATCCGGACAAAAGATCCCTGATCCGGACGAAATTCCCGAGGTCGAAGCCACCTTACAACAACCGCCCAAGGAGCCAACCATTGATGAAGACGGCAACCTCCTCAGCCCCGGACTATCGTCGCCCAGAGAAGGTGGCGAAGACGATGTCGCTGATCGTGCGGCGATGCTGCTCCAAGGTATACGTGGAGGAGACGGGGCCGACGAGGCCGACCCGGAGAAGAGAGAGAGCCTGCGGCGCTCGAGGAGGCAAACGGCCGAGGAAGAGAGACGGATGAGAAGACGGCGACGGGAGAAGGCGACCTCCACGAATACCGCCGCCAGTGAAGGAGACACGACTGTGACGGAAGCGAAGGAGGAGGAGATACCCCCAACACCTTCGATTGAGAACACGCCTGTAGAACCATGAGCTCAGATCTCATGTGGGGAGTCACCAGTCGGGTCATATATACACAAAACTACGTAATGTTTACTGCCTGCGAGGATCACTAGCTTGAAGGGATATACCCATCCCTGGTACAGCTCGAAACCATCACACACCCAACTACCATCTGGAGACGGGAAGAAGAAAAGAAGGAAAGGGGGTCTGGGAAGAGGCGGATCCGTTTTTACCCCTTGGTCTTTCACATCTTCTTTGTGACTTATTTTTGCACATCATATAGGGGGCTGGAAGGAGTCGGGCGCTGTCACGACCAGGCATCATCGCATCATCGCATCATCGCATCACTGCATCGTCGCCGCGCTGTTCCATTTGTTTCGTCGCTTTCTCCTCTTCTTGCCTTCTCCGTGTACGGAGAAGCGCGTCGTTAGGGAATGGGATTGCTGGGCTCTCGGCCGGTCTCTGGGTTTGGCATTCTGTTATGTCGGCGGCTCTGGTTGTTGCATGGTGGGTGGACGGTGCAAGCATGCCATGGGATGAAGGAAGACGGAGGGAGGTGTGTTGGTAAGGAGCTTGATGTCGATACTGCGATTGTACAGCAACGCATCACCCACAAAAGATTGACTTGTCCGCTTGCCTGTGAATTTTGACTTGTGATTGATTCAAAAATCAAGACGGTGTACAGCTTGTCGAGATGTAGCCGTCGTCATGGCTCGCAAGATGCGTAGAGATAGAGGGTAAGTCTGTAGGAACGTCTCAAGAACCCTGACAATTTGCCCACGCCAATGTGAGACTTACACATCATCACCTACCAATATTAAGAGGATTGTCGTCCAGCTAACTCTTGGTGTTTACTGACTGGAGGAGTAAAAACGATAAATCAGACAGGTGCAACAAAGCTACCAGGGATACCAATGTATTGCGTGTATAAGCCATAGCAATGATTGTCCAAAAATACAAAAGACAAGTTTTGAAAGGGACGAGACTCGAACTCGCGCGGGTTGCCCCACCAGGAAACAGATGTTAAGCTGACCTTAACCTGGCGCCATAACCAACTCGGCCACCCTTCCGGATGTTGTTGGGTATCTCAATGAGTTTTGATAATATCAACCGCGACACCACGCTGAGGGGCATTCCAGTTGGTACGAGCAGAGCTACAATGGACTGCCTCGGAAAATTCATTTACAGAGCGACTTCGAGTCGGAAATGCGGCTTGCACGGCGTCTTCGTCCGTTGGACTTCCTGCGCGTACAAGACCTGCGCACTCCTCGCTGGATTGACAACACATGCATTGTCAGTCTGCAACAGTGATCCCCCTACATACTTAGCCTGCAGAGTATGCACCCGCGCCGTCACGGCTCAACGGACGGAATGGTCCCCGAGATGCTCGTCTCTGCATTTCCCATTTAGCCGCGACACGGTTTCCCCTCCCCCTCGCTCTCCACCCCCACCAAACCCCATGGTCGACCGGGCGCGAGCCCCTCATCCTCCACGCAACAAGCTCCTTGACGATCTTGTCCTTCTCCTGGTTGAGCAATGGCATTGGCCGAAGCTCCTCCGAAGCTGCCCCGCTATCTGGCCATCCCGCATCTAAACCCGACGTCTGCGTGGCACGGCGAAGTCGCCAGTGTTGTATTGTTGAGGTTGGCCGGAGTAATTCTAGAGCGAGCTGTTGCGTAGGCGCTGGTTATGACCTCGACGGCCCTCCCACCCGCCAAACATTTGTCTGCTCTACACTACTTTTCTTCTTGTGTTTTTTTCTTGAAGACTTTCTCTGCTTAATCGTTTTATCTAGAAGGGCCTATTGTTAACAAGTCATTGCGCAACATGGAGGAACCCAAGACCGGCCTCGTCTTGGGCTACAATGGTGCTCATCCCTTCTCCAAAGTGAAGCTTACCGACAGGGCATCGGTCCAAGAGCTCCTACGGACCCTCCTCGACCCCCTTGAGCCCTTCTTTTCTCCCCAGAAAGCCCGCGTCAAGTGTCCTGGAGGCACTGCTGTGCGGTTCGACCAAGCCGCCTCCGAAGTCGAAGGCATCCTTCGTCCCATCTGGGGTCTGGCCGCGCTCCTGGCCGGCGGCGGGGAGTATCGTGGTACAGAATGGTGGATCCAGGGTATCAAGTCCGGCACCGACCCCGAGAACCCCGAGTACTGGGGCTTCCCGAGGGACAATGACCAGCGCATGGTTGAGATGTGCCCTCTCGGTATGGTTCGACGTAGTCGTGCGACCAACTTGGACTGATCACGCCTTAGGCTTCTCTCTTGCCGTCGCGCCGACAATCTGGGAAAACCTATCTGAAAAGGAGCGTGTTAATGTCGAGAACTGGCTAGGCAACTCCATCAACGAGAAGAAGTGGGCAAGCACACCAACGATATCTACATTCAACGCTGACAAGGCCGTTTAGCATGCCAAACACCAACTGGCTTTGGTTCCGAGTCTTTGCGAACCTGGGCTTGAAGAAGAACGGAGGAAAGTTCTCACAAGAGCGGCTCGACGCGGACATCAAGCACCTCGACACCTTTTACCGGGGTGGCGGTTGGTCCAACGATGGACCGGAGGGCATCCACCAGATGGACTACTACTCGTCCAGCTTCGCCATCCAATTCCTCCAGCTTCTCTACGCAAAGCTAGCCGGCGACGACGAGCCTGAACGGGCCGAGGAGTTCCGCAAGCGAGCCCAGATGGTCGCACTCGATCTCGCCCACTACTTTGACGAGGAAGGCCGAGCCATCCCCTTCGGCCGCAGCGTCGGCTACCGCTTCGCGATGGTGTCTTTCTGGGGTGCCCTCGCCTATGCCGGTGTCGAGTTGCCGGCCCCCCTGACTTGGGGTATGGTGAAGGGCATCGTGATGCGTCATTTGCGATGGTGGCAGACGCAGCATGAGATGTGGAGTCCGAGCGGAACGCTGACAGTGGGCTATTCGTACCCGAATATGTATATGGCAGAGAACTACAACAGTCCTGGGAGCCCAGTAAGTACTTATTAGACAGATACGATCCAGTCCGCTAATCTTTCACAGTACTGGGCCTGCCTCGCCTTCATCTGCCTCGCGGTTCCCGAAGACCACCCTTTCTGGACCTCCGAGGAGGAGCAGGCTTGGGGCGTTATCCCCAAGATCAAAGCCCTTGAACAGCCGGGCCACATCATGAGCAACGTTGGCGGCCACTGCATGCTCTTGTCGTCTGGTCAAGCTTGCAGCTACCCGATGAAGGGCACCCACGCCAAGTACGGCGGGTTCGCCTACTCGAGTGCGTACGCTTACTCGGTGCCCCCAGGGCTGTTCTCTCTCGAGCAGTACGCCTTGGCTTCGCAGCTGGGTCTGTCAGACGACGGCGGAGAGTACTGGAAGACTCGGCGGCTCTCACAGTACGCCGCCATTGAAACCAGACACGACAAGCCGGTGCTCGTTTCGGTGTGGAAGCCGTTTGTGGACGTCGAAATCAAGACCATCTTGGTGCCTCCCGAAGAGTCCACGCCGAACTGGCACCTTCGCATCCACCACATCAAGGCAGGCCGAGAGGTCATGACCGCAGATGGGTCGTTCGCCATTGTCAACGAGAACTCGACAAACGGCCGATACCTCGACCTCTACGACGCGGAAAAGGGCGAGGGCACGTCGCCAAAGATCATTGGCAACTACGACACCAACACGCCCGAAGGACTGGCAAAGGGTAGCGAGGGAGCCTTCGCCGTGTCCAAGGGCGCCGTGGGCATCAAGGCCCTGGAGGGCTCGATCGAGCGGACAGCCAATCTCGTCAACGCGGACCCCAACTCGAACCTGGTCGAGAATCGCACAGCCATCCCGACGCTGCAGCACACGATCAAGAAGGACGAGTCGGTCTGGTACATTACAGGCATCTACGCCAAGCCGAACGGCGAGGGCGTCCCCAAGCAGAGCTATCTGGACGGCTGGGAGAAGCCACCTGCAGTCCCATCTTGGCTCGAGGCAGAGATGAGTGCTTCTTAGTGAGTCCTCATTGTTGGGATGGCCTGCGCCGCCACCAAGGTGGTTTTGGGGTGTCCCGGTCGCTCGTCGGGTTGCCGATTTTCCACGAATGTGGAGAGGCTTGGCAAGCCACCGTTGTGCTTCCTAAGGCTGGGCAATCTGGGGAAGCTCCTTATGATCGACCTGGAAAGTGTATTCTTGTCGGTCATGTACAAGCTGTTTGTTGGGCTGGAGGATCAACCTATTGATCAATGGTACATAAGACTTTAGCCAGGAGGTCCTAATACATGTCACGCTTAAATCCACGAGATGAGCTCAATGGAAGAGCGTAAACCATCACTGGTAGTCATTCAAGTAATCTTTAAGAGTGACCCTATATGACCCTACGAACAAGCTCCGTCCATGAGATCCTGGGAAATGCTTCACCGGCCCCATATCCACCCATCCGCAGTGTCGGGTTCCGGCTGGTTGGCATCGTTGCTGGGCCCGTAGGCTCACGGTAAGCTCTACACTACTGCAATCGACCCCATCCATCCCCCGCATTCTGGCTGAACTGGGACAATACACAACGGCCAAAGCGGGGCGGACGGGCTTGTAGCATTCGATAAGCTTAACAATGGTGTGGAGTGTAGATGCAAGCGCTGGGTCGACACTGTTCTTGGTATTGCGCTAGCTCGTTCCCGATATCAAACATGTTGCTGATGCCTCCTGACTTCACAAACTTTGAAGGCAGCGCAGTACGTCTATCTTTCACCAGACAAGGTCAAGACTGTTTAATGCCAAGCACATGGACAGCGAGGCGTTAAAAAGCCACAATCTCTGACAGAAACCCCAGCTGTTGGTGGATTCATTTCCTCCACCATTCAGGTCGGTGACAGACCATGCTCTTCTTCCTTCTTTCGTGTTTCCTCTCGTGACCTCCAAGACCCAACAGTGTCTTGGCAACGCTCGCCGGGTATCAGATACATGGCAGAACAACATCGCCAGCAGCCTCAGAGGCGGTTTAGAGACCTCGAAAGCCCTTTGAGATCGCCGGCCTGGGGCTGCCAATGACAGTGACGGTTTTCGCTCATTTGTGGCGGGGAGACGGCACTAGATTAGTTGTCTTGAACTATGTACGTCTGCGACGGTTCGTCCTCATCACCAGGAGGCGATGGCAACCCAGGTGATTCGTGGTATGGAGGAGGATAGCTAACCCTCCACCGTCCAAAGCCTAACTCATTCCGCCACAATGTGCGACTCCGGGAAGCTCATTGTCAAAAGGGGTTCTTGGCGAAGTAGACGGTCGAGTGTTCAAGTTGTAGTGGTAAGTGTTGATATAAATATGCTCTTGATCTACGATACTCGAGCTCAATGTTACCTCAGTTTCTCCTTGTTGTCTGGCACAAGGTGATTGTCACCCTTGAGGTCTAAAGCTTTCCAATACCGAGTCTGCAAAGTTGACGAAAGAACATCTTGGTTACATTTTCCAACAAGCCTCTCTCTTCTCTCCGCAACAATGGCTATCGCCGGCTTCCTCCGTCGCATTGTCAAGAACGATGCGATGAAGGAGGACCCCGTAGAGATCTACGGATGGAGAGTCTTTGCGTTGGCCGCCGCATGTAAGTATTCCACAACACACACACCAACCCTTTCCCAAGTCCTACCTACCACAAAATACTGACATGATCACTCTTTACAACAGCTTGCTTCGGCGGCATGTTATTCGGGTGGGACATCGGTGCCATCGGCGGTGTCCTCGCCATGGAATCGACCCAGAAGCAATATGGCTACTACAACGCCTCCAAGGCTGAAAAGTCCAACCAGGACCAGAACATTGTCTCGACCCTCCAGGGCGGCTGCTTCGCTGCGTGTCTAATAACTCCCTACCTCACGGATAAGTTCGGCCGTCGCTGGTCTCTCATTGTTACAGGTAACTCGGTCCCCATGGACCCCTACTATCAACATTGACGGAACAAATACAGAACATCCCAACTAACCACTCTCGCGCAGGCATCATTACCACCATCGGTGTCGTTTTCCAAGCTGCCTCGGCCGAGCACGGCAACCTCCCCCTCATGTTCGTCGGCCGCTTCGTTGCGGGTCTCGGCGTCGGCGCCGCATCGATGCTCACGCCTCTCTATGTCTCCGAGTGCGCACCACGTGCCATCCGCGGCGGATTGACGGCTTTTTATCAGCTTTTCATTGTGACTGGAACTATGATGGCCTTCTGGATCAATTGTGTGTTCCCAATTTGCTTGAAGAACAGAAGCATCATTTGAAAAACATTGGAAATTTCGCTAACTAGATTATAGACGGCAGTCTCCTCCACATTTCCGGCAAGGCACTGTATGCCGTGCCTCTGGCCCTACAAGCCGTCCCCGCCGTGCTGTTGTCCATCGGCATGTTCTTCTGTCCGGAGAGCCCGCGTTGGTGCGCCAAGCAGGACCACTGGGAGCGAACCAAAGACATTCTCGTCCGTTTGAGGGGCCTGCCTGCCGACCACTCGTATGTTCAGAGTGAGCTTAATGAGATGGCCGAGCAACTCGAGTCGGAGCGCCGACTTGTCGGCGACGCTACCGCCATCACGCTCCTCAAGGAGATGTGGCTCGTCCCCGGCAATAGGAAGCGCGCCGTTCTGACGGTGCTGTTGATGATTTGCCAGCAAATGGCTGGAGTGAATGCCATTGTGAGTGGACATGTGACCCTTGTTTCTCTTCCACTTGAGCGGTCTCTCGTATGCTGATGCCTATTGCGGTGCAGAACTACTACGCCCCGCAGATCTTCAAGAACCTGGGCATGGACGGCACCAAGTCCTCCTTGTTCGCGACGGGCGTGTACGGTGTCGTCAAGGTCGCGGCCTGCGCCTGCTTTCTCACGTTCGTCGCCGATTCACTAGGCCGTCGATGGAGTTTGATCTGGACCGGCTTCGCTCAGGGGCTGGCCATGTTCATTGTTGGGATCTATGGTCGTGTGAACCCGCCTGTCGAGGGGAAGCCTGTAAGTCATTTGTCATTGGTTGATTCCTGGACCAGGTCGCACATCTGGTCTCAAAGGGTGCGCGATCAAGACTCTCTAACATCCATCCAGATCCCGCCCTTCGGCTATGTCGCCATCACCTGCATCTTCCTTTGGACCGTATTCTTCCAGTTCGGCTGGGGACCATGCTGCTGGATCGTCATCTCCGAAATCCCGACTGCGCGCCTGCGGGCCATGAACGTCGCCCTCGGCGCCCTGACGCAGTGGCTGTTCAACTTCATCATCGCCCGGACCGTCCTGACGATGCAGCTGACAATGGGCTACAAGGGCTATGTAAGTCACTCCATCACTTTTTACTTGGCTATATGAGTTGAGGACCAAGCTAATGTTCTCAACAGGGTATGTTTTTTATGTTTGGCTCGTTCGGCTTCGCCATGGGTACTTTCGTCTACTTCTTCATCCCCGAGACCAAGGGTCTGAGTCTGGAGAAGATGGACGAGCTGTTTGGCGTCACGCAGCTGGTTAAGAATATCGACGAGGAGCCCGAGGTTAGGGCTGGAAGTGTCCGTGAGCAGCCCGCTGAGAAACTTCAGTAGCTAAAGCAACCGTGGGGCTATTTATGGTGTAGGGCGTTGTGTTTTTACATGTTTCCCGGGCGACACCCTGGTGTTTGAGCACCTTTACTTGCGTAGCTTAAGTAGTGAAGAGACATTCATAGTACAATTTTTCCTTCGTCGTGCATTTGTGTCGTTGAATGTAAATGTCCGCAGAGCTATCCTGTAGCATCCTTCAAGATGGTCGTGTGGAGTTGGGCTCACAAGTGCAATTGACTGTCCCAGGTCAAAGCTTTTGAGATGGATTTGACTTAAGCAACCTAATGAATAGTAAAAACAAAGAAAGAAGAGAACCAGAAGAAGAAAGGAAAAGGTAAAAGTGAAAGGAAAAGTATAAGAAACGAAAGCAGAAGACAAACTTGCGTTTGAAAGGAAAAGAGTCTAGATATCCTTCACCAGAAGGTCAAAAACGCACGTCGCCCCAATCTGATGTGCGTCGTTAAACAGAGCGAACAATCTTGATTAACAAAAGAAGATGAAAGAAAAAGCGACCATAGAAAGACAGCCCCATGCTTGACACAAAAAGAAACCACTCAAAATAAAATAATACAACGAAAAGGTAAAGTCAACCCGCTCGTCGACGTACCCAACATCAGTACCCAGGAGCTCACACTGTCAAGGTCCATTGACGGACTCAGTAGTAATACCGCTTCACCGTCTTCTTCTCGTAAGCGAGCCTCCTCGGCAACGGCCGGCATAGCGCGGGCCTTCCGCATCGGTCCCTGCAGATGCCGATGCCGCCGTGGTGCCCGACGCCTTCCGAGATCCTGATGCGCTCGCAGTAGGAGCACCGGTCGTAGCCGTGGCCATAACCGTACCCCGAGCCATAGCTGAAGCTGGAGCGGCCGTCAAAGCGGTCGCGGTAGCCGAGGGAGGAGCGGCAGCGGTAGCAGATTGTGGTGTCGGTGAAGGAATGCCAGTCTGTGGGGCGTTAGAAGCCATTCGACACACGACGAGATCAACGCATGTTTCCGATCTGGATGGAGCGCGTTCAAGACACATAGGAGCAAGGGAGACAGTATACGAAAGGCAGTAACTTACAGCGGCGGCACTGAGTGCAAAGTTGGAACCCCATCGGTACGTGTCCGTGGGGGAACACCTCTGTCGTGCTGATCTCGTTGATGATCTGCGCCCCAGGGGGAATGACGGCGAGCTGGTTCGGCCGCGAGGCGACGACGATCTCGTTCTGGACGGGCCGGTTGACAACTTCGTTTACGACAACGGACGCTTTATCTGCTTCGACGACTGGGGCATCACCGTCGCGGGACATGATCGCGAGGGTCCTCTCGGGGCCTTTTTTCTTCGTGGGATCGGGGGGTCTCGATGGGGTGTTATATCCCTTGTTGCTCGCGGTTGCCTTTGCCTGTTTCTGGTTGCTGAGGCCGCTAATGAGTAAGACGAGAAAAACGTGAGTCCGAAGACGTGACTCCAGAGAAATCTGCTCAGGGTTCTGTCGTGTAAGCCAAGGTTGCTGCAAAGTCGTGTGATGTCTCTGGGGAAAAAAGGGGGTGCCCAACGTCGTGGCTTGACTATATACCACCACAAGCCCTCAAGATGGCCCAAAACTTGGAAGAGGTTTCCTGTTTCAACCTAATTACGTCTTCCCCAGGAAACCCTTAACCCCTTAAACCGACGTTAGTCTGGGGCAGTGATTATGCTTCCATTACTTCAGCTTACAGGCCGTCTTGCCCGGATGACCACGTTAACCCCCTCCACCCACGCATGACGTTGGTACTAAGATGCGCTGTGAGGTCACACGTCTGGATTCTCAAAAGGGGGGAAGGGGACACGATGCTAGCTCTGGAGCCAAAGGTGGGAGCAGCCAATCCCAAAAGCTGACCATGTCGCTGTGGAAATCGACTAGACACGCATCTAGAGGTTTAGATCAGATTAGATCGGGACCAGGATTGTGGCAGAGCAGCAGAGCCCAACAAATGTCTGCACTTCCAGCCCAACAATAAACTTGTCCAGACTGCGGCTGTCCCTGAGCCGGAGACGCCTGTCCCCCAAGCCCGGGTATCCGCGCCCCCTTTTTCACACCCCCTTTTTGGCGTCACACGTGGGACATTTCACCTCCTTTTCGGACAGAGTGAGTCACCAATGGGTTTTTCAGGGTCTTGGAAAGCCGGCAGGGTTTTCTCTTGTGGAAGTATCGTACACGATGCCGCGTGTTTTCTTGCTTTCAAATCGCTATTTAGTCCAGGCGCCCCAGCGCCCAGATGCGCGCCCACCAATTCCCATCCGACTTTGCGCAAATTCGAAACTTTCATCCGCGTTATCGTGATTGTTGCGATGTTCATGATCTCCCAAGACCGTCGCCCTTCTTCGCTACCTCTTTGCGTGGAAGTACCACCACCTTGCGACTAAGCAACTCTCTCAACTCTGGTGTGATGACCTTCTTCACCTGCGACTCCTCGGGCGCCTTGCCCGTGTCCTTGCGTGGTGACGCTGGCCCGGCACTGCTTTGGCCGGGCTTTGGGTCCTGGTCGGATGACGATGATTTGGAGGGAGAGCCGAGGTCTCGGAGTCTTGGCCCAGGGAAGTTGCCCTTCTTGTCGACTGCCTCTACCAGGCGCTGGAAGCGGCGGAATAGTGCCTCGGCGCGAATCAGAGTTGAGTCGAGATCCATTGTGTTGGAGAGTTCGTTGACTGTTCACTGTTAGTGCTTGTTGCTGGAAATCAGAGTACATAGTAACGTACCATATTTGAGGACCTCATCAAAATGCTGTAGGTGGGTCATGATGACGTCCCGGTGCTTCTCCAAGATGGCCAACGCCACAAACAAATGGAAGCTGCTGCTTAGGTAGTCCGTCCAGAGAATCTCCCACAGATGCAAGACATCCATCCACTCGAACTCCCGTTTATACCAGACGAGCAGCATGCGGAAGAAGAAGAAAAAGTTGGTGCTATCCGCGGACTGCAGGTGCGCGTAAAGTTTCGGGTCCATGAACTGGACGAGATGGTCAAGGGTGAGCAGCTGTGACCGCATTCCTGACTGATCGCGCAAGAAGTTGCGCTCCATACGATCCATGAAGTGCTGGAAGCCCCAAAAGGCAATTGCATCGTCCTGCATGACGGCGTATATCGGGGCGAGGAGGTCGGACATGCCCTGCACGTAGCCCAGATCCTTGTTGTACTCGTTGTACGTAAGAAGCATGTCCTTCATCTGCTCAAGATGGACGTTGGTGCCAACCTCGGAAAAGGGAGAGTCAGGATCGGGGTGCGGGATGTCTTCTCCGGCGAAAATAGGAACACTTCGATCTGTTCGGTGAACATCCTTTTCTGCAACAGTTTCAGCACAAGCATCTCCTAGTCGTTCGTCGGAAAACCTACCAATACGGCTACGTTGTTCACGCCACCACTCGCCCTGCTCGCCCTCGCCTCCAAGGTCTACGAGTCTCTCCCACCATGCGCCTTTCAGCTTGACATACTCGTCCCTGAGCGACGCAATCTGGACCTTCCGCTCCTCGGATGTGCTATACCAGTCGTGAACCCCGAGAATGAACAGCCACGCTTCTTTTCGCACCCCGTCGTCAGGGTCCAGGCCGCCGTGGAAGACCCTCTCTTTGACTTCATCAACAGTGACTGAAAGTCGACCGGTCCGCTGGTCGAAGAACGTGTTCCACTCTTTTAGCGTCACCGGCTTTCTCCTGTCTTCCAGCGACATGGTGCTGCTCCCGTCCAAGAGCTCGAACTCCCCAACATCGGTGTCCTCGAGCTCTAGGACCTCCTTAGCCGTCCATATTCTCTGGCTCCGATCCCGCTCACTCTGCTCAGCAATCCCCATGGCCCAGCGCGCGAGGTATATCCTTGCGCTGTCGAACTCATCTTGAAGTGTCTGCACCTCGGGGTTTCGCAGAAGTCGCCTAACTTGCGGAGGGACGTTCGGGTTTTGTATGACGTCTTGCGCGGCCCGCCGTGTAAAGGTGGTCACCTTGCTGAACTTCTCCATGATGTTCCAGCCCGTCTCTTTCACAAACTTTACAAACGGGTCCATCTGCGCGTCGCCACTGGGACCGGCGCCGCCAGCACGGGTTCCCGTACCATCTTTCAAGCCAACCTGAGCGGTACTGGAAGTGAGCTTGCCGCTGAAAGCCTCGCTATCCTCCTTCGAGGGGTCCACCAGGTAGATGTTGGGCTCCGCGCCGGATCTTTCAATAGGGACGTAACGTCGCAACCAGCGCAACACTTCGTCGCCGCCCCAGAACATCTCCCCTCGATCGCCGAATGGATCAAAGCTGTCCCTTGTCCGCCTCTTTCGCTTGAGGATTGTGCTTTGACATTCATTGTCGTGGAAGAATAATGCGGGAAAGCTGTCGCCCGCCCTCGAGTTGATGATCAAGGAGCCGAACCACCAGCCCAGGCTCGGCGGCCTCACGAGAAGCGAGTAGATTGCGCTAACCGGGATGGCGAACGCATAGGTGCCAACGGAGCCCCGGTGAGATGTGACGGTCGGCGGAGGTGGTACGAGGTATGACTGCTTCGGAGGCGATTCTCCTTCGCTAAGGTCAACCTTGACATAGATGCTCTCGGATTCGCCTAGGGACGTTTCGGGGAGCCATGCCAGGAGCAGATCGGAGGCCGTTGGGTTCTGGGAGTCTCGCGACGAGGAGGAAGTTGGACGGCCATTTCGGCCTCCTTTTTGTTGTAGAAGAGCTATGTAGCCTGGGATATTGTCCTTCGCTGAAGGCGTGGGGTGCACGTAAACCTGTGCAGTGAAGCTCCGTCAGTTCCGATCTTTGGTGGGGTGGCGATGGTAGTTTTCGCGGCTCACCTTGCTCTTAGAGAATAGAAGTTTGACGCCCCGGCCAGTTTCTGTATGTGTGATCGTGTTGTAATCCCCTTCTTCGTCGTCGCTCAGAGCGTAAAAACTGCCCGAAGGCGATCGAGGTCGCGCCGGTGGTGGAGCGCTCGCCGATGGCGGGGGGTCCGAGTCTGAGGTCATCGTGCAGCGCCTCTGTAATGATGTAAGACAGACTAAGGTAGGTAGGTGGAAGACAAGGCTCCCAGGCCTTTTTGTCTTGGGTGAAACTATTCAGAGAGAAAAAAAGATAGCGACTGTGGCTCGACAGTTAGAGTTTCTCGTAGAAATGCAATGACGGAGGGAAACGCAAAGGGTCTGGGGAAGTGGCATGTGAGCGAGGTGTGGCTAATGATATGGGATGTTGGGGGCGAGCGGCCAAGCAGTCCAAGGGTGCTGCGCAGTCGTCGACGCCTTCTGAGGGGCGTGGCCACCCCGCTGCGAAAGCTTGCATCCATGTCTCGGAGGGGCTGTTCCCACTGTATCTGTACCGCCGGCCAGGCAGCCTTTTAGCGCGTAATAGCAGTACAGCTACCCGGAGCTTCGCGGTGAACCATGTCATCTGCAGCATGCATGCGTCGTCATACACGCCCCCGGGCTAACCTCTCGAGGCTGCTGCGTGTTTGCACGCGCAATCAACTCGCTCCATCGTCAGTCTCGACATTCGGCCTCCAGAGGCACAGAAACAGCGACCCATTATGCATATGACATCCTACAGACCAAGATGCGCTTGATGACGATGACAGAGAAGAGTCGTATCTGCGGCTTATCCAGCAACCTAAAACAGAGATATCGCGTAGCTCGTCATCAGCTGCGTCTCCAGTCCCAATTGCGAAGTTATTAGTTTTGTATTGTGTGTATGTGTGCCTCAGCTCTGCTTCCGCACCTTTCGGTCAACATGTCTTCCAGCAACATCCATATCCGCGTCCTCAAATGGCGAGGTACGACCCGCAGATCCTCGCAAGAATTTGATGGTTTGCGTTTGGTCTCGCCAAGCACCCAGTCACACATGTCCGCGTCGCGAAGACGACACTCCGAGAGCAGTCCCCCGGCTTCACCAATATGCCCCTCTCCCACCTGCCGCAAAAGTATTCATACCTCTTCTCGCAAATCGCCTCACCTCATCCGAGGACCGCTTGGGAGACCTTGCCGCCTTGGCCCGTTGGGCAGCCCTGTCCGCCCACCACCCCCACCGCCTGCATTACCTCCATCGTACATGCCTCCCGGAGCAAACCGGTCCTCGTAGTCGCCGCTGCCGCCGCCGCCGCCGCCTCCTCTGCCTGCCGGTGGTTGGAACGGCCCTTGGCCCCCTGCCCCGGAAGCCGGACTGGTTGTCCTCGCACCTCCCCAGAGTCGCTGCTTAAGTCGATCTTGTGCCGAGCCGCCTGCTGAGCTGCCCGGCGGTGTGCTCGTCGTGTCTCTTCCGTAAGCCGCGCTCTGTTGGTAGCTGCCCGCACGCTGGCTGGGCAGAGGTCGAGCCTGCACCTCTTCTCGCCCGGAGTCGCCAGCGCGTGCAAATGGGCTCAGTCTCGTGGGCTGCTCTCCGCCTCGCATTGGCGGCGGGGCCCCGCGGCCCTGTCGCAGGCTCATGGCATCTTGTCGAGGCTGAGCAGCCGCGTTATTATCCCAGAGCGAACTTAGGCCCGTAGCAGGGCCGGGTTGCTGTGGCTGTTGTAGACCTCCGTATCGCGAGCCGACTTGCTGGGCTGGCTGAGCGTAGACCGGAGTGACTGGGGGCGGTGCCTTTGGGTCGGGCGGCAGCCAGCCTGGGAAGGGTCGACCTTTCTCGGTGTAGTAGCCCCTCAGCACTCTGCAGACGTGGGTATCGTCTTCGGTATCGCCGTCATTTTCGCTCTGCAACAATCGACTCTGCAGGTTCGAAATCTGAGAGGTGGTGTTGGTGAGGATCCTCGAGTACCAAGATGACATCGTGCCTGTTCCTTGCCGCGAGGATCCTGCGGGGCAAAGACGGTTTCCGACGTTGTTTGTCGGACGGGTTAGGTTGGGGTAAAGAGCTCTGCTCCGGTCGGGTGCCAAATGCTTCTCGTCGGGGGGTTCGTGGGACAATGTCGCTCGCTCGCTATCAGGTAGGTCGTCGTAATAATGGAGTGGAAAAGGAGAAGAGGGAACCCAAGAGCCGTAGGACTTGTTTTCGTCAGACTGCTTTAATTCTGGAGGGCTGCTTGAAGTGGTCCGTTTCACATAAGTCGGTCTAAACGATAGGGAATGAAGCGACCTGGGTCCGACACTTGTCGCCCAGCGGAACGATGCAAGGTGGTGGGGGCCTGGGCCTACCCGCATTGCTCTAAAGGGACTTGCACTAATTGAGGCGCCATGTCTTCTTCACCGAAGAACCCCGGCACTAGCGACTTTCGGTGTGGCATGGATCATGGCCGCTTTGGGACGCGCAAACCTTGCCTTTCTCATCCGGGTGTGGATGATCACCAGAGACATCGTCATGTCTGGCGGGCTGGAATGAATTGAATTCCTCGGGCCGAGAACAGCAACCAACAGCCTGGTTTCATGAGGATACGCGACAAATACGCAGAGATGGAGAACGCGCATGCAAACGGTGCTTCAGCAACATTAACAGTTTCTTGATAGTATATCACAACATGCAATGGTATGCGCAATGCTCCCAAGTTTCGATTTTCCGTTCCGTACCCAGCCGTTAAGGTATCCGCGCCAGACGCCAATGGAAATCCATCCGAGCCCCTCTACTACCAGGTCAACTCCTCCGCGATCTTGGGCCGCTCCTCGGTCTGCTTCTGCTTGAGCCTCTTCTGGTTCATCTTGACCGCGCGGCCGCGCTTCCGCTTGTCGCCAGCCTTGCGGGCCGCCTCCTCGTCGCTGTCCTCCGAGTCTTCCTCATCGTCCTCCTCGTCATCGTTCTCGGCGTCCTCGTCGCTCTCGAGCCAGTCCTCAATGTCCTCGAGCTCCTCGTCGCTCTCCTCGATGTCGGAAACGTACTCGACCTCCTTCTCCAGGTCGTCCTCGTCTTCCTCCTCTTCTTCGCCCTCCTGATCCGACTCGACGCCCGTGTCCATGTCCTTGTCACGCTTGCCCTCACCCTCCTTCTCCATGGAGTTGAGGACCCTTCTCCAGATCGACTCGCTGACGTTGAGGGGCTGGTCGCCGTAGGCGCCGGAACGTAATCTCTCGACAAGCTCACGCTCAATGGTACGCTCCAACTTTGCGGCGGCCTCTGCCTTGCGCTCTCTGGCCTCCTCACGGCGCCGGATCTTGGGCGCCATCTTTGGTACAAGTTTTTCGCCCATACGCTCCTCCTCGGCGGCGATCTTTCGCATGCGGATGTTGACTTGCGTCAGGCGAGTGAGACGTTGCTTGCACTTGTGAATGAGGAACTTGGGCCAGTAGATGAGCTTCTCGTCAAGCATCTCCAGCGCCTTGGCGTAGTTGTTGGGCAGCTTGATGCGCTCCCATAGCTTCGAGGGCATGTGTGCGCGCTCGACTGTCTTCATGTACAAGTACAGCGTGTCCTTGTTCGGGGCTCGTCGAACGGTGGCATAGCGGGAGTTGGCCAGCGGGCACGACTGTCGGTTGCAGAGACCCGTGACATTGTTTTCGTTTCTGCAAAACGTCTGCTTCTTAGTTGTGGAGAGTTTGAAGCTGCAGAACTGCTGGTTGATAATTTGCCTAGTGACGTTAGAACTAACGCCGTATTAATTACCTGGAAGGCATTGACTCACCAGATGATCTCGTCGGACGCCATTGTGACGGTAATGGCGGGGGAAAATGGACGAGGTGTAAGTTGTAGAAAGGCCTGCCGCAATCGAGTACTGTGAGCCCGAGAGGAAAATGTGAGGCGGCGGGGCGCTGGTTTTCCTCTCTAGCAGTCCAAAATCTTTTTTTCTTCCTTCGTAGGCTGCAGGGGTCTTATCGCGATAAGATCGGATGCAAAGCGGCCCGACTGGCCAATGGCACGCGATGGATTCGAAACTGGAGCTCAATTCACTATCCCCCTTCACTTTACTCTTGCATTTTCAGCTAGTGCCCGTCACTCATGTAAAACGTATCATTAATATGGGCGCGGTGGCTCTTCAAGCGATTCATTTTCTTTGAACCTCCTCTTCGTTGTTTTCGTCTGTCTAGTCCATGCCTGTCCTTGTTCGGTCGACGAGGAGCCTCGGCCGAAACGTCTCCTTACAAGTTGTAAAATGTGTTAGTGGTTCAAGTCGCTATTCTTCCAGAACGGGGCCGCTGCCGTGGGGATTGACCGCTGCATGCCACTTATACCAACGGTATCTGGTGCATCTGGCCGGCCCACGAACTCAATCAAGATTCATCACATCAACGTCTGAGATCATTTTCAAGGAAGACAGTATATATGCACTGTCAACAGCGCAAGGTCGGGCCGGAATTGCAGTAATACGCGTGTCCGGCCCTGGATGCACAGATGTAAGCAAACACACCTCCATAGCCAAACTAACCCCCTGACTAAAACACACCTAGGTTTACAAAGGACTTTGTCCAAATAAAGCACTCCCCAAACCTCGCTATGCGGCTGTTAGGACACTTGTAGACAGCCAAGCCGGTGGCGACGGCCCAATTCTAGATTCAAATGCTCTGGTTCTCTACTTCCCCGGCCCCAAGACGGTAACCGGAGAAGACGTCCTAGAACTACACGTCCATGGTGGTCCCGCAACAGTCAAGGCGGTCCTCGCAGCGATACCGAAGTGTCCGTCTGACACCCTGATCCGGTACGCCGAGCCCGGAGAGTTCACCAAGCGTGCCTTCCTCAATGACAGGCTTGACCTCGCCCAGGTCGAATCCCTCGGCGACACGCTCTCCGCCGACACGGAGCAGCAGCGCCGCGCCGCGGTGCGCGGTAGCTCGGGCGTGCTAGGGCGCACCTACGAGAGCTGGCGCCAACAGCTACTGCTTGCCAGGGGCGAGATCGAGGCCCTCATCGACTTTTCAGAGGACCAGCACTTTGACGAGTCGCCCTCGGAGCTAATGAGCAATGTCTCAGCGCTCGTGGCTGATATGCGGCACAGCATCCGGGTGCACGAGGCTGCCAGCCAGCGTAGCGAGCTGTTGCGGAACGGCATCCGGATTGCCCTTCTTGGCCCGCCCAATGTTGGCAAGAGCTCACTGATGAACCTGATCGTCGGGCGGGAGGCGTCAATCGTGTCGATGGAGGCAGGAACTACACGGGACATCGTCGAGGTAAGCCTCGATATTCGAGGGTATCTCTGCTCGTTCGCGGACACGGCAGGTATCCGGACCAAGTCCTCCGTGGGCCTGGGCGGTGACCTCTCCGAGCCCGCGTTAGGGATTGTCGAGGAGGAGGGCATCCGCCGCGCGAAGCAGAAGGCGTCGGAATCCGACATCATTGTCGTTCTAGCGGCGGTGGAGCCGGGGCGTGACGGGGGCTTCCGGATCAACTACGATGCGGAGACGTTGAAGTTGGCGTCGGAGGCGCAGGCGTGTCTCATCGTCGTGAACAAGCGAGACGCTGTTGACGAGTCCACCTTTTCCGGCCTCCTTGATCGATTTAGGAGCGAGGTAGCCGATCACGTCCCGGGCATGGCTCGGACGGAGCTCACCACAATCTCTTGTCGCGAAGCGCAAGCAAAGAGTACGAATGAAAAGGACCCCGGCGCCATCCACGGACTCATCGACCAGCTGGTCGAGTCGTTCGCGGGCATGACAGCCCTACCTACAGACCAGCAAGACCTGTTGGGCGTCACAGCGAGACAGGCACAGCTGCTTGAGCAGTGCCGCGGCTTCCTCGACGACTTCATAGCCGTAGCCCACCCCGAGGAAGAAGGCGAAGAGCCTGATATCGTCCTCGCGGCGGAACACCTCCGGTACGCGGCAGACTGTCTCGCCAAAATCACCGGCCGCGTCGAGTCGGGCGATGTCGAAGAGGTTCTTGGCGTAATTTTCGAAAAGTAAGTAGGAAAAGTCACTCTCGGGTTTTCACGGACGCACTAACACAAGCGGGCTTCAGGTTTTGTGTAGGAAAATAGCGATTAGACAACTATCGGAGCCCGGACGGCGAAGTCCTCGTATATCTAAATCTAATATGTCGGGGGAGGGATGAGAGAGGGAGAATGTGAGATGACAAAGCAAAGACCACCACAGAAAAACAATCTACTCGACACCAATGCGCGCAAACATAACCGTGATAAAAACGAGTGATCCACCGCGATGCTACCATGCGTATCCTGAACTCCGGCCCAATGCATGAAGAGGGGGAAAGAAAAGAGAAGCCGCCGCCAGTACTATTGTCTCCTGGCTCCCGTGTCGCCCCGGAGGGTTACACGGTGGCGACATGAATAAGAGAAACTCCGGTCTAATGCTGATAGGATTGCGAGGTGCGCATGTTGCGATGCGGCCGATGTGTCAAAACACTGGTTGCTGTTCTAGACCACTGCCCGTCGCCATCTATTTGGTTGTACGTTGCGGGTGACAATGCTGAGCGGCAAGAAAGCTAGCCACCCTCAATGAAGTGAAGAGTCAGACGAGGGTGCGTGGGGGGTTGAGACGTTTATTTGTCCTCCTCGTCGTCACCGTCCTTGTTGTAGCCGGAGCGGCCCTTGTTCTGAGACTCGTCGTCGTCGTCGCCATCCTTGTTGTATCCAGAGCGGCCGCGGTCGTTCTCCTCGTCGTCGCCGTCCTTGTTGTAGCCAGAGCGTCCGTAGACGGCGGTGGTGGGGGTGAAGATGAGAGTGAAGCCGGCCATTGTGAAGTGGAGAGGATGTATGTGTGTTTTAAGCTGGTTGTGGTGGCGGTGGTGAGGTTTGAAGGATGAAGTGTAAGTGAAAAGGATTGGATGTGAGAGCTGTGTCCGGCTTGTCTGTTTGGTTTGTGTGTGTGTGTGATGGTGATAATATTCCTGCCTCAGAGGGGGATATATCAAGTATTTATATAGGCGTCGAGACATCCATGTTTCGTCAAACGTGGACATTGAGGCTCGTCGTGTAGGTACGCAGTAAGAGCCGACCCTACCTTACAGAAAGGACAGCCATGGTGATACGATCTGGGCATCTCAGCCTCCGTGCGACGCGGGGGCGGATGACCGGTAAGGGTACCTCAACGGCATGGCTTGTGGGAAATGAGACTTGTGATGCTGGTTTCGGCACGGCCCCCACGGACTCTAGGCAGCCCTTTTTTCTCTCTGTATTCCAAATTTGGGACGTGAAGGGCGATGACATGAGCAAGGCGCGACAGGGGGCGGAAAGAGGAAGAACAAGCTTTAGCCTTCTTTTGCTGGAGAGTGTGACACCGCTCGTTACTCGACCCGTGAGGCTAGGACGTCTCTGTATGGGTGTGTCACTGTCATCGGTCTGCAGGCCGTACGACATGCTACGGCAGACGGAAAACCTGGGCGACGAGATGGTGGGATGGGAGATGGCAGCGAGAGAGTGTGGGCAAGGGCCATGCGCCGGGGTGCCGCGGGCCAGGGTTCTGGGCAGACGTAGGTAGTGAGAGCAGCTCTCGAGCGACTCCACAATAGGCTGTCATATCCATGGGTGTCTCTGGCTTCATTTCCGTTTCTGGCTGCAAAGGGCCAAGGGCGTGGCTTGGGCACCGAGTCCTTGGATGAGAGGACAGGGACAGAAACCAGGATGACGGGTCCTGGTTACACAAAATGGCGCTGTATCGTTGGTGGAAACGCTAAAAGAGACAATAGAATATGATCCGCAACAGCAATGGGCGAATAGGAAGGCCATGGGCAGGGAAGAGGCTGTACGTGTAGGGCTGAGTGCTTGGGACCATCGGTGCAAAGTAAGCACCAGCCTGGCCTGCCTGAAGATACGTCTCAGGTCGGGCCGGGAGAGATGAACGAGGTAGGTCGTCTCACAGGTTCGCAGCCACAGGGTATGTCTTTCTGTCAGCATCTAAGGCTGTGCAGATGTTCATTTGCAAGGACTCCGGCCACAGGTTCGTGTTGGGTGGGGGACGGTGGGCTTTGGGTGGGAGGGAAGCTGACATAAGGACAACCAATGCATCTCGACTGGGCGACTGACCGGTGTGACAGGGTAGATATGCCCGCCTTAGCCGGCTTCACGGTCACCCGCGCGATCTTAATTCGTCGGCTGGAGCAGAAGCCAGGAGTGGCTTCGGCATCGCCAGTATCTAAGCGCAGTGATAGAAACGCTCAGGGGGTTATTCGGCGTTTTGTTCCTATGCCCGGCGAGGCACGGAAGGTCTGCTAATAACCGTTGGCCCGGCTATTGGTAATACACCGTCTGTCATTCCCCCGACTTTGATCGACGCTGCGGGTGAGCAGAAGCAAAGAGTCATCGGCGAGGTCAATAGACACACGGAGGTGCCCCATGTTCGCCTTGCAAGCCATGCGATAAGAAGCCCGGGGAACAGACGGAAGATCAAGGAGGGGAAAAGACGCGCGTGGAAGCAGCGATAGACGAGATGCGGAGGCTCCGGTCAACAAACATTCGTCTTGGCTCTGGTGGGGGCGTCGTGGAGCAGCTGGGAGGGACGGGAATAGGCGGTTCTCGTCCACTTTTGGACGATGACCTAAGATCTCCTGGCCTCACTCGACAAGGCGCCCGGTTTTGTTGTAGTCATCTTGTCTGTTTCGCGATGCAGAAGGACGTCTGCTTGGCGGGCTCTGCCCAAGATGGCTTAGGGCGCATCAGGGTTCGGGCAAGGCCGAAGTGTGGAAGCTAGTTCTCCAAGGGCGCAACACTAGGTACGATGAGGTGATAAAATGTCGCTACTGCAGATGAGACGCGTTTCGGGCAACGTGTGTGTCCTCGGTTGCATGCCGATAATCCTTGGACAAGCGATTAAAGAACAGCAGCCGAGGTGAGTCAGCGGATGCAGCACAATAGTTCCATCAGCCCTGTCGGAACGTTAGGCTAATCGACAGGCAGACAAGACATCACCGCGCGCATGTGGCATGAGACGTTGTCGATTGGGGAAAGCAAGGTGAACGGAAATAGTTGCTGTTGACGATGAGATGTCGTCGGTCGAAGTGCAAGACGTCTACGGAGGAGGATCCGAGTTGGTGGGGGCCATGCACTGATTGGCGTTGAAGCAGTTGTCAACGGGAACGTGTGACAGTGCCCGCCTCTTCTCGCCGCTGGGGGCCGTGGCGCCGGGACCTCCCTGCGACCCGGCGAGTGTTGGGCCACCACGGACCTTCCCTGTCGGCCATTCCATCCCATTTCTTAGCCGCTAATTACCTTATCCGGAATATCAAATCAGCTCAACTGCATCTCTTGTTCACGTCCACGGTCAACCTCCTTCGGACAAGTCACTGAAATTGGACTGTGTTTACGAGTCTTCAAGCTGCAAAGCATGGCGCTGAAACCCGCGAGACAATAGACTATATTTCAAACTCCTGCTCTATATCAACTCTAATCATGCTACCTGCAAGCTTACCAAGCGACTAATAGTCACGGCCAAGGGACCAATACCGACACCACCAATACGTCGTTGCACCCTAGCGTTTTCTCTTGGAATTACTGCGAAAGTAGACAGGGCCGTATCTCTCACCCTCCTTTCGGTCCAGTCTCCCCATCCCCCTCCGGAGCAAAGCTCCCATTCGACATCGCTCAAACTCTTCTTGGCATCTGCTTCCTTCCCCGCTTAATAACACGTCCCGTCCGCAATGGACCACTTCTGAGGGATGCCCACCCTCACTTGCGGCCAACTTTGTTCCCATTATCGGAACTCCGACGCAAACACCACGATACTCAAGACGGCAAGAGAGCATTGGCCCGTCTTTGCAGACGTCAATATTCAAGTCCGCTGTGGTAACTCCAACCCTGTGTCACTGCTATGTATTAGGAAATGATCTTCCCTTGAAGACATAACCCTGTCTGTCCAACCAGAGTTCCAAGCTATGTACCGGTAGATATGAACAAGTCGGCGTTCGGGTGTTGTTCAGTAGCTCATCCGCAATGTTGCCATAGAGTGGCAGGATCTAGCTTCAAATCTCGTTACAATGCAAGCCATATGGAGATTTAGCCCTGGCTGCTGCGGTTACAGGAGTCACATAGATGAGAACAAGTATCATTAAATGTATAGAAGACACCATTGGCCAGGTATTGGGAGGGAAGAACAAACATCCCCTTTTTATTGTCAAAGGGGGGCTAATCCATGCCCAACTCGTACCATACTCGCTTGAATAGCCTACGCAGCAAACGTTCTTACTCAGAATTGGATGATAGGCGCTCTTTTACCTCATCGGGGTTTCCCACAGACCACAGACTGCAGCCCGCGGTGGTCTCAGCGCGCGAAGTCTGACATTGAAGGCCCGCCAAAGGCCCGTCGAAAGAACTGAAAGTCCTAGAACTAGCCACATCACACACAGGTCTGTGTCGTTCAGAGAAACGACCAGGATGCCCAGTGTGACATCTACCCTCCCTCTTCCACAGCTGCCTGGACCTGGCCCGCCTCACTTGAGCCGCGCAGCCCTATGACATGCATACACCTCGTGTCTTTGCTGACACCAGCCATGGCGGAGTCGCAGCGCTGGGCTGCATTCGGTCAACGAGAAGGGACTGGTACACGCACAGCCCGCGTGCAATGCAACCCAGGCGTGTGTCGTGCTTGTGTAACGGTCCCTGGCCAGGCTTACCTACATGCTGTCTCACAACAGGAGGGGGGTGCTTGGAGTTCAGTTCGAAAGATGTCGGTTCGCAGCCGCCCCCGAGCGGCCGCCAAGGCTCCCCCCGACCTTCCGTCCCATCTGTTTACCCCGTCCCCTGACCACGAGGGATACGAGACACGTCACAAGACTAGAAAAGCTATGCAAGAAAACCGCGGGAGCTTCGCCCTGCCCCCACGGACCACAAACTCCTCCTAGTGACCCGACGGGCTCGCTGCCAAGACGGCAGGGAGCAGTCCACATCGAAGGGTAGGAAGGGTCCTCCAGAGTCTTGGATCCTACCGGCTCCCCGCGAGCGACCCCGCATCGACGATGCAGCTTCAGCCCTACGCCAACTCGACCGAGGCCTTCGTTCGTCGTGCTTTCTCACAGCTTACGGGGCCGTTCCTATCCGTTGCTAAGAGGCGCGGGCAGGCGTCATTGCGTCGTACAACGAGCAGAAGGATTTCAGTGTTGGAACGGAAGCTGGACAAGACTGAAGAGCGCTTGGCTTGTTAGGTCGCTGAGGTGCAGTCGGGCACCGAGGGACAGAACCCCAGGGTGGGTGCTCGTTGCTTACGCAGTCGTTATCGTGGCTTTTGGTTTCACAATGTTTGGCGGTTTTTTTTTTGGTGGGAGGTTCGAAGTGCGGAGTAGCCTGGTTGCTTACATCCCTACTTTGCTTTACTTGGATTACACATACCTCGGTGGAGTTAGGGGCCGTAAGCACAAGAGGTTGTCAAGTTCGACATGCGCCATCTCGATCCAATCAGCACTCGGACAGGTTCATAGACGACATTCGAGCCGGGTATCTGTTCGTCTCGGGAATCGTGCCTAACATATCTACTTCCAAGGGGCATTCGTGCTCTCAAGCAACTCTGCCGCCCGAAATCTACGGTGCTTTTTGCTTCATACATGCCTCTCGATGCGCATTCAAAGGAATCAACATGAGGAAATCCATCACAGCTCGTCCCTGACGTGGCCGCTGCCAGCCTTGCTGGGTTCCTCCATGGCCATGAGCTTGACGACCAAGCTCGTCCAGCCTGTGAAGTGCTGCGTGCGCTGGCCCTCGCCCGTCTCGGGGTTGTACTGCTCCCACGCGAAGCCCGTCTTCTCCCAGCTGTTGTAAACGGTGTCGACGAGGTTCTTGCGGAGGCGGGTGAAGAGGTCCGCCGCCTTGGCCTTGTAAGGGCCGTCCTGGGACGCGATGTTCTATTCCTAGTCAGAAACGCGTCTTTCCAAGACCTGTGGAGGGAAAGACTTACCTTCAGCTGAGAGACGGCCATGTAGTTAATGGGCATCCACACAGGGCTGCGCCAGTAGTTCTCGGCCGTTCCGTAAAACTCGTCCTGCTTGCTCAAACTCCTCAGACCATGCGGGCTGAAGAGGTGTTCCTCGTCGCCCAGGAGATCGAGAAGCTTGCCAAGCTTGGGATCATCGGCCTCGAGAAGGCCGACCAGGAAGGGGAAGAGGGAGATGTAGCCCTTGTGGCAGACAAGGGTGTGCTCCTCGTAGGCGTCGATGGTGGCGTCGCAGTAGCAGCCCTCCTTCTCTGACCAGTGGAGATCGTTAAGGTTATGGCGGATGGCGTTCAGAGTCGTCTTAAACTCGTCGACTTCCTCCCTCATACCGAGGGCATCGGCGATGTTCATGAGGGACTTGGTCATCAGGCCGACCCAGGACATGAGGTCGACGTGGAGTTCGCCGGGGTGAGGCGGCTGTGGGCGGGGGTAGTCGTCGAGGCCGCTGGTAAGAATATGGGTCTCGGTGCGGCCGCGCCATCTGTAGCCCTCCTTGTTGGAGAACGCCTCGCGGTCGTACGTCTTCAGGTCTCCCTTCTGGGTCTTGCGGAACCAGTCGTACTGCGCACGGACGAAGGGGTAAAGCCTCCGGAGGAAGTCCTCTCCGAGCTCGACGTTGTCCAGATGAGCGGTCTGAAGGGAGGCCGCGGGACCAAGATGCTCCTTCTCGGCAGGCTGGCTGCCGTTGGTCTTTCGGAGGCGCTCCATAAAGCCCTCGATGATGAGGAACAATGTGGGAGGGTTGGCGTAGTGCGGGTATTGCACTTGAAACTCCTCAGGGACCTTGCTGCGAGCTTCGAGGCCAAGGATCTGCTCCCGAGGAATCCAGCCATCGTCGTCCATGGTGTTAAACCAGCTCTTGACGATCTCCAGGGTCAGGTCGATGTCCCAGTCGGCAATGGGGATGAGGTGGTAACCCTCATCCCAGAGGAATCCTCTAGGGAAGAAAGGCCGGGAAGGGACGGCCGTGAAGAGCTCATAGGGGCCCTCAAGCTCTTGCTGCTTGCGGGCACGGGCAGCCGCAGTCTCCTCCCAGAAGCCCTCGTTCTCCTCATCGTACTCAGGGGCGTACGAGCGGTCAATCAGCTGCGAGCCGTGGAAGTAGCCAATGCCACCGAGCAAATTGGAGAACATGCTCTTGGCGAACTTCTTGTACTTCTCGGCAGTGTACGGGGCCTTCAGGCTGAAGACGGATGAGAAGCGCTCACCGAAGGACTCGGTAACGGACTTGATCTCGCGAGTCACATCGGCGCTGGTGAGCTCGGGGCCGGCGGAAGCAGACGAGAAGATGACGTCGAATTCGAACGCTCCCTCGAACATCTTCTGGACAACGTGAGTGTTGCCTTCGCCGGGCTTGCTCTCAATCTGGTAGGTGAGGTACGCCGGGGGTGGTTCGTTCATCTCGTAGTTCTCCTGAACATACTTGACGCTTTCCTGGATGAGGTTGAAGACCACGCCCTTGCCCTGCCACTGAATCTCCTCGGGAACGTTCATAGACCGCACCGTCGTCCGGTCGGGGTGTCTATTGTCCGCCAAGGGGTGGGTGCTGGAAGGGTGCTTACCCTCTCCCTTGGTGACGACCAGCTTGTACTTACCAAGCTCGGGTGAAGTGCCTTCAAACGCGACGTCGCCGTCCAAGCCAGCGGGGTCGCTCTCGCCGGCAAAGGCGATCTCTCCTTCGGTGCCCTCCTGAGCGATGTAGTAATGGATCATGGTCTTCAGGTCGGCGGGAGCGCCCTCTCTCGGGACACCCTTGATTCTTGCTGCCCAGCTGCCGCCGTTGGCACCGCCGGGCACCTTGATGAACGAAGTGGTGATGTCAATCTGGTTACCCTCGTCGTGAATTGACTGGACACCTCCCTTCCGGGCGTCGTACTCGTCCCAGCCGTAACCGTGGAGGCCCTCGTGCTGTTCACAGGTGTAACGGAAACCTATCGGTCTGTTAGTTGAAGATTACTGACGGCGATGCATCATCTTGGCCCACCCTGCGAAACATCCTGATAGTTGTCAACTCTGGACCACATCAATCCAGTCCACAAGCTCTTGGGAGTTCTCGACCGAACACCAAAATACAGGTTAGACTTGTAGGGGCCCCAGAACAAGCTTTCGTTGTTGAGGCGCCCGACCTCGGAGGTCAAGACGGAAGCCGAGCCAGGACCATTTTCGGCTGCAAGGGCCAGCTGTGCGCCAAAGATGTTGAACAAGGAAAGTGTAATGAAGACGACTAATTGCGTTAGGCGAGCCATCTTTGCGGTGTGTGGGTGATCATCCAGTGCTCATCGGAGCTCTGAGGTGGCAATCGTACACTCACACCACAGCCGTTGAAAAGTCTCAAGCTATGTATGTGTGTAAGAGGTAAAACGTGGTTAAGGTAGTGAGTGAGTGAGTGAGTGAAGCTAGATAGTGAGAAGTATCAAGGTACCTTTTGGCAGACCCTGGAGTGAACACGTTGAAGACGAGCGGGAGCTGAGCTTAATGGAGGCTGAAATGTGGCTTTGACAGCTTGCTTGACGTCGGCCGCCAGTCCGGCCAATCAATCCTATGGAGAATGTCAAGCTTGGGCCATTGGACGTGTGGCGTCGGCTGTTTTAGCGTCAACCCCGTTGTCGATAGCTGCTACGATCCCTGAAACTTTAGCAGCCGGTTCCTATGTAACATGCTGGCGCTGGGGAATGTTGCGCCGAGTTCCAACCTCCACTGAAAGCCCCCCGGTCAAGTCGCACACCGTCACTTGCTGCCAGTGGCTGCGTGCCAATTCCGTCCCGTCCACTGCCACGAACCTCTACTCCTTTCCACTGTTTTGCTACATGAAGTAGTTCTCGTCGATCTGCAGCAACTCCACGCAGGATCTTGAAAGCGCGCAAGGCCCAGACAGCCGCGAGCACACCTTGACGACACCCTGGAAGCCACCTGCTCAAGCTTCGCCGACCTCCGCATACCCTCTTGCTTTGGCGCCGAACGCACGAGACCATCGCGATATGGCCACATAGCTCGCAGCACAATCCTTTGAGTCGAAGATGCTGGACGGAAGACACACGTGCTAGGATGAGCTTGGACTCGCTGTTACCCATCGCTCCCGCGAGGGTGAAGGCATTGATTTTGCCCTCGGCCAGATTAGAAGTGATCGTTTCTCGTCCTTCATTGAGCGCCTGCGGCCCGAACATGTCGTCTCCTTGCGGGATGTCAGCCCTGACGGGCGGCCGAACAGAAGTATGTTTCTTCGTTGCCACTCATGGAAAGAGACCTTACATGCTGACTGGTGATGCACAGATATGTTCTCGCCCTTGGCCTTCCCCGATGGCGCCGTATTCTACGAACTAATAACCCACGTACCCCCACCATCACATCTTGCCCTCACGCCGTTCGACTTCTATCGCGAACCTCTTGCAGTCATCGCGATTGCAGATGGCGATGAACTAAAACGCGTCGCCTTCAATAAAAGACAATCCGGCAATGCGCCCACCGTTGCCGAAAAAAACATCAGAACGTTGTATCAGGAACTAGAAGACTTGAGAGACCGCTTCGGAAAGGCCCTCGTCCACCAAGTCTTGATCTTCGACCATACTCCCTCCAAGGACAACCCGGTATCCCTGCCCGAAGGCCTTATCGCCATACCACCGCCGGACGAGTGCAAGCGGACAACCATGAAGACAATAATGTGCGACATCACGTCGCAGCTCCTGGCCGAAATGACAACCCTGGCCAAGTCATTTGAGGCAATGTCCTTCATTGAGTCTCCCGGACAGTCTCACTCCACAAGACAGGCCAACAGCGCATCGTGGGGCATGGGGGATTCGGAGCCAGCCAACAAGAGGAACTCACAGTTCACTCCAACTCCTCAAAGATCAAGCTCGACCAGTGGCTTGCCAGACCGTCACATGCACCGCATGTCGATGCCGGTCGCACCAATGAAGAACAATTCCGCTATGGCGTCAAGCAACTCGACGCCAGTTCGACCTTCGACTCCTGTGAGAAGCGGGCTTTCGAACCCGCCTACTACGTTTGACGACTTGACTGCTGGCATCAACAGCGGTTCTTCGACTCCTGACCAGAACCCACGGCCAGGTGCTGGAGAACATTTCAGGTCGGAAAGCTCAGATCGAGTTTCAGTGCAGGGATTCGGTCCTGGTGGTCTCAACGACCGCTGGAGGGCCAAAGGAAAGGGCAGAGTGACGATTCTTATGGGTTCCCTGTACCTGCAAGCTGGACGATGGCCTGACGCTCTGAAGGAGCTTATGGAAGGTGCAACTGTTGCTCGATCAATCAACGATCACATCTGGCATGGAAAAGCACTGGAGCTGGTCACCATAACCCTACTGCTCCTGGGATGGGTCAAAGTTGAGTTCCAGGTCCCGTCGATATGTCTGCCTCCACAGGATAAATCTACGGCCGCGACTTATGCTGCGCTAGAAGCAGCAACGACCGACCCGAGTCAGCCCAAGTACATCCGGAACCTTCAAATAGTACTCCCAGATCTTCTGGAGCGGATCCTTGGATTGTACTCGAGAATATCTGCCGAGCACCTGCCACCCTTGCCCTTGGCTGAAACTACGATTCGGTTCTCCAAGATTTTGTCCGCATTGCATCTTGCTGACGGGAAGCTGGGAGAACGATCCTATAATATCATGATTTATGGGAAGCTGCCTTCGACCCCCTTGACCACTTCACCCCGATTGATTATCGTTCCAAGCCGACAGCAAATCGTCACCTTCCTCTTCCGCGCGTTCCCCTCCTCGTCGTCCGAGCTTCTCACCATCACAGACCGGGTTTCGATCTTGGCAGGAATTGCATCTGTACTTGGACCTCTGGGCCATCATCGCAAGAAGGCCATGGTCACCAGAGAGCTTGTGTCAGTGCTTATCAGCGGATTAGTCGAGGCCCGCACTCGAGGTGCTGCAGACATGGGCATACATCCGGCTGCAGGTCTTGTGGCTCTAAACGCCGCCAATGGACACAGCAACAGTGCAGTGGCCCTTGAGCTCGGGGAGGGCGATGTGGAGCAGGGGATCGAGGCGTTTTTGGCTCTGCTGTGCAAGTCGTACGGTATCGTGGGCTTTGATATGAAGAGGCAGCCATCAGATGACACTATCTCTACTGAAGACTCAGACGCTGCTGTCATTGATAGAATTCGCGGACAGGCGGCTGCGAGGTTCTTCGGGTTCACCAGCGTCAAACTGAACATCTTGAGAGCATGCATTAACTTTTCTGAAGCATTGCCCGACTTCAATGGCGTGTTGAAGTTCTCAAGCGATTTGCTTCGTACAGCTGGATCTGGAGTTGCTCCTGGACCTCGCAAGGAAGATGCGTCGCCAGTAATCACCCGCGACGAGCAGATCCGTTTGGTCACAAACATATCAAAGACGTCGAATCTGTCCAAAAGACTGGGCCTGAACCACTTGGCCGCCGAGTATTGGGATGAGTTCTTTGTCCGCGGTGTCGCTCTAGAGCCACTGCCGATCACTAGAATTCCGGTACCTCATGCCAAAAGTACACTTCCTGGCGCGGTTACGGCGAGAACCTCTCAGGATGTTAACCCGTTCATTTACAACCCGTTCCTAAAGCAAGCCAACAAAGCGGCCGCCGACCACATTCTCGTGGCAAACGAACCCGCGACTTTCAAGGTTACTCTGCAAAACCCATATGACGTTGAGGTTGATGTTGAAAGTCTTCGGCTGGACACCAGCGGGGCAGAATTCGAGTCGAACTCGGAGAGCACTATCATCGGGCCATATCGAACTCAAATCCTCAAGGTCACCGGGATACCAAAAGGCCCCGGTGCCCTGAAGGTGACGGGCGCGATCATTCGTGTTCGCGGGTGTCGGGAGAGACGGTTCCCCATCTTCAAAGAGCCATGGACACCGCAAGCAGATGTGAAGGTCAAGGCTACCGGACTACCAGCTCTGGAAAGCACCATCTCCTCGGATGTCCGTATCGGTAGGCCTCTTAAGGCAGAGGACGTGGGTTTCAACGTTATCTCTCAGCAACCGATCGTCATTGTCAAGTCCACGACGCTTCCGCAAGCTTCTGTCATGGTGCTCGAAGGAGAACGACAGGTGTTCTCTGTAACCCTGCAGAACCTCTCCAAGACAACGCCCGTGGACTTCATGCTTTTCTCGTTCCAGGACTCCACACAAGGACCGTTGCAAGCAGGCATTAACAACAGAGATGCCACGCCGGCCGAGTTGTATGAGTACGAATACATCCTCATGAAGCGGCAAGGGCTCCGAAGGTTGAACAAGAAGGAACCCGAGAAGAGATACATTGCTCCAGGGGGCACCGCCACGTTTGATTTCGAAATCCTCGGCAAACCTGGATTGACAAACGCTGCCATCCAGATCGACTATGCCCATCTTGGCATGGCCCCGGAAGAGGTGACAGAGCAGTTCCATACCCGACAAGTCTCACTGCAGTTGACAGTCACTGTCAATGCCAGCGTCGAGCTTGCCCGGCTGGACATCCTACCCCTCAGCGGCCCTGTGCCTCGGCCGCTGCTTAGCCTCACGAATTTGGAGTCGAAAACCGATCCAGCTACCCTGGCGGAAGAATACTGCCTGCTGTCCATGGACCTGCGCAACGCCTGGCCCAACAACATGGAGGTGGAGCTAGATGGAGAAGATGGTGTTGTGATTGAGGAACACATTCTTCCGGGCAACATGAGTCGCGTTATTGTTCCCCTGCGACGCATACACCTCGAAGACCCTCACGCTTCGATCCCGGCTCTCAATCCATCAAGACAGCGTCAGTTTGTCGTAAGCACCAGCAAAATCACGCCAGACATGGAACGCTCAAATCGGGAAGCATTCTGGTACAGGGAGAAGATACTGGACACTCTCACAGCCAGGTGGAAGACAGTATCCGGTCCGAAGCGGAATGGCTACATTGATCTACGCAGCATCAGACTCTCCCCCCGTATGATGGACGCCCTCAGGATTGACGACATTGGCATCAAAATATCAGTCGAAGACCCGAACAAGAGCCACAGTGGAACCGCCAAGGAGTCTGTTTTTGTCGACACGTTTGTTCAAATCAGGGTTGGCATCACAAACCGGTCGGCACAGCCAGTCTATCCAATGTTGCGGCTCATGCCAGCTTTATGCCACCGTCCCTTGAACGTGGCCCTGGACTTCACGCGGAAGTTCGCCTGGAATGGCACTTTACAACAGGCACTCCCCCTCTTAGCAGCCAAGTCTAGCACCGAAGTGGAGATCCAGGCGATGGCGCTCTGTCGTGGGGAGTTTGAGATAGGGGCTTCGGTTGAGGAATACCAAATCTGGGAAGAGCCCAAAGCAGAGAAGGACAAGGAGGAGAAGAAAGAGAGCCGGCAACGATCAGACACCCAGACGTTGCTGAATGCGATCATCGGCGCGAAGGAGAGGCGCATCTGGCATTCAAGACAGCCCTGCGTCATCAAGGTGATGGATCACGACTAGCAGCGTCAGCTAGCTATCTTGTACATGACGAACCGTATGATGGACGTGGAAGAGACGAATCATACTAGAGGCTTGGAGTTGGCAATCGCAGCGGCCTGTGTTACAATAGATAATCAAGTTCGCCCTAGAACGAGAGGTTGACCGTGATAGGTTCGGTGTCCGAAGTCACAGGGATGAGCCCGATCAGCCCGGCGATCGAGTTAAGCTTATGCCTGACAATGGCGCTTCGGCGAATCATGCGTGGGTCTGACCGCCTTCTCGTTTCTGCCTCCAGTTGCCACCGAATTTTCTTTGACAGACGGGTTTCCGGTGCTAGCCGATGGCGGGCCCTTTTCGCCAGTCACAGACGTTCGTTTCCGCCGTCCAAGCTTTGGTTACGACGCTTTCCTGGTCGGCGAGCGTTGCATTGAGAGGCTTCATTCGCCGATTGTTGTCCAAAAAAAGACAGCGGAAACTTTTTTCCCTCATGAAAGGATGACGCGACCTCAGATCCTGTTTCTCGATGCGTACGACTCCTTTACCAACAACATCGTATCCCTTCTCACAACGCTGCTTGGTGCCGATGTTCACGTTCTACCGATTGACACGCCCTTGCTAGACCCAAAGTCGCCGACGTTCTCGGATGATTTTCATCGTGAGCTGTCGCGATACCATGCCGTAGTTTGCGGACCCGGGCCCGGCTCTGCCGCGAACGAGGCGGATGTTGGGCTCATGAGATGTGTCTGGAGATTACGGGATGAGAACCTCTTGCCCGTTCTGGGAATTTGCCTCGGATTCCAGAGTCTTATTCTTAGCTCCGGTGGTAAGGTGAGGAGGCTGCAACGCGGACTGCATGGGATGGTCCGCACCATCCGGCACGAGAAGCCTCAGTCAACCTGCGCCGGAGACATATTTTCTGGTGTTTCTGAGTTCAAGGCAACTCTTTACCATAGTCTCTGTGCCGACATCGGACAGGATTTCATCTTAGATACCGAATGGGTGTCAAGGCGATGGCTAGCGCAGGACATGGCCCCTGAGTTACTGCCCCTGGCCTGGGTCGACGAGGAGAGAGATAATGGTCGCGAAAGGATTCTCATGGCGGTCAAGCATCGGAACAAACCCTTCTGGGGTCTTCAATACCATCCTGAATCCGTCTGCACGCAGGCCGCAGGCCACATGGTCATCCGCAACTGGCTCCGCGAAGCCATGGCTTGGAATCAAGAGTCGAATAGGACGGTCACGAGCGGAGAGCAGTTCCTGGCGAGAAACGCCGTGAAGCCGAGTCTGCTTTCTGAGATTAGGGACGCGGCTCAGGGGGCAACGCACCCATGCTGGCATGGACGGAGATGCCGACGTCTCTGGCGACCGTGGGACTCGACTGCGACTACAGCTATAAGACCATCGACCTTCCGGTGAATATCAAGGTGCCGGATATCGTGGAAATACTGAAGAGCGGCAGAACAGAGCACATCATTTTGGACTCCTCTAACTCAAGCAACATGGCTACTGGCGCTGCGGATGTACGAGGAAGATTCAGCATTATCGCACTGGACGTGGAAGAGTCCCTGCGTATCGAGCATCACGTTGGAGACGACTTCGCCACGGCACGCATCCCTTCGATCCAGGGGATGCCCGTTGACCTCGTGGAGACCATTGCCTTGGGGCCCCGTGAGAATATTTGGCATCTGCTTTCCAGCTTCCTCGAAAAGCGACACGTCACGGCGTCGGGTGATCTGGAGACACCGTTCCGGGGTGGCTTCATGGGTTATCTCACATACGAGATGGGACTAAAAGGAATCAACGTGGCCGTGTCAAATGACCGTGAGCACCAGCGGCCGGATCTGTGTTTCGCCTGGGTCACGAAGAGCATCGTTGTGGATCATGTCAAGGGGCTCTTGCACGTTCAACACCTGCAGAAGCGGAAGCTCAACGCCGACTTCTGGATCGACTCTGTGGTAGCATCACTGCAGACATCGCACCTCTGGCAGTCGGGCAAGGCCGCCGTCAATGGCTCGGATTCGTCGACGGTGGCTACCCGCCCTACAATTCAGGTGCCCGACGCCGACGACTACGAGGCCAAAGTCTCCCGCTGTCAGGACTTTATCGCGGCCGGCGAATCGTATGAGCTCTGCTTGACAGATCAAACGACAATAACCCTGCCAGGACGCCAGGCGAGGGAAAATGGTCCAAACGGGCAAGTCAATGACCGCACGCCCTCCAAGTCAGCCTACGTCGCGCCCTGGAAGCTCTACAAGACCCTCCGCGCTCGCCAACCAGCACCCTTTGGCTCCTTTATTCACCTCGGCGGCGCGACGCTAATCAGCAGCTCGCCCGAGAGGTTCCTGGAGTACGATGCCAGCGGCTTTTGCTCGATGCGGCCTATGAAGGGTACCGTTCGCAAGTCCAACGAAGTCGCGACGCTGGCTCAGGCGGAGCAGATCCTGCATGTGCCCAAGGAGGAGGCAGAAAACCTTATGATCGTGGACCTGGTGAGGCACGACCTGCACGGCGTGTGCGGGTCCGGGAACGTCGAGGTGCCACACCTGATGAAGGTTGAGGAGTACGCGACGGTTTTTCAAATGATCACCATCGTCAACGGACAGTTGCCGGACCACCGGACTGCAGCAGATCGGCATACGGGATTGGACCTGCTTGCGGCTAGTCTTCCGCCGGGGAGCATGACGGGGGCGCCCAAGAAGCGAAGCTGCGAGCTGTTGCAGGAGATTGAGGGCCATAGGGAGCGGAGCCTGTACTCGGGCGTGGTGGGGTACATGGATGTCACCGGAAAGGGGGACTGGAGCGTGACGATCCGGACGATGTTCAAGTGGGACGACGAGGTCGCGCCGCCTATGGACGGCGAGACGGAGCCACGGGAGGTCTGGCATATCGGGGCCGGTGGTGCCGTGACGATTCTGAGCACGCCGGAAGGAGAGAGGGAAGAGATGTTTACCAAATTGGCGGGACCCTTGGGGGTCTTTGCGGAAGCTTGAGTGGGATAGTCTGGATGATGTTACGAGGTCGGTCGTTTCTTGGGGTTTGATTTACTGGCGTTGCACGCGTTGAGATGGGGCTCATGGCGGGGGTGTTTGATTGATACCTCAACGTATCTGGGATATTAGACTCTGGACCTTCACGGGTATTAGACTCAACTTTAGACGACCCGGATCATCCATATGAAAAACCAAAGACAACTTCGATATTAGACAGGGGTCGACAATGCCATTGGAATTAGATGATTCTTTTTCAAACATAACAAAGTGAAAAAGGGAAACGCCCGCCTGACGGACTGATGCTGGATATACATGTGAAGCCCAAGCAAAGTCAAGCGTACCAATCCAAATCCCTCTTCCCATGCCGGATTCCCAGATCCGAGAGCGCCTTCCTTGTTCCGACACCGTGTCGTACTGTACAGGCCCGCCGCCAATCTGGATGGAATGCATAACCTCTCCCCTCACTGCTGCTGTTCCTCTTCTACTCGTACGTGGTTCATGTCTCCTGGGTCGTCGTGCCTCCCGCTCTCAGTCAGAATTCCTGCTCTTCCTGAAAGAACATGCCGAAGCTGATGATGGTTCCGTAAATGAGGAGACCGCCAATTATCGACATGACCATGGCCTCGACCTGGATGAGGTTGGAGTGGGCGAGAACGACGGGAAGGGCTGTCACAAAGCACGATTAATAACACAGATCGACAGAGACGAGTGAACGGAGGGGGGAAGGGAGACTCACCAATTCCCATGACTACCAGGAAGCCAGTGCAGAAGCGGCCGAGATCCAGAACGGCAGCGCCGGAGCCCTCGACAAAGTCATCAGGGTTGGCGCACCGGGAGCAGATCCAGTTGGGGATCGGGGCCAGTACGTAGGTGCCTACGACGAGGAGTGGGTAGTAGACCTTCCAGAGTGCACACGAGAGAATGACGAGGAGAAATCCAACAGCGAGAACGAAGGAGAGGGCGATGATGGTCTTGAGCCCGGCAGTAGGCATCTTGGATGTTGGGGGGAGGTGGGTGGTGTGTCTTGGTGTTACTTGTTTCGGACGGGTATCGGGTCTTTGAGGAGCTGGGAGCTGGGTGAGAGGGCCCCGTCGGGGCTGCAAATCGATTATTAAGAGGGGATCCAGTGGCTCTTGCGGAACTCCGAGCGTCGATGGTCTGTATAAAGAAGTTTGTCGATTAGCGGTCGCGTGGGAGCTTCGTGGTAGAATTGATCGGTCGTCGTGGATCGCGGCTAGGCTGGCAGGCTGAGCTGTGATGCGATGGCGGGTCCGGGCCTGACGCAGTAGGGTGGGAAGGCCGTCGTCAGCGCTCACGGCGCAAACTTATTCCAGAACCCGGGCTGGCTTCTATTGGGGAGCGAGGTGGGAGGTTCCTCCTCACCCCGGCAAGACCCCGGCGCAGGGAGGTGAAGTAAGGTACGGGTGGTACGTAGCTCGAGAGTGCACGGAGCACCTTGCACCCCGGCACCTGGCTCCAGGCTGAGAGAGTACTACGAAAGCTCGACCTGCCTTGAGCTGCTGGCCTGGCGGGCGGGAGAGGGACGCTTCTCGCTTTATTACCTATCCACCACCAAGCTCTCACCCTCCCCATCACCGACTGCTTGTCCAACATCCACGAAAACACCCCGCGATATCCTCTCCCTCACAACCACATCTTCACGAACTCTCGAATATCCCCTGTTGCAGACCCTCTCGAGCTGCTTGACGAAGCTACGAACCTTCCCTTACGCCCGCCATGTTCAGAAACAATTACGACAACGACTCGGTGACATTGTAAGTTGTTTGGCGCCCCCCCTCAGCCTTCCCTCCCATCTCCCTATCAGCCGGCTTTGCAGGTGGACAAGACATGTTTGGCTGACTCTTCTTGCAGCTCGCCGCAAGGCCGGATATTCCAGATCGAGTATGCAGCCGAAGCAGTGAAGCAGGGTTCCGTAGTAGTAGGCATCGCCAGCAAAACACATGCCGTTCTGGTAGCAATCAAGGTACGACATCGCTCTCCATCATCCCTTCCCAATGCATGCGCGCATAGTCCATTATGTCGCCAGCAACACAAAGCTGACATGCCATTTCCCTCCGGTAGCGCAACGCCGAGGAGCTGTCCTCGTACCAGAAGAAGATATTCCCCGTCGACGAGCACTCGGGCATCGCCATTGCCGGCCTCACCTCGGACGCCCGCGTCCTCTCCAACTTCATGAAGCAGCAGTGCCTCGGCCACCGCATGACGTACGGCCGCTCGATGCCCCTCCGCACCCTCGTCGATATGATTGGCGAAAAGGCGCAGATCAACACCCAGGTCTACGGCAAGCGGCCTTACGGCGTTGGCCTGCTCGTCGCCGGAGTCGACGAGCGCGGCCCTCACCTCTTCGAGTTCCAGCCTAGCGGTATGACGGAGGAGATGGTCGCCTTCGCCATCGGTGCTCGCAGCCAGATGGCCCGTACCTACCTCGAGCGCAACATCGACGCCTTTGAGAGCTGCTCGCGCGAGGAGCTCGTGCGCCACGGTCTCAAGGCTCTCAAGGAGAGTCTCGTTCAGGACCGTGAGCTGACGGTCGAGAACACTAGCGTCGGCGTCGTCGGCTTCACCGAGAAGGATGGTCTCAAGGAGATCCAGCCCTTCAAGCTGTTCGATGGCCAGGATGTCAAGGAGTGGCTCGACAGCGTCGCGGCTAGTGAGGGCCAGGGTGGCGGTGAGGAGGGCGGTGAGGGCATGGAGGTTGACGAATAGACGCCTACTCGTCTGCCAGAGAGGCAGCGATGGAGGAAATAAGGAGAGGAGGCGGGTAAAAGCTTGCGTTGCGTCGGATCTAGACTGGACCGTCACCAAACTCTCTACTCCTTCAGGAGGGAGATGCGGCTGATTGGGCTGGCTGAGGGAGGGCACGGGAAACGCAGAGTACCTGAACGCACTGAGCCGGCCCGTTTAGACTTGTACCAATACACTGCAAAAAGGGACATTCGACAGCCGAAAGAACGAGCTGCATCCGATGATTCAAGAGACAAGAAGACATACGCTGACTCGATTGCACACACTGTGACGCGGATGTCTTGGAAACAGGGTTAAGAATGTAGGTCTATTTTTCTTGGTTGTGTAACTCTCACAGTGGTCTATCAAAAACTACAACGCATGCTACCGACGACAAACATGACAGTCGACCTCCCCTGTCTTTCCTCCTCTCTCCGCCCAATGTCTTATCCCATGTGTCACCAGCACCGACGGTAAAGGCAGAAACCCCTCCCCTTCGCTCGCTTCATTTCTATCCAACCCCATGTTCCGACCGTGACGCAGAGATGAGGAAAAGAGAAGAGCGCCAGACTCCGGTACGCATCCGCCTTTCGCATTGCACACACCGTCGCACGCCTCCTTTTGGTTTCCTCGCTCTTCAAATCCTGCTTTGCCTCAATCTCAATTCGTATATGTTCCGTTTTCCCAAAATTTGACTTGCTTGTGATTTCCTATCACTTACGAGTTGTTCCAGTCGAGCTTGAAGGTCGCCTCGGAGACCTTATAATCGCGAAGGGCCCTGATGGCGCCCTCGGGAGTGGTGGAGGTGACGAGGATGTCGGCATTGGCGGCCTTGATGAAGCCCTCATCGACGCTCTTGCCGACCCACTCGAGAATGCCGTCGTAGAAGCCGTTGATGTTGAGGAGGCAGATGCCCTTGTCGTGAATGCCGAGCTGGTTCCAGGTGGCCGTCTCAAGGACCTCCTCGATGGTGCCGTAGCCGCCGGGCAGGGCAATGAAGCCGCTTCCAGGGCCGCCGGCGAAGACTTCCTTGGCCATCATCTGCTTGCGCGTGTGCATGTCCTTGACGACTGTGGTGCGCCCGTAAATAGTCTCGTCGGGGACGTACATGTTGTCCTTGTTAATGGTGCCGTAAGTCCCGTCGCGCTCGTACTTGACGAGGGCCTCAGGGATGATGCCGTGAACCGAGTCCGGACCGGCGAGGGCGACGAGAGACTTTGCCACCTCACCCATCAGGCCGACGGTACCACCGCCGTAGACTATGAAGTGTCAGTTGATGCTCTCCTTGTAAGCCTGTATGCATTTCATGACGTCCAAATATAGCGCGTCGCATTCTGTCGTTGATGCAGTGAATGAAGCTTTGTCGCTGCCATGATAGGTGGGTTGGGGTGGGAGTCAAGGGCAAATGGGATGAGAGTCAGACGAGGGAACATGAGTAACTCACCAAGGTCGATGTTGTTCTCTGCCATGATCCTAGCCAACTCACGAGCGGCCTCCATATGCTGGGGCTTGAAACCAGGGGAGGCACCGCAGTAGACACAGATCTTTGTGCGCTTCTGCGTGCCGTTCGTGATGCCGTTGGTGTGACCATTTGTGACAGCGTTGGTGGTTATGTCGTTGCCACCAGGCGTGCCATCCCGGGATGCCGGGAATGATGGCAGAGGTGAAGGGCCGCCAGACTGCATTGTTGCGGTTTTGCTAAGAATTCCAATGAGATTGGAAGTGTATATCGAGATAGAGTGTTTGGCTTGTTTTCGTTCTGTTTTGTTGTGGTCAGTTTGTTAGTGAGAAAAGGGGAGAGGTTCACCAAACAGCTTACGATTGAGTGGTGCTCAGTCGTAATAGTTACGAGGCTTAGTAGGAAGTCAAGATGACGGAAATTTTGTGGGGAAGGCGAGTATGAGGTTTTGGTAAGAGTCACAATGAGATATTAAAGCCGGTTGGCGCCGCGTTCCGAGGAATTTGCAAAATTCCAACTTCTGAGTCAGAGGAAAGGAAGACCAAAAGTCACAATAAGATCAGAGAGAAGAGGCCGAGAAAGAAATTGTGAAAGGGGAGAAGAGATGGCGGTGAAAAACGACCCCGTTATATACGTCTCTTAGGACGACCAAAAAGGGATGCAAGTTTGTCTCGTTGGTTGGGGATGGAAGAGGAGCAAGCTTATGGTTGGCGACTCGGTGTATCAACTATCCTGGTAACCACCTGAAGGGCAATAAGAAAGAAAGGAAAAGAAAGATTGGACGAGGCGAGAGGGGAGCACAGATGTCAATGAGACAACGAGATGTCAAGTTACCGCCACGGACGCATGGGCGACGGGCCGGAGCTCTGGATTTAGCGTAGCGACTGGAACCAGTCGATGGTCCCAAAGGTCTCGCTCGGGGATCTGTGGCTCCTGTGCCGGTACAGTAGTGTTGGGTCTAGTTCCAGGCGTCGTACACCAGCCAGGAGGGAAAAAGCAAAGCCCAGGGCCCTCTCTCGTTGCTTAACCAGAGACGAGGGACGTGGTCGGGTGACAATGGTTGACATGAACGTGGATTTGGGACGGGAAGGGGGAAAGGACCGTGGACCAAGGACGGATCCGGGGTCTGCACTTTGCTTCTGCAGCGCAGTGAAGTTTGCGACACTTGACTTGTTGAACAGAACTGATTCATCAATTCGACTGTTGCCGAGACTCGACATGTTTGGGGGTACCCTAGTTTGCCTGCGTATATGGTTTGTCAACTTGTTACGCTGCGACTGGCCCGCAACAGTGTCCAGGTGACAGTGTCGGAAGCGAGGTCCGAGTCCAGTGTTGTGCGTAATTCGACCTCGATGACTCCAACAAACTTGGCCTTGGCCAGGGCTATCCCGCCAGGACAGCCACTGAGGGCTGAAAAGCAACCGGTAAGGGGGGATGCGCTGGTGGATGTTGAGAAAAGGAAAGCTAGGGGATCAACCCATCTGCTTCCGGCCCGCAGAGGTTGGCGATTTTGGATGGTTCCTGATGAAGACCGCAAACGGGTACGTATCCTGGTGCTGGCAGTGACGAACCGAGAACAATGCAAACACAATGTAGCCAACGTCTATCTCTTGTCTTTCTTGGCCGGTGTAACGGAACGACACGGCTACTCGCGTGTGTACTGTGCCGTTGGCGAATGGATGGGAAAGAGGGCCACGGGAGGCAGTGTTGGACGTCGATTGGATTGCATCAGGTTCTTCACTTGTACGTTGTAAGATGTTGGACGACATGGACATGGCACAATGCACAGAATAACCTTGTCGATGGAACCCAACAATGCTAGATAACGCAAGAGCCGAGATGGGGTTTGGTCGACGCCGCCTGCCTCTCTGGCAGGTGCATCCAGCATAGCTACGAATTGGCCACTTCTCCAGCACCGGATGCTGGGGACACTTTGGCACTGCAGCTTTAGCAGCTTCCGCTCCCCATCAACGTGGTGACACCCCCTGTTCTCCTCGCGCTCTCTTCTAGGCCTGCCGCGCCGAGTTCCAAGTCCAGTGTGCTGGGTTCGTGGCGACGCCTCGGCTGCTGATTCGCCCAAACAGCACGCAATTTCCAGCTTGTCCCGCAGCCACACAGTCGCCTCCAGGGTCCAGTGCCTGACTTTTGCGATGCTCTCCGCCGCCTGCCAATCTCCGTGAAGATTGTCCCGACTTCACTCCTCCAGCAACCGATATCGCTGACATCCTCGGTCCCCGCGCCGGAGAAAGACACGGTATCTTTCGCCATCCTACTCGACGAGTTGCTTTCTTGCAACCATCAGTAGCCGAGCGATCAGACTCTACTCAAACGCCGAGTCCGCCGTTCGACATCCCCGCACTGCTCCAGCGAGCACGCGATCTGTCCTCCGCCAACTCGCGATCCCATCAGTTTCCGAAGACATTGTCTCACGCGCGCTGCGGAAGATGGCTCAACCCAATGCGCCAGCAACGGCCGGCGCTCGCCCGGCTGGTCAGCCACAGGAACAAGGCGTGAGTTTCCTGCCCGCCACCTCGCGGGGTTCGCATTACGAGACATCAAGCTGACCAACCGCTTTTGTAGGGCATGGGCATGATGCAGAAGCTGCTCCTCGGTGGCTCCATGTACTTCGGCATGAACATGCTCATGAACAACATGTTCCAGAAGACCCAGACCGGCACCCAGGTTAAGGACGCTGACGGCAATGTCATCAGCGTCCCCGCCAACACCGAGGACATTCCGCCGTATCTGCTCCGCCCCAAGACTCTGAATGAGGGTGCCACCTACAACCAGATTCCCCGCAAGCTTGCTCCGATATGGCCTATGGACAGCTACGTCGACATCATCGTTACGCTCTCTGACACCTTCGTGCCGACCCCGCTGTCGCAGACGCCGCAGGAGAAGATAGTTCTGAAGGAGCAGAAGTTTAAGATTGGCAACTACAGCGAGAAGCGCTCCGTCGACACCACCATTGACATTCCCCCATCGGTTCAGAACAACGGTACCCTCTGGGGTCACTTCTACATCTCGTTGCCTGGGAGCCAGCCTGATCCTCACTTGGAGACGTACGACCCTGCTTCTGCCTACTACTTTGCGTTCCCCCTTACTCAGTACATCCCTAAGAAAAAGGAGTTCAAGACCAGGTCTTTGCTGGAGGGCAAGGCTGAAGAGGAACCAGAAGAGGTGGTGGAGGAGAAGGAGACTGGCCCCATTATCGCCAGCTACTATCACCCGAACGCCAGCTTCTCCATCATCCCCAACACTGGAGTGCTCGACTACCGTCAGACTCACCCTGCCATCCGCCCGTTCCTTCATCTTGAGCCGACGGGCGCGAGAGACGGTTCCGGCCAGCACTCATGGTACTGTAAGTCAATGCCCTACGGTTCCGTTGGCGGCCAGTACTGACCTTGATAGACCCTATCCTGTTCATCAACACCTTCTGGCAACTCAAGAGTCAGATGATCCTTCTCAATGACACCGTCACGTCGGTTCCGCTGCACATTGATCTGAACAACATGCGTTCTTGGCAGTTCAACACTCTCGCCGCGATAGAGGCGAGTGCCAAGGAGTCCGCGCGTCAGGCTGCGTACGGCGGATCTCTTCCCGGCGGTGGCGATGGCTCCGAGATTGAGATGGTCAAGGAGATTTTTGGCGACACGAATCCCATCCTCCTGGGTGTCACTGTCATCGTCAGTATTGCCCACATGATCTTGGAGACACTTGCTTTTGGTTCCGACATTGCACATTACCGCAAGAAAAAGGACAACGTCGGTATCTCGGTTCGGTCCATTCTGGCCAACGTCTTCATGCAAGCAGTCATTCTGCTCTACCTTATCGATAACTCGCAGAATACCAGCTGGATGATTCTGGGTGGCCAGGCTATCGGCATTGTCATTGAGCTCTGGAAGATCACCACGATCGTCAACGTTTCGATCAAACCCGCGCCTCCAGGGTCATGGTTGCCCTTTGTTATCGCTGTGGAGGACAAGCACAAGCTCAGCGAGACGGAGGAGAAGACTAAGGAGTACGACGAGATTGCCTTCAAGTACATGTACATTGCCGGTGTGCCTCTGCTCATCGGCTATGCCATCTACTCGTTGGTATATGAGACGCACAAGTCGTGGTACTCGTACATCATCACGACCTTGGTCGGCTCCGTTTATGCGTACGGCTTCCTCATGATGGTTCCTTCGCTGTACATCAACTACAGACTGAAGAGTGTTGCGCACATGCCCGCCAAGGCCATGATGTACAAGTTCCTCAACACCTTCATCGACGACCTGTTTGCATTTACCATCAAGATGCCCTTCCTCCACCGTCTTTCTACTTTCCGCGACGACATCATCTTCTTCATCTACATTTACCAACGCTGGGCCTACAGGATTGACTACACCCGTGTCAATGAGTTTGGCCAGGGCGGCGAGGATGAGGAGGAGGATGCGGCCAAGGCCAAGGCCAAGGAGCTGCTCGAGAGCGATCCCGCCGCGGAGAAGGTCAAGGATGCCGCAGGCAAGGCCACGGGCGCCGACACTGGCAAGGCAAAGAAGAGAAAGTAGACGCCAAAGATGCCACATGGCAGAGGAGATTGTGGATAACATCGTGTACATGATAGACCTGGTACAGGTCTGGAACAAGGGGCAGTCATGGACTACATGGCGGGTCGTTGTGGACAGGCCAGATGGTCGCGTAACAAACATAGTGAATCAAGACTCAAATTTCTGTCAAGGACCACAAAGATAATCTCGTCATCCCTCACATGTCGTCTGCATGGTGCATCTCATCCGCAGAAGCATATAAACTAACATGCACGCTTGGACGGTCTGGCGAGACGACTAAGAAAGTGTTGGGTCGGAGGAAAAGCAATGATGATCAGCTGGTAAGTGTTTGCCTGCCCGACTACGTTAGATCTGTCCTACCATACCTGAAGAATTCCACCCTTGATGGACACCAATCGGAAAAGCAATGCGGAGCGTGATACCTTGGCCACTTGGCCAAACTGATACATTTCAAAAAGCAGCGTGAGCAGGTGAGCAGCTCTCGCGGCTGAGAAAAGCCGTGGGAAAAGATGGCACAGTTCCCAAGCTTGGGACAGGGGGGCCCGTAAAAGTCGCCAATGGCGGGGGTTCGCAGTTGGTCGGAGCCCCCCCGTGCCTGGTAGGGCAGAGACAAGCTCGAATGTCGCCGCGCCTATCAGAGAGTTCCATTGGGGGAGGGATGACGCCAGGTCCCCTCCAACGGTGTTTTGGGGCCGGGGTTGCAGCTCCACGTAAACACTGCCTTTGGCCCCCTAGCTTCTCCCTCCGGATAACGTAGTGAAATTTAGTGTGCGTGGCACGAGGACTGTTGATGAAAAAGGTGGGGGGCCGCCGAAAATAAACAAGAAGCAGTAAGCAGCGTTGCCGCGTTCCTGGGCAATGGGTTCTTGTCTCTGGTTGATCGGCTATCTATCGTCCACGCAATACAGTGTCTGGGTGGAATGGGGACGAGAGAGTCTATGAAGAAAGGGATGGAAGAGGGTTTCGCGGAGAGCAGAGGAAGGAAGAGACCCCCTTTCAAACTCTCATTTACCTTACGGGATACAACCCGGCAAACAGACCGACTACAGCTACCCAAGCAGCGATGGCTAACCTAGACACCCACCATCAAAGCCCCCCCATCCCCCCCAAACTTAAAGCTCCTTCGAGTGCCCCGGTCCCTCGTGTTTGACACTGGATTGGATCCAGTCTCGTTCCCGTAGCCAGCAAGGTGATATGACCAGGCCGCACCGGGGCCAACCCCAAAGATCAACCGACCGCAATCTTTCTCTGGCTTTCCCAGTCACTCGCCCGGTTGTGCCTTCCTTTCTTTTTCTCTTAAACCTTCCTTCCGCACTTCCATTATTCCCTCTGTTACTACGTTAATGCCCACGTCCCCCAACACCGTCGCGTGCGCCCTTCCTGCTTCTGTTTGAGCCTCCTACCCGTTCGTCACATGCCCGGGTTCTCCCGCCTGTCACTTTGCGTTCGTCCCATGGATCTCTTCCGATCATGACATACCGATGGCCGCATAGGGTCCCCAGCAACGAAATAGCCAGTCGAGCACAGCACACAGCACACAGCCCAGCGCAGGCACCAGGTCTTTGCACGAGCCACGCAGCAAACGCACCCGCCAAGCAGAGCTCCGGCTTTTCGGGACGATAGACGGGGATTCGAGGTCCACGCTGCTTCGTACGCAGTGGACAGTGGAGTTCCACAACACGTACCTGACGTTTCTCATCGTCCCAAATAGGTCATCCCCGGCACCCCGACGCTCCACGGTGCGGTGGGAGGGAGGGAGCCCAGCCTTCACTCTAGGGGAAACGTAAGCTACAAAATAGGTTCGGACGGTGTGGCCGCGCCGCCCGCCTGCCCGCGCCCGCCGTCCGTCATTCACCCTTTCGGTTTCTGCCCCATTCGGGATATTCTTCGAGCCCCTCTCCAGAGCTGCAAAGGGCGCGCTCAAGGACATTTATCATTGGGGCGCACGCCGCACAGCACCCGCCAAAAACCGAAGAAGAGCGCCCACCCCCCTCGATCGAACTGCCGTGTGCCGCCGCGCGAACACCACTCCCTCAACCTATCCTGACGAATCCCCTCGAAAAGGGTTTTTTTTTTCTAATCGAGGAGACCGCGGAAGGGCTCGCCGAATCATGAGCAACCCTACCGTCGGGTCCCTTCTGGCTGCCATTGCAACACTCATCAGTGATGGCCTGCGAATCTTCCAGCTCGCCGATAAGCGCCAATGGGGACCTGACGAACACGAACAGCTGCGCCTGCTCGAGGACACCCTCGACGATGCCAAGAAGGATTTCCAGGAGCTGTCGGTCCTCGTCAACGGCCAACGCTATTACATGAACGATCGTAAACGTAAGTCCGCCAGCATGCCCGGCATTGTCCATTGTCGCTCCGCGCCTATCTAGAAGCTGTTTGTGTCCGAGGTTCTACGGACCCCCGCGATATAGCGGAGGCCTCACGTTGCCTGTCGACCCCCGCCAAATCTCGCCTAGCTTGTGCATTGCGCAACCAGCCAACGACCCATGCTGACTGTTTGTCTCTAGCCCATTCAATCGCCGAGTTACGAGTCATGCATTCAAAATTCGAGCTTCATGTCGCAAACTTTAAGGACTGGGCGAGGACAGGAGGACCGGTCAACCCGGTATGGGCACGAGACACGACAGAATTGCGCCGCGAACTTCACCGTGCACAGTGCCGCGCTGCCAGGAGGATTTTCGCAGCAGAGCAGGAGGCGTCAGCAAGGTGTCTAGGCGCCTTCCTCGTCTACAGAAAACAGCGGGAATGGCGGAACCGGCCTGCCCGGACTGAGGAAGAGCACCACCGGCGACATGTGGAGGAGGTGGTGGCTTGCAACACCATTGGCAAGTTTGAGCGCTTCGGCGACGGAGACATTGCTTTCGTGTGCGACTTTTGCGACGGGCATCTGGTGTGGGAGGACCTGGAGAGCATGCCGTCGCTGCGTGCGGCCGAAGAATCTAGCACCAGCCCCATGTCGCCCATGTCGCCCATGTCGCCGACGACACAGATGCCGCATTGGCAGGCGACGGGATTCACCGCATCAAAACGACGAGAAGAGAAGACGGTCGTGTTCGCGCCCCTGGCGATAGCGAACCACATGGCGCCGTATCAGGGGGACTGGGTCGCCCGCCTCCTATGCCCTTTTTGCGACGAGGCGCCTTACACCGAGGGAGGCGACGATGACGACGACATGCGAAATCCTCTGGACGACTCCGGGTTTGAAGATCTTCAGGCGTTCCAGGAGCATCTCGAATGGGAGCACACGGCGGCCTCGATACCAGCTGTGCCCCTGCCCAAGGCGGCCAAGGAGTGTTTGGTGATGTGACACCATTAATTCGACAACGGTTTCTGGCGGCGCAATATGGCGGTTCATTCGTGTACAAGCTTAACCGTTTGCAGTCTTTTTGACACAGGCGAGGAGTTGGGGGGTTTATAAGGAGGGACGGAATCCGTTCATCCGCACCACGACGCATGATATAATTCTGGGGGGTTTTTTTTTTCTTACCTCTTGATACCGCAGAACGGCCATTTCACACAAAAGATCGGAATCGCCCGTATCACCATGTAGGTCTGGAGAGACTCGTTACGACAGAGATACCACAAGTTATGTAGTGTTGGATCATGTTCCACATTAAGACTCAAAATAACCACTATTCTGCAAAAGCCCTCCCGTGTTTTGTCGCTCCTCTGCGTCGCCTCCGCGTCTTTTTGAAGCGCCCCTCGCCGTGACTCGGTTGATATACACAAACACAGAGAGAGATGTACAACCACTGCAACATTAACGCCCGTCTGCTAAAGAACACAACCCTTACAAACATGTCCCTAGAACGGGGCGGTCCCGTTGACCCTGCACGTTGCCGCGCACCGCTGACTAAAAGAAACGCCACCAGAAGAAGACGATGACGATGAACCCCAGGGCGCCGAGCGGGCCGTACTGCTTCAGCAGCAGCTCCCAGTTGATCCTCACCGCCGCCCGCCTGTACTTCTTGCTGTCGTCCCGCAGGCGCGAGCTGAGCTCGCCCATGCGCTCGAGCGAGTCGCCGCGGTAGAGCAGGTCCTCGATGTTCTTGGTCATGACCTTTGTGACGTCGCGCAGCTCGTCGTTGAGCTTGTCGAGGTTCTGGGAGGCGCGGGCGTCCGAGTAGGTGGCTTTCGTGCGGGAGATGAAGGTGTCGAACTCCATGAAGGCGTAGGGCCGCAGGGACGGCGAGTGGAGTTGGGCGATCGGGTAGGTTGTCGTGAACTCGCGGGCGAGGTCGGAGAGGTATGTGAAGGCGAGCTTGCGCGGGTAGGAGCGGTCCGTTATGCAGAGGAAGGTTATATCCGAGTCGATCAGGTAGCTGGCGAGGGTGGGTTAGTGACTATCTTTGTTGGGGGGGGGGGGGGGGGGGGGGGGGGGGGGGGGGGGCACGATGACGGAAAAAAAAGGGGACGGACTTTAGGTTGTAGGCGCCGCTTTCGATGCTGGCTTGAGGTTCCGAGTTGCGCGTGAGCTTGCGGAGGACCTGCTTGATTTGCGACTTGACCTCGGAGAGGGCGGCTTCTTGTTGCTCGTCGTCGACGGAGGCGCAGAGCATCAGGCCTGGCGGGTGTTAGTTCGTCCGTGTACGGATGCGAGGAGGGGTGGAGGGGAGGATATGACGTACCGTCGAGCCTTGCTATTTGCGTTGAGCGGATCATTTTGTCGGGATGTGCTGGGTTGTGAGAGAAGGGATGCGAGGGGAGCTCTGGCGAGTTCGTAGAGAGTAAAGTGTCGTTCCGAGGCTCCTTTGTCGTCGGGGGGAAGCTATTTCGGCTTAATTGGGGCGTTGGATAGACGTGTCCTCAAGGAGCTCGATGCCTTTGTGTCCAGGTGTCGGATGCGCTGGGACCAAAGTGTCGGATCGAATGGTTGCCTCGTTGCTATCACGAGGTAGTTGACGAGAAACGTGGGAGGTTTGTTTTGGTATAGCAGGTGGTGCCGGTGTCTTCTCGAACCAGGGGCTTTTTTTCGTCTGCTAATTTGGATCATGGGCCTTCCGACGCTGGAGAGCTCTTGGTGCTCTGCGTTCCCGGGAATTAGATATGACACCATGCGCGGTCATGGCTGGCCAATTGGAGGGCGCACGCGGGGAGCGATCCCTACGATCTGGGAGTGGGTGTGGCGCCTGTGGCTAGGCCTACTCAGCCTTGTTTTACTGCTGAGAGCACCTTGATTCAGCAGTCACTGGAAGAGAGCTCTCTTCCAACCACTTACATTTTGGGTAGGTGTGGTGGGAGCCCGGCCTCTTTGTGACATTGCAACCCACGACATTCACTTTGACATTGGTTTTCTTGTAGAGACCCGAGGTGACTGTCTTAAGGATCCAATTGCCTCTCATTCTCTTGCTGTGTTCTGTGTCTTGTTTGTAAGTTTCGTCCAGGCGCCTAGAGCATCGTCCCAACCAACCTCTAGAATTATGTGCTTTGTGAGAGCCTCTTGACGAAGGCGGTACAACCATCATGGCCGACTCCCCTCACAAGCATGTCTTCCGGAACAACCTTAAAGAAGGAATGAATATCTTATTCAAAAGGACACTCATTAACACTTACTTAGACCTGAATCCATGTGTACATAACCCAGTAAGCGCGCCCGTCCGGTACCTACGAACGAAGAGCCCAAGATGGCACCTGCCTCAGTAGATGTAGCAATGGCCGACTACACTTCTTCTTTATCAGCCTCCCGTCTCTCCCCTCCTCTCTCTTCCGGCGCCTCAGAAAACGAGGACATCCCCCAGCGGACCCAACAAAACTCCTCTAATCAACCGCCCACCTCTCTGGAGAACATCAACCTCGATTCGTCAGCCACAGGCACAGAACTAGCCAACATGCGACGATCGGCACGCAACACGAACAAACCCAAGCCCGTCGCCGTGACTTCCCCTTCGAGGCCCGCCAAGCGGAAGATCACCACCAGGGTGGTGAAGAAGGAGCCCAAGTGGACGACAGAGAAGCTCCTTACGGACCACAAGTCGCCGCTCGCCAGCGCTGATTTACGGGTGAGTGATATCTCATCCTCGAAACCACCTCAAGTGCTTGCTACTCAATGCTTTCATCTTTTCTTCGAAGGACGAAAATTGCTGACCACGTTACATCACAGACTATTCTCTGCCAGCCAGCCGCCTGGGATATCCTCTCCAAAGAAGAGCGGGCCGAGATTATCTCCCTCTTTCCCGCTGGCACGCGCATCCTTGATCCGGGCACAGACAATTCCCGCCCGGATCTCGATGCCCTCCGCAATGACAACAACTTCCGCCACGATTGCGCCACGTACGCTGACAACATCGCCATGGGCAAGCACGACCCGGAGTGGCTCGAGCAGGCATGGGCGGCACGTGAGAGGCGGCGCGCCGGTGATTTTGACGGCTATCTGAAGCAGAAGTTTGAAGACGAGTGGTCGTGTGAGTTACCTGAGGAGTTCAGACCCAAGAGGGGCGGGGATGAGCCGGCGAAGGAAGTCGCGCCCTCCGAGGATGGGGAAAAGGCAAAGTGCGAGGCTCAGACGGAGATGAAGGTAGAAGATGGTGGGGCTAAAGAGGCCGGAGTTTTGGAGGAAGCGCCGAAGAAAGACGTCGACATGACCGACAGATGCGAGTTCAAAGAGGTTGTGGATGTCAAGCTTGGGTCCCCTACTTCGCAGGCATCTGGGATCAAGCTTGGATCTCCTGCTCCTGAGGAATCGTGCGTGAAGCTTGGATCTCCCATTCCTGAATCACAAGAGGAGAAGTTCTAGGGAGAGGAGTAGATACCCGTTATTCAGCAGCTTCATGGCGTCTTTAATGACCAAGAGGACGAGAAGAAGCCAGAGAAACATGGCTAAGAGTCGCCAGGGGGCAGAGATGATGTGGCACCATCCAATGACAATATTACGACTTACGAATCATGGGCATGAAGTGGCTTTGGAGATCACTAGACCCAATGGATAAAGAGTAAGATCTTCATGAAGGTATAAGAGAGGGCAGTTGCTCGTACCAGTGAGTTAACCCCTTGCAGCAGAGGGCTTACATACATGATGCAGAACATTACATCTCGTTACCACCTCGCTCGAGACTACTCCACGCTGCCATATATAAATGTAGCCTCTGCAGCCGTACGTCATGGCAGAAAGTTCAAATCCGGAAAACATGCACGGGGAATACTGGGTCACACTGAACCCTGCCACCACATCTTCCCTTTGATGACAAGAGAAATGGAGTCGATACTTGATATTCGGTGTGGTCTCTCGGTGAGCAGCCACTGCTCGGTCAGTGCCCCACATCACCGATAAGTTAACCCCACGAAAAGCGTCAACCGCAGAAATGACACCCCTGCAACTTTCACTCTTTGATACCGCAGTCTTTTTCGACGAACCTGCCGTGATCGCCGACCGACGATTTGCCATACGTTTAAACTTCTCGAGCGAGAGGAACCTCATCGTTGGCCATAATCCCAAGCTTAGACCTTTCCTCCAGCGACGTCGCTCCCCCACCAGAAGCTCGTCTCGCAACGACGCTGTCGCAAGCCGCCATGGCGCCCTCGGCTGAAAACCACAGTCGCTCGCACAGTCTTTTGCTCTTCCAGAAACTCTTGAACTTGAGAGACGGCGCCAGTCCTCTGACTCTTGTGCTGGATAACCTTGAGCAGAGTGCTGCGCCTGTTCTGCGGGAGTTTGTCTCCAGAGCCAAGGTATGCACATCTCTTTTTCCTCTTAAAAGAAAAGATGTCTTGGGACACGGCAGTTTGATCATGCACTGCTATTCAATGGGGATATCATGTCTTGGGCCCAGTTTTGACGGATTACACAGATTGCGAAGGCCAAGGTCATCCTGCTCTCGTTCGCGACCCTTAAGCGGCCACGAGATGTTGACGTCGTCGTGAGAGCCCGAGGCAAGAATCTCAAGGCCCTTAGGGGAGAGATACTCTCACATTACCCCAAGATAGATCCTGCCGCCGCCAAGAGTGCTTCATCTCAAAGTGAGTCGCCTCCCTGTTTGGCCTCATGATAGCTCTGACTCACCACCTTGACAGAAACCGTTGTGCTGCTTGACTCACTCAACGAGCTCGCCACAGCGGCACCTCAGATCATGCCAACTTTCCTGTCAAGTATTGTCATGCCAACGGTATCCCTAGTAGCGGTGTACCACGCTGATGTGCCCATTGTTCTCCCGCGATCGGTGAGCGAGTACGAGCCTCATCCTCTGACCGTCCTCTCCCACTTAGCCACCTCCATTCTTCGGCTATCTAGTTTGCGTCAGGAGATCGAGCGCCAGAGGGCGAGAAACAGGAGTCTCCAAGAGCCGGAATGGGGGCTAGGAGAGGGCCGTGAAGGCGTCCTCATCGGTCTCAAGGGCGACACCAAATCCGAGGATTACCACGGTGTGGTCGTTGAGATGGAGATTAGGAGGCGAAGTGGACGTGCCATGGCGGAAAAGTTTGTTGTGTTGCCACAGGTAGGCCAGACTACAACTGCTGCCTCCTCGAAGGGATCCAAGATTTTCCTCCTCTCGGAGCACCCTATGTTCGCTGCCCCTGAGGGTACTGGCGCTACGAGCACCGGGGATGGAGAGGACGAGGAGCCGGAGAGCACATTCAACCTAGGGCTTACGGAGAAGCAACGGCGGGATAGGGAGGGCATTGTGCTGCCTTACTTTGATGCGCAGACGGACATAGGGGCGGGAGAGGGTGGTAGGATTTTGTACGAGATGGGCAGGGAGGATGACTTTGATGACGAAGAAGACGAGATTTAGATGGCTTTGTAACCTGAGGCATGATGGAATGATGATCACGAACGCACAATTTACTCCAGGCAACATCGGTGACGAGACTTCTGTATGAGGCCTCCTCGCAGGTGAAGTTGATATCTGGGAGGAGTTCCTTCCGCACCATGGCTGCTGCCTTCTTTCACAGGCATCTCGTGTCTCACCCCCCACTGAGGCCAAAACTCAACAGAAGGAAAGACCGTACCACAATTGCCTCCCACTGCCGTTATTCTGCCAATCAGAAAAATCCTGTCCTGTCGACGAAGAAATCGTCAAGCCGCCAAGGTCCTTCCGGTACGTACCCTTACTGATCTGGGGCCGCCGCACAGGCCACTCCCCAAACATATATAAACCCTCCCACCTCCCGCAGAATCTTAGTATTTCTTCTTCTTTTCTCCTTAGCTCTTCTTTGCCTTTTGGCTTAGATCAAGTGTAGTATCTGTTCTTTTCAGTTTAATCTCTGAAAGATGCCTATTGGCATCAATCTTGATTATTCCTATTTTTGATCACCGAGGTTTGGCCTCTGCGGCTTGCTGCATGCCGACTTCACCGTGTCCCTGGTATTTCACTGCCTCCAGGCGACGCAAACCGTGGTTTTCATTGCTTGCTCTGGCTTGTCCAGGGTGGTGAAGAAGATTGTTTGTTTTTGGGTGGTTTTAAATAGATCCCATGATGTGTGTTAGCGTGTAATGCTTTCGAGGCCAGCCGTTGAAGGTGAAGTTGATCATGAAATTCAAAATGTGATGTTTGATGGCGTTGAATTGGGAGCGTGGAACCCGCCAGAGCTTACCAGCGCCCTCAGTGGAGCGTGCCCAGAAACAGAGCTCATGAAAGGCTGCCCCGCGCTAAATTCCAGGGGCGGAAAGCTGGGGTGTGTGCTAGGTGAACGACCATTTCCAGCGTAACTGCTACCCCAAATTTTCTTCAGCCTCACCGTGACGTCGTTTGCCAAACATCACCATTCCACATCGAACTCCATTGCCCTCCATCTTCCTCCAATAAAAATACGTTCACCAACCTTGCGCAACCATGGGTCGCGGACGCGATAGCCGACAGGCATGGGACGAACCCGACCGACGAAGTCATCGCGGCGGCGGCGGCGGCCCTAGAGACCGCGACGGTAGACGGGACGATCGCGATAGTAGGGACGACCGCGATAGGAGATACAGATCCAGATCGCGCGACCGACGCGACAACAGAGACCACCGCCCCAGATCCAGAGACCGTGAGAGGGATCGTCCGCGCGACGAGCGCGATGGAGGAAGACCGCCTCGCAGAGAGCGTGGTGGGTGGCAGGGCAGAGACGATAGACGTCGCAGAGATGAAGACTTGCCCGACGAGAGGCCGCCTAGGCGGGCTGACGATGACGAGGGTCGCAGTAAGCATGTCCCTTACTTGGAGCCTTGCTTTACATCAAACACTAACGTCCTACCAGACACCCCACGCGACAAAGCCCGCAGACGATCTGCCTCTCCCGGCCGAAGCGGCAGCCCGCCCCCTGCCCGCCGCGACCCTGCTAGCTACACCGAGTCCCTACCCACACGCACAGCGCCCAGAGGAAAGAAGGAGCAGCACACCATGTCCTTCAAGGTCGGACGTCACGAGTCGCCCCAGGTCGACAGCGGACGCAACAGTGAGCGCGGCGACACGCCGATGACGAACGCAGGACGGGACGACCGCCGCGAGGCTGCCGACGACGACGATGAGCCCGAGCCTGAGGTCGAGGACGACGACATGGCGGCTATGCAGGCGATGTTGGGCTTCGGCGGTTTCGGCACGACCAAGAACCAGAAGATTGCTGGGAACAACGTCGGCGCCGTGAGGAAGGAAAAGAAGACGGAGTATCGGCAGTATATGAACCGGCAGGGCGGATTCAACAGACCGCTCAGTCCTTCTAGGTGAAGGGTGTTTGGGCGTGCGACTCGACTTGATACAGGGATTTCCTAGGCCTCGGACAGTGTAATGATGGATTATGGGACCGGTGCATTTTTTGCGATGGCAGGCAACGCTAGGTATGCTTCACGCTTGTATTCTTTTCAAGATACCTATAGACGAACAACAATGGAGGTGTTTTTCACATTGTCAAATCGCTTTATATGCGGTCGCTTCTAGATTGTTCTTGGCCAGACTCAACCTGACGCGGTGGATGCCGGTGCGGGCGGTGGGGATTCCCTCGACTTTCCCTCCTTCGCCTCGGCCTTGAGTTCGCTTTCAAATATGTCAACAGCCAGGCTCGCATCCACAAAATCCTCCAGCTCCTCCGTCACCGTCTTCAGCTTCTCCTTGACCGCAGCAGCTCCCTCGAACCCGACAATGTGCCTTGCGGGCGGGTTCTCATGGCCACCAATGGCCGTCAGCGCATGCACCGTCTCCAGCACCAGCCTATCTATGGCGCTGGGCGGCAGCTTCGGGTACCGGACCTGAACCTCGTCCGTCTCGTTGGGGTCCGGCACGGCGGTGTCGGGGTTCATGTTGAGGACGTTGCCGAGCATGTCGCGGATACTGGGGGCTGGGTTGATCTCGGAGTCATACCACGGCAGCTGGGGTGCGAAGATGATTTTGTTGGTGAGGGACTGGATCTCCTTGTTGGGCTGGACAATGGTGATCTTGATGTTGAAGGGGGCGATCTCGTACGCGAGCGAGTCGCAGAACCCCTCGAGCGCCCAGATAGCCGAGGTATAGATGGGCATCCCTGGCGTGCCGATGTGGCCGCCCGTGCTGGAGAGGATGATGATGTGCCCCGTGTGCTGCGAGCGGAGGAGCGGCAGGGCGGCCTTGATGAAGTTGACCTGCGAGAAGAAAATTGTCTCAAACTGGTCACGGACAAGATTGTGGGTCTGGGGGGTCGTAGAGAGCTCCTCGATGCTTCCCACGACGGCTATTGTGGTCAGCATACTTGTCAACGTCGAGCAGTGAATGATTCGAGGGTTTACAATACCTTCAGATCTGCAACACAGCAGAATGTCTATTCGGCCAAACACCTGGACAGCCTCGGCGACGGCGGCACCGCACTGGCCCATAACGCGGCCATCGCAGCGGATGCCGCGTATCCTATCCTTCCATCCTTCGCGGTCTTTGCGGTTGCTCTTGCACTCGTTGATGAGCTCGCGGAACTCGGCACTGCGGCCGTCGTCTTCGATCTCACCCGGCGGCAGGCAGGCGACGACGTAGTCGCCGTGGGCGAGCAGCAGCCTGATGAGCCGGATGATGAGCGGCGAGAGGGCGGTGGTGAGAAACCACGTCCTAGGGGAGTTGTGCGTCGCTTTACGTGAGCTTAGCCACGTGCGAGACTCACTGGGGGAACAAACTGTCAAGATGGGACTACTCACGGAAAGACGGTGCGGGGATGGAATGTGAGTGCTTCGCCGCCGCGGCCTCCGACCCCTTGCGGTCCACCATGTCCGGCGGGACTTCTGAAAGATCCTCGTCCCTTTACGCACGGAACGGAGAACCCACAAATCAGTATTCCGTATCTCACATAAACCTCAACAACGGGGGGAAAAGCAAGAACATGTATGCACAGAAAGGTGGTGGGTAGACGTGGGGGGGGGGGCCATGTAGGTAAGGTAGGCAGGATTGGAGTGAGAATCTTGCATCTAGCGGCGACATGGGGGGGAATAGCGCGAAACAACGGACAGGAAGGAGGAAGGAAGAGGGATATTAATACATTATCTTATTAATGGCTTTCTAACGAGAAGCTCTGATACGGGCGATCTCAATCGCAAGGGACAGGTTTGGCAGCGGCTAGACGTGCCATTAAGGTTGCATTCACCTGGGTGTAATCTGCACAAAGGGCGTCGATCAATGGGAAGGGGAGGGGGGTGGATGTTTGGTCGTTGTTCATGGGTTGATACCGGTAGGAAGACTGACGGGGTTGAGAGAGGCACGGAAGAAACACGCGACATGGCACTAGTCGATCAAGCCCCAACCACCAAGGATGAGAGGGTGGAAAAAAAGGCCCCCAAGGCCCCCAACTAGCGGAACCCCCCCCTCTCTCTCACCATCTCCCCGCCCGCACGACCACGACCACGACCTAGCACGGATCTCAGTGCCCGAAGCGACCCAAGGCCCCCACCACGGGCCACCGCGGCCGGGATTCCTGGCGGCATTGGGAACCCCACGTCGCGCGACCTAAACTAGGAATCCGGGGGAATTGACCCCTCCATCCACTCACGTCATTTTTGTTTCCGACACCGGTGTTCCGTACCGCATTTTTGGCGGGGTTGCCTGTCTGGAATAACGACTTTTTTTTTCTGGCACCACCGCTCGAAGCCTGTCCCTCCGTGACTCATTGACAGCGACACCTCAGCCCTACATAAACTCAATCGAAGCAAACGACGATCCATTCTGCTGCAACCATCTTTGAGTGCCTGTGTCCCAAATACCCCAATTGCCCATTAAACCCCTCGATCCGAACCGCCCATCATGCCCACCCGCGCCGACATCACCTACTTCGGCGCCGGCCCCGCGCTGCTGCCCACCGACGTCCTGGAGACGGCCGCCCAGGCCCTGCTCGACTTCAACGGCACCGGCCTCGGCATTGCTGAGCACTCCCACCGCAGCGAGATCGCCACCAAGATCATCGAGGAGGCCAAGGCCGACCTGGCCTCCTACCTCGACATCCCCTCCGACTACGAAGTCCTCTTTATGCAGGCCGGCGGCAGCGGCGAGTTCTCCGCCACCGTCTACAACCTCGTCGGCGCCTGGGTCGCCCGCCAGCGCGACGCCGTCCTGCAGCGCCTCGGTGCCACGGACGAGACCGACGAAAAGGTCGTTGCGGAGCTGCGCAAGATCGTCGACGAGAAGCTCAAGCTCGACTACCTCGTTACCGGCGGCTGGTCCCAAAAGGCCAGCGCCGAGGCCGCGAGGCTCCTCGGCCCGGAGCACGTCAACGTCGTTGCCGACGCGCGCAAGATCAATGACGGCAAGTTCGGCAAGATCCCCGAGGAGAAGGACTGGAAGCTGAGCCAGGACGCCGCGATGGTGTACTACTGCGACAACGAGACGGTCGATGGTGTCGAGTTCCCCGGTTTCCCTGCGGCGCTGGCGCCCAAGGACAACGGGGAGGGCCCCATTGTGGTGGCCGACATGTCGTCCAACATCCTCTCGAGGCGCATCCCGGTCAAGAACTTCAGCGCCATCTTCTTTGGCGCGCAGAAGAACCTCGGCTCCACGGGCATCACCGTCGTCGTCATCAAGAAGAGCCTCCTCGCGCCCCAGCCCTCGCCCGCGCTGATGCGCAAGCTGGGCCTGCCCATTGCCCCAATTGTCTTGTCGTATGAGACCATTGCCAAGAACAACAGCTTGTACAACACTTTGAGCATCTTCGAGTGAGTCACCTCGTCCACCCTCTTCCTGATGCTTAGCAGCTAACCACATGCCAGCGTCTACATCGCCGGCCAGGTCCTCAAGAAGCTCCTCCGCACCTTCAATGACAAGGTCGACGGCCAGCAGGCCGTGGCCGACAAGAAGGCGGCACTCATCTACGCCGCTCTCGAGGCCCACCCGGACGTCTACCGCATCGTTCCGGACAAGTCTGTGCGCTCCCGCATGAACATTTGCTTCCGCGTTTCCAAGGGCGGCGACGTCGACGCCGCCGAGAAGGCCTTCCTCAAGGAGTCCACCGCCCAGGGCCTCACGGGTCTCAAGGGTCACCGCAGCGTCGGCGGCATCCGCGCTAGTAACTACAACTCCATCCCCCTCGAGGGCGCCGAGAAGCTGGCAAAGTTCATTGAGTCCTTTGCCAAGGCGTGAGTAGGGGTCAGTGAGTTGCGAGAGTAGTGCACCCCTCGTCTAGGGGTGCGGGCTTTTATGATACCATATGGGAAGGCATAACCAAAAATAGTGATATCGTTGGGAAGGAAAAGTGTATCGGGAATATCTAAGGGAGCCATCATTTAATTCAACATTGTATTGCCGGGGCTTGTGGCTTCATAGGATAACATGCCCAAGATATGGCCAAAACCATGCAGTCGTTCCACTCACCAATTGTTTCCCGTTGTCTTGGGTCTTGGCTTGAAGTATTAGGTATCGTCATGGTGCTTGTATTCGTCAGCGATGTTACTGCTGCTTTCAGTTCTGGTATCATGGGCTGGCTCATCGTATCAATCCGTAGCAATTTCAATTAAGAGAGTCTGAACTGGACAGAATAAGAAGCTTCCTTCAAAGTATACCTATCCACGTACATCACATCTAAGTGGCCGATGGCTGCCTGCCCTTTCTGACGCATATGTGGTTCCAATGGAGCGCAAGCTGCTTTGTTGTTTCATTGACAAGGCCAGAACCCTTTCGCCAAAGGGATTACACAATATGGTTTAATTCAATAGGTCGTGGCGGGAACTAGGTGGCTCTTCAAGGGACCACTTGATATATGTGTCAAACCGATCGTCAGACTCGACTGCTATCGCTCGGAGGGATTTCCTGCCAACGCGAAACTCAGGTTCCTCAATCCAACCCCTCACCTCTCGGAAGTCAGTGGTGTTGTCGAGGACGGCATCAACTATAGAAGGAAACGTCTTAACGGTGCCTCTAGGTCCTTTAGACGTCCGGGGGTACGGAGGCCACTTAATCACGCGAGTTTTGTCTTTTCCTGAAGCTGTGTGACCGGTAGTGTGGACTAGCACGAACTGTCTCTCTGAGGCTTCATCATCTGTCGATATGTCGCCAGATACGTCTGGAAGAACGCAGCGCAAAAGGTAAGCGCCGTACCCTTGGGTCGGCATCCAGTGTGAAGGGAGATATAATACCGTTTTCTTATTAGGTCCTTGATCTCGACTGACTGTCGGAGGAAAGACTTCGATGACCTTTGTCTCTCTAAGCTTTGAGTTCAACTCGAATGGCAAGGGGGGGATTGTCAACAGATAGCGGCCGAAATGAGACATAGGCATCGACGTGGCGTTCTTTAGTATCACCACTCTCATGCGCCCGACGACGTGGGATTTGCTGATACTTGAGTTGGATAACCTGATGGGCCCACACGGGGACTTGAGAAACTCATCGCCAGTCTGCGTGCCATCTTCGTGAAGACGAGGCGAGAACAGTGGGAAGCAGAGGTGGCCGAGGTCCCTGTCTTTGACATCCAATATAGCGTAGTGGCATACCTCGCGGCGGGCTCCTTGGAACATAGGTAGCCGGACAAGAGGCAGCTCGATCTGTAGCCCTCTGTTGGTCATCTGGAAGTCCGAAGAGGACGAGTTGAAATTTTCCAACGAAAGCGAGCCGGCGCGGGTGAAGAATGCTGGCGACGGAGCGAAGATGGAGCTTGTTTCGCCAATGGCCTGGTCGATCCCCCAAGCAAAAAGACTCTGGTCGGAGTACTCCTTGATGATTTCTTGTTGCAGCCGAACAAAAGCCCTCTCGCCTTCCCCATAGAGGAGCGGCATGTTGATATCGCAAAGACCAAGCAGGCAGTACGCCATGTCCTCTTTGCGCGACGTCCGTCTCCCGCTGGCCCAGGACATTCTGCTGGCGAGGGCTACATCCTGGAGCCGCCTGTGTCTGTTTAGAAAATCACAAGGTATTTTGGTGATTGTGGAAACCATCTCTGCAAGCGTCGATTTTTCTCCAATGAAGTTCCAATTTCGGTCGAAGAACGATACGATTCTCGGCGCCAAAAGCTCTTGAAGTGTCCATCCGCGGGTAAACCATCGGCTTCTTGCAAACTCATATTCCCATGCACCATTATTTGTGAAATGTTCTGTGTGCAGCACCACATCAGATATATGAGCGTAGCAAATCCTGGAGCCCTGGTACCATCGGAACATGGAGTTGATGGCCTCGGACAATTCGGCGCTGCTTGTTTTGTCGATGCAACATGTGTCGACCCAGGCGTAGCGTAACTGGTTCATCTTAGCCAGACGAGCCGTCTGCATGATCTTATCGAACCCGGCTCGTTGACGCAGCTTCGCAGCCTTTTCGACAGAACTGCGCCCAAGCGACGACAAAAGCGTTTCAATGGATGCGAAACTCTCGCGGTCGCCTTCGTACTCATGTAGCCAGCAGAGGTCTTGAAATGAGACTTCTTCTTTTCCCCACGTGTGGGAAAGTGTGGCATACTCCGGTATGTCATCGTCGAAAAACTCCTCTAATTGGAGCGTGTCCACGTTGATGAGTCTCATGTTGGTGTAGATGAACTTGGTAGTCAAGATATTCGCAAAAGGCGGGGCTGCTTGATGATCACGACTCGTCAATGGACTTCAAGATCAGGATGTACACAAAAGAGGCCAGGGGAGCCGCAGAGGCGCAGCACCATGTGCGGGGATTGGCGCATCAGAAATGACGCTGACCAACTGCGGATTACTAGCCAATGAACGAGTGCGTGATACGATGATTCTCATGCATAAAAAACGATATCATTCCTCATTGTGCTACCAAAACTCCAACAATGCTACAATTGATAAACAGGGCAACGCCGAGAAGCGCGAGAGGGGATGTGTCTATGTCTTAGAAAACCAATGCTGAAGTGATACCCGCCTGATGACTGCACCCACTGTCGTCTAGACGACTTCTAATCAAACAAGGTGTATCTTGAGTTGCCTGGCGGCTGTCTATTGCTCTCTTGATAGGAAGGGGGCGGCTGCGCCTGAGTTTGAGACTGGGAGGGGGCCGGTGGAAGAGCGGGAGGAGCAGAAGCGGCCTGCTGAGTCCACTGTGCTGTTTTGACCACCATCTTGGCGAAGTATTGCTGGATGAATGATTCACTGTGCGATGTTAGATTGTTATCCAGAAAAGCCAAAGAAACAATAACATACGTGTAGTAGCTGTGGTCTGAGTTGTGAGGTTGAACCAAATTGTGCGCCAATTCGTGAGCCAGCACAACCCACCACCACACGGCCGCCTCGGCCTTTGCCTCGCCTGATAGGTTTCTGGTCATTTTGTTTGCATGCAGCTGCAAGAAGAACCGCAGATTGCAGAATACACTGCCGCTGCTGTTGAATGCAATGGTGGAACCTGACTCGTCGTAGAAAATGTGAAGAACTCGTGGAGAGAGCGAGTAAACGCCGCCAACCTCTGTGAGAAGAGAGGCGAACGCATTGATGGGTCCGTGGTAATTTGAGAGGAACTGAACCGGTTCCATTGATAGATTCTTGGAGACGAAGACCTTCATTCCATTCGATGCTTCAGCCGCGAAAACAATATTCTGCGACGGGGTGCTGTCACAGTACGTGGCCTGTTCCTTGACTTCGTTTACGCTCGGTGGCGAGAAGACAGTGTTAGAGTCATGAGCTCTGGTAGAGTTGATGGCGTTCAGCAGGTTCTGTCCGACGGTTGCCGGGTTCGTCACGCGGCCATCGTCCTTCGGCTTATGTGTATCGCTGCTGGGATGGGGTGGAACGCCTTGCGACTGGTTCTCAAGTGGCTTGTCGATGAATTTCTGAAGCTGGTCTTCCGCCTCATCGTCCTCATTTGTGTCGAAGCCAAAGCGACGCGTAAGGTTTGAGAAGAGACCCTTGCCCTTCCGTGACTGTTGTGGAGGGGGTAGCTTGTGAGAGTCATCCGGACTGTCATTCATAAAGGAGCCCGGCATGACTGGCTCGGGGGTTCTCGTGGCCTGCCGAGCAGCCTCAGCAGCCTTGGCTTGCTGGCCCCATTCTTGCTCTTTTTCTTGAATCCGCTTCTGCTCAGCTTCCAGTGCCTTCCGACGCTCCTCCTCAGCAAACCTTGCCTCAGCAGCCTTGGCTCGCAGAATTCGGTCGACGTTGTAACCTCGGGCTCGCAATCCGTAAAGGTCAAGGGTAAGGAAGGGCTCGAAAAAGAGATAAGCTTGCTGATTCGGCCGAGACAGGAGGAGCTGGCAGATGGCCTGGCCGACCTGGTACATATCAGGTTGTCCTTCAGCTGCCACGTACAGAATCCAGGTTGACCCGGACTGAGCACTGGCGGCAGATCTCTTCTCCGTATGAGAGTGACTATGGCCCTTGAGCGAGCGACGAAGTGCGACGGAACGAACAAGTTCGACTTGTAAGCTCTTCTCCAGCCACTTGGCATCATGCTTGATATAGTCCCGTCGGTAGTTCGAATATTCGTGGAGGAAGATCTTGGAGCGCTCAAGGACGTGCTTTCGCAATGTGGCTGCCCGGTCTTGCTTGTCTACATGGGGACCAATCCTCACCTCCTCTTGCACGAGCGAGCTCAACGTCGAAGCGCCAAGTTGGTGGTAAAACTCTTCCAGAACTTCCTCTTCAGGTGCAGTAATCAAGTAATCCTTGAACAGGCGATAGCTGATAATGTCGTCCAGAATGACAATGCGGTTGGCCGCGGCTAGCTGGTACTGCTTGATAGGCGCGTCGTCGTCATCGATGTCAATAAGCTTGTCCTTGGATGGTGGCGATGCAATCTCTTTGGCGGCGAGCAGGAAAGGAGAAGACTTCATTTTTCTGATGAGTTCTTTGTCCCTCTTCAGAGTTGACATGTTCTCGGCCAGTGACTTCAAAAGAGCGAGGTACTTATCCGGACTCTGAAGGATGCTGAGAAGTCGAGCAGGCTCGCTGCAAGCAAGATGTGCAATCTCTGGCTTCGTTGGTTCGTTCTTGGCGCCACACTTAAACAAGAAAGTGTTGGCATTTGCCCCATAGTCGACGAAGTCAAAGATGTCGCCATACGTTGCAGAGGTACCCAAGTAGCACCGCCGGGGGCTGATATGGGTGGTGTAAGAACCGGACTTCTCGTTGCCATCACGAGATTTCCTTGTGACGGGAACAATAGGTGCATCTCGCAACTTGGCCAGGCTGCCTTCGCCCAGATCACCGATACGCAGAGCAAAGTACTCGAAGAGAGTGACTGCGGCCTGTCGATCCTGAGGTGGCTTGGCCAGCAAACGAGAGACGCACTCAGCGATGGGTGGGTCCCTCGCCACACCGAACTTGTTAGCATGCACATGAAGCTCCTTCTTAAGAATATCAAAGCCCAGAACGGCGGCACGATCGTTCGTGAAACAAGCCGAGGGTGTAACCAGTCGGTTGTCATTCTGAAGAGGCAAGAAAGCTTTGCGACTATCAGCGAGATTGAAAGCTCCGTAGCCGTTGAGGTGGTGGTTTGTAATGAAGTAGGTCATTGCGGACACCCTCAGTTCCGCATCATTTGAAGACATCATATTGACCATCTCTATAACAGACGGGTATGGCCGTAGGCCCAAGGTCGATAAGAAACGACCTTCAGGACTGTTTGGCCTGTAACTTCCGGGTGGACCAGGCCACTGCAAAACTGGCAGTCTGAGAGCTCTCAGTGTGTCCTGGGGCTCAAACAACTCCGAGACCTTGTACAACTCAGTAGTGCCTTTGGTGGGCTCCGCGGCTTTTGGTCCGGCTTCTGCGGGACAGAAACGGGTCTCCTTAAGCTTTTTCATGTCGGCAGCCGGAATATCGTCCTTGACAGAGGCAAGGTACTTGATGAGTTCCATATGGCTCCACCTCTGGGCACCACCCTCGGCTGAAGGACTCAAGAGTCGAGAGAAGATGGTGTCAAGATCGACAGTTTTGCGCACTCCAATGGCTGAAAGAAACTTCTCCTTCAAGCCCTGGCAGCCCTGAATGGTAGGCAGGTCGTCGAAAAGCTTGACGCTAGGGAAGAAAGAGTCAGTTGGCTTCTTCATACCAGTCTTTGTCGGCATGACGGTATGAGCTTGAAGAAGGGTAACAATAGTCCCTTTGGAACTTTGGCTGGTGTTGTCCCAGTTCTTGGACAGCACTGTAAGAACTTGAACTGCGAACTTGGAAGACTTTTTCAGATTCTGTTCGTCAGGTCTGCTGGAACTGAACTCGAGCAAGTACCGCAGCCAAGGCACAATCTCAAGAGGCTCCCAACCAAGAGCCTGTAACTCGGGAGCGGAACAGGTGGTGGTGTATGCCAGAGGGATAGTACTCGGCGGAATGGGCAGATTCGCTGGAATCTTGTTTGCTGCCTGGTAGTTCGTGATGGAACCAAGCGCAATGATATCGCCTTGGTCACTACCATCCTCGCTGACAGTCGCGACAGCAACATCGAGGAGACGGGCTTTGCTGGGAGGATCCAACTCTCCGCTAAGGGCCTTCTTTCCGGCCCAGCTGATGAAGTTGATGAGTTGCTCCTTGTTCATGGCCTTGGTCTCCAGCTCTGTCCGAACGTCATCCACAGTGATTGGGCTGATGAGACCAAAGTCCATCAGCTTCCTCACGAAAGCGTTCTCCATAAGCTCGCGAGGCACAACAGGGATGGTATCAACAAATTTGCTGAGCTCATCGGAGCCAAGTCGCACCTTGGTACTGGACAGGACCCCCCGGGAAGAAAAGACTTCGATGGAAGCCTTTTTGAAAGCCGTCCAGAATGCTTCCTCAAGAATCTGGGAAACCTGGCCGCTTGGTGTGGAGTCAGTGAAAGTGAATGTCTTGAGAATGTGAAGCGCTTCGGGTAAGAGCTTGGCAAGGTCTTCAGCCGGAATCTTGGTTGCAGCTCCAACCAGTTTCTTTATCTTTGAATCGAGGTCGCTCATCTCATTGATGAATGCAAGTCTTGTCATGATACCAGCCGCTCGGAGCATTTCGATGTTCCATGTTCTGACCCATCGTGCATTGAGGTCAATCGCCTCACGCTCAACAGTAGGGATAACTGACTGAGCGGAGATGTGCATACCGGCACCAGTTGTTTGTGTTGTAGGGAACCCAATAAAGATGCGGCCACCTGGTTTCTTACTGGGCAGTACTGAAGCGAATACGTCCACCGACTTAGAGATGGTGTCGGAGCGTGAGCTCTCTGAAGCCATGGTTTCGTCGTACGATGAAGTGAGGATGGCAAGCTTTGTAGTCTTTGGCGGTGGTTTCTTCGTGGCACGCTCCAGCTCCGTGGCGAATGATGTCGATACACTGGTCTTGACCCAGGCGGTTGTTACTCGGAGAAAGATGGTCGAGGTAGAAATCTTGGTGACATCCTCGCTGATCTCCTCCTGAGCCGCTGCTTCCTCTTTCAGCTGCTTTCCTTTGGCAGTGGCTTGTGAAGCGCTGGATGTCAGTCTCGAGAAGAAGCTTCGGAGCGATGGGACTTCGGACCCAAGACCGTACTGGTCGGCTGCCTTGGCCGCCGTTGCAGCCTTGGGCTTCCATCCGGCGACACTCATAACAGCTGCATCGATCTGAGTGCTGGTGCGCTCGACAGAATTGACCTTCATCAACCCTTCTCTTGTCCGTGTTTCGATGTCTCTCGGGATGGGCACGTCGAGGCTAGGCGAGGTCTTTTTGTGAAGATCCAGAATCTTGTAGTCGTCTATCCAAAACTCGACATGCTGCAGAGCAACAAAGGTCAGACTCGTGGCGAGGAACTGACTGACGGACAGAAGATTCGGCAAAGGCGTGGTGGAATTGCGGTAGTCGAGGACAAAGGTAGTGTCGGAACTGCTCTGGTCCGCGGGCAGAGTAGACTTCTTGGTGAAGAGAGCATTCCCTTTCCAGTAGAATGCCATGGCCTCGTTTCCGGAGCTCACAAAGGGTTCTTCGCAGTCGGCAAAGACGCTGTAGAATCCAACACCAAATGCGCCAATCTTTGTTTCATCGGGGTTTCCCTCAGCAATTCTCTTCAATCTTCCCCAATCCGTCTTGGTGAATGGCTGACCGTCGTTTGCCACGACCAAGCGACGCAGTGTGTGGTTCGCAATAACATGCTTGAGGAGTTCGGAACGGTTCGTGGTAGCTGGAAGTGCTACTGAAGTCGAAGGCAATGTCTCCCACTTGACCTTTACGGTCGTTGCTTGGGCATCGGCGGCGTTTTGGATCAGCTCTCGCAATGTTGTCCATTCGCCGGAGTATCTGGCAAGGACCTTATCGATCAAGGCACGGGTATCGACAGTGACGGCTTCTTCGTCTTCGCCGCCCTGCATAGCAGCAGCTTTCAGCCGCGAGTAGTCCATCGTGGGGTATTGCTCGGTAGTATTACTGTGCGCATGCGTTCATCGTCGAGTAGGCTGGGTGTGTAGGGTTACTGCAAAGAGAGTCGTAACGAAGGAGGCCTCGGTGGATTTTATAAGCCCAGGCAGTCGTGAAGGTGGCGGGACACCAAGGTCAGGCGGAAAAGGTGTGGTGGGAGATGGGAGGTAGCTAGGTAGGTGGTGGCGATACACCTTCAGGTGAGGTCGGTCAGTTGTTGATGGAGAAGAAGGTGAAGAAGGCTGAGACGTGAACGTTTCGCTCATGCAATAAGCAGGCCCAAAGCAGGACAATGGCAATGCCGGGAAACCAGGAGCGAGGTAAAGGATGATGCTGAGGTGAAGCAGGCAGACACTTAGAACTGAGTTACCATACAAGAGGAAACAGAAAACATTCAGGTCGTTAGCCTCAAAGACCGCCGTCACTGAACCGCTTCAGAATATCGCGCTCCTCTTCAGTGCAGTAGTCAGCCTGAGCCGAGAACCGTTTTAGCTTCCATGACCCTCTAAAACGCGTCGTTTTGGGAAGGTTTGGGCGTCTGGCCGCTTCAAGGCTGCCGCATTGCGTGCACATCCACCTAGGTTCCAGCAATACCGTCCCAGACCGGCCCAATCACACGCTCCATTGATAAGACACCAGCTTGCCTTATCGCCACTCGGCATCCTAGGTAGATCCCTGCAGACACTGGACCCTGGATATCTCAGCTCTAAACCCGCAAACTCCGATTCTTAACTGACCTGCTGTTCCTTGTGGGTGGCCGAATGGTCGTTTCTTCCCAGGCACCCAGGGCATGTTTTCAAAAAATACCACAGATGGAAATAGGAAATCCCCCGTGATGGATGTTCCTCAGTGGTAACAGTTCTACGGGAAAGACGAGGCAAAATGTCGACAGCGACCTGTAAGATATTATTCAAGTTCATTTATCCGGATGCCCGTGGCAACATCATAAGAGAGGACCAACCTGACAAATCATGCTTTTACGCTTCCGGAATCGACGTGCTCATATTGATGACAATACAGTGCAATGGAAATTGGAGCTATATGTTCTCATCTGAGCCGCGAAAAGTGATACAACGTGGCTATTCATTCCGCAGCGGAGACACTCCTGGGATGGGGAGTGGTCCGATCAACTATTACAATGCTTTTACTTGAAAGTCTATATTACAACATTCCGTCGCCGGTTTTTTTCAACCCGCTACGTTCGCTTGTGCGTTTAGAAACTGCATTTCTGGTGTACATCCTCCCTACTTGGCCATCACATCGACATATCGGCCGCCCTTCTTCGCCTTCTTGGCTCCCGGCTTGCGCGGGCCTGCCGCACTGATCAAGTCGTCAATGCTGCTGGCGTTGCTCATGCTTGTCGCTGGTCGGCTAGGGGGGCCGGCAAGAGGTCCACCAGTGCTCGTGCTCGATACCGATCGCATCAGGCCTGGTGGTCGCGGTCCTGGAGGAACACCAAGGCTCTCCTGGGACGACGCCTTGGCGAGCGCCGGGCCCGGCGGTCCCCCAGGGGGGGCGCTTGACCGGCCCATCGGTGGTGTCATGGTGCGAGGTGGCGGGGGCGTGCCCGTGTTGGATCTCGGACCGGCCTTTGGCGGCGGCGGTGTTGCGGTCTTTGCCGGAGTAGTTTCTGCGCCCGCCTTCTTGTTCACCCAGCGCTTGAGGTCGGGGTCGTATACAAAGCTACTGGATTCACCAAGATTGGCCTTGACAGGTTTGTTGCCCTGCTGAGGCTCGGGGCTGGCTTCCTTCTTGCCGCCAAACCAGCTGGTGAAACCCCATCCCTTCTTCTGCTGCTGCTGAGCTGCTGCTCGCTTGGCTGTGTCCGCTGTTAGCACAGCCGGGTTCAAGGTACGATTCTAATGCTTACCGTCTTCTTCAGCCGCTTTCTTGAACATTTCTTCGTTCTCCTTGTCCTTGTCGGATTTACTCTTGTCTTGAGACTTGAGCGCCTTGAGGGCAGGGATATCGTCATCGTCATCGTCATCCATGAAACTCTTGGACTTCGGCTTGCTCTCGGAGGCTTCATCGTCATTATCGGGTTCGGCGTCGTACGAGGGGGGTTCGTAGCCGTACGGCTGGTAAGTGGGGGGCTCGTAACCGCCAGCGCCACCGGATTCCTGAGCTTGTGTCCCGTTCACATCATCAGGTGTCATGGACGGCGGCTCATATCCGTACAAAGGTGGCTGGTAGCCTGAGCTAGCCAGGTTGGGCTGCTGACTGTTTTCCGTTGGCTCTTGGGCCTGGGCCTCCGCTGCCGGGACAGTGGGAGCTTGGCTTGCGCCATAGGGCTCATATCCTTGGTACGCCGACTTTCTCGGCGACTGCCCCGGAGGGGTGAGAGCTGCACCAGCCAGCATATGAGCAGAAGTGGTTGTCTCTTGGCCACTACCGTAAGTAGGCGGGGTGTAACTATGCGATGGCGCTGCAGAAGTCTGAGGAACATATCCACCATTTGTGAAGCTAGGTTGCGAATCCATCGATGTTCGAGGTTCGTACGGACTGCGGGAGTATTCATTAGATGAGCGTCCGACTGAAGCCGGGCCTGGTGTGTACCCAGAACCAGGTTCGTAAGAGCTGGAAAGCGCAGGTGTTTGAGATGTGGCAGGCGCATATCGGGACGCGGCCCTTGTAGCGGGGACCGGGGCCGTGGTAGGCGGAGAGCCCACCGGGAAACTCGGGGCACCAGCTCCGTAGATGGGTTCGAAGTTCGTTACAGATGGCGATCGACTAATGGTGGGAGTGCCTCCTGCCAAACGAGCAAACGGTCCGGATTCCATACCGCCGTCGGCGGATGCGCCAGCGGCAGAGCCGTCATTCTCATCGCCGGCAACGAACTTATTGAAGCGGCTCCAAACTGTATCCGAGACCTTGTTCATACTGGGTTTGGGGATCCAAGAAGACGATTCCTCCTTGGGAGCCTGTCTGAGTCTCGTCCTGAGGTTCTCTACAGCTGTCTCCAGGATCGGATGGTGGTAGGGAGATCTCTTAGTTTGAGCGTTGATGGAGGTGGCAAGGGCCTCGCAGTATTGCAACGCCTTGTCGCGGAGGCCATACTCGGCGAGTGTCATGGCGTGTTGTAATTTATACGCAGCCAAGTGTGGCACGCCAACGGACAAGGTTGAGCCACCTGCGAGTGATAGGCCGTACTCATAAACCTCGCTCAACAACAAAGCCTCGGTCTCCTTTGCGAATTGCTCACCCTGCGTCTTGTGGTCCGCTCCAACAAGGACAAAGTTTGAGGCAATATCGTCCAGACCCCCGAAGACAGTGGCTTTCCTGGCAAAGAGGAAACATATATGCGCGGCTTCGGCTCGTCCATATGAGGATAACAAGTTACCCAGGGCATTCAGAGCACGAATGTCCTCAGGGCTTCTGTTACTCAATACCAGTCCAAGAGTCTCGCGCCATTTGTCAAGGCCTTCAGTGGCATCCTTGGTCGGCCCGGTAGACGAGGCCGTGTTGACAAGTTGGAAGCCGGCGCGAGCGTGTGCGGGAACCAGTTCATCGACGCAATCGTCATAGTTTCCAGAGAGAACCTTGTAGAGAGCAGCGATGGACTCATTGTTGTGCCCTGGGTAGTTGACCTCTTTCCTGACGAATTCCTGTGCAACTTGCTTGTAGAGATCTGGGGACACAGTGTTGGAAATCAACATGGCATGTCCCCAGAGTCGCTTGTCAACAGCAACCCAAACCGCCTTTTCTCGGTCACCAACCAGCAAATGCTTTCGAATCTGGTCCATAACGGACGAGTCCACGGCATCAGCCTTCATCTGTGTTGAAGAAGACTCTTGGAGTGCATCGACACCACTGATACCGGCACCGTAGCCCGTCGCGCCTTCGGATTCAGGGGTGGAAAGACCAGGAGCTAGTACTTCTCTGACAGCCTTGTCAACTGCGGCAGTGCCTTCCAAGACGCCATCGTGTTCAACAAAGACTCTGAGAATTTTCCAGAGGAGCACTCTCTCAATGGTACGCTTGTGCTCATGGGACAGCTGGGTTTGGAATGAAACCTCGGGAAGCTCCCTCTCTAACGTCTCTATGCCTGCGGTTAACCAGGCCAGTGTTTCTTTCTTCTTTGACTTTCCACGCAGGGGTCCTGGGAATTTTGCCAGCCTTTCTTCGAGCGGCTGAATGTCCTTAACATGTTTAACGTGAACCTCTCCAGGGCTGCGGATGATCATCGGAGCTGTTGAGCCCATGCCGTAACGTGGTACGTTTTTGGGGAACGAAGTAATAATAGTACCGCCAACGCCCCACGAGATGATCGGCGCGCCTTTCCATCTTTGCAGGGGATCGTTCTCACGGCCATCGGTCGGCGCGACCATGTTCAAGGATTGGGAGGGTCCACGGGGGCGGGACACAGGAGCCTGTGCCGGCTGGAACGATCTGGTTGCCCGGGGCGATGGTGGGCTTTGGACCGAAGATGGCCGAGGCACAGGCTGAGAGGATGGGCGTGCTCCATGGGAAGATCCCGGTGACTGCGTTAGGGACCGCGGAGGTGGTGCAAACCTGTTGTCTGGCGGCGAATCGTGAAGGGCAGCTTGTGGTAAGTAGCCAGAAGTAGATCTCTTTGAAGGCGACAAAGTCGAGTTCATAGGAAGGCCTTGGGAAGATGGCGGGGGCGTCTGCCTCGCAGCCATTGGGGGCGCCGGGCTGTAGCGAGACTCTGCAAGTATGCCGTTGACAGGTTGGCTCGGCTGTGGAAGCTTCGACTCGTCCTCTTCCTCGACCTCCCGCGTTGTAGGGAGTGATGGTACTCTACGGGGTTCAAGGCTGTAGCTTGACCTACGATCGAGCTGAGCATGATCTCCATTGGTTGTCGGCGCCTCGCGCGAGATCTCAAAGTGAGCCAGAGGACTGGAAGTTCTAGGCAAGTGCGGCAAGACAGTGGGAGACGCGGCGGCCGAGTGATAAGCGGGCACGGACGGTCTCCCAGCCGTCGGTGCCGGCGAGTATCTGCTTGAAGAAGGCGGACGACCGGCTCCATTGGCTGTTGGCGCTGACGGAGGGGCAGGCGAGTACCTGGCGTTGTTTGGGATGCCATGGGCCTGCTGCTGCGCCGTTTGAGGGGCATAGGGGTTGACGCGCTCACCGGGCACCAAGTTTGGAATTCCTCCAGATGCCGAGCGGGACGTACCAGGAGGTGAAAGCAAGGGCGGCGACAAAAGCGACGGAGCAAGTTGAGCCTGGTTTGAAGGCTGGAGGGGTGCAGGAGGGCCAGCCAAAGAAGGCGAGGAAACGCGGTAGCTCTGTCGCGAGGCAGACCGAGGTTTAGAAGCCATAGGCAACTCCTCAAAGAAGCTGTCCTGGTTTCGGAGAGGCGGTGCACCTTTGTTTCCTGTCGGCGGGTGCTGCACAGAGTGGCTCGACGTTGGGGGCGAAATGCTGGATGTAGCAGCTCTCGGTGGGGGCGGCGTGTGAGCTTGCATGCTGGAGCTCCTCGGAGGAGCCAATGCTGGCCCAGTTGACGGGCTTCGTGGGAGTTGCTGCGTGCTGGCCCTCTTCTTTGGCACGACAACCTCCATGGGAAGATCGTATGGAGACGTGTAACCGCCTTTGGATTGGGCCGCGAAACTCTGTGTTTTGGGAGGCTCTGGACGTCCCTGCGGAGCCGTGTAAGGAGCCACCGGCGCAAAAGGTGTAGTTGCCGTCTGGGGTTGGTAAGGAAACGGTGTTGCCTGCGTGCTCGGAGCGTAAGCAGACCGGGCAGCTTGTTGAGGTGCGGCAGCAGGCGTGTATCGTCCTTGTTGGATGTGTGGTTGCTCCTGAGAGGGGGCCGCGGAGAAAGGAGGTTGAGACTCTTCTTCGTCCTCAAGGAAGCCCTCGTCGTCGCTACCAAAAAATGCTGAAGGGTCAACTGGCTTAGATTCGCCGTTCTCGTCGAGCGCGTCATCAAGTAAAAAGTCCTCGCCATCATCGTCTGCGAAGGCTTCTTCCCACTTGGCAGCAAGATCGTCTGTTGGCTTTTCTTCAGAATCCTCGGGTTGCGTAGACTCTGGAGTTGGCTCTGGGTCGTCCGTAGTATCGGTCGGCTGAGTTTGGGCCGCTGCATCAATCTCGTCCTCGTCCTCTTCAAGCATTTCTTCCAACGTGTCGGTTCTGGAGAGCGTAGTTTTGTTCAAGTCGCCCATGGCTTGCATGGTAGATTTACGCTGCAGGGCCTGATTGGCAGCAAAGTCTGGGAAGTCGTCGTTGTTGGAGTCCTGGATCTGACTAAAGAAGTCATCCTCGCCAGTTGCCTCTTCTCCGAAATCAGCCACTTTCTGCGGGGGTTGCGACGCTTCCCCGTGAGCTTCCGTGTGAGCGATTAACGGAACTCCTTCTTCATACCGCGAACCGAGATCCTCCTCTTCAGTGAAAGTCGCGTCACGGCCAACATAGTGTTGGTCGTCATGTGTTTCTTCGTCGCCGAAATCAGCATCGTGTTCAGTTGCTGTATGACTCGTCTCTTCGCGGACGCCGGTATCAAAGTGCTCGGGCGTGTTCTCGATCTCGTTAATCAGGTCTTCAGCTTGGTTAGACGGAAGAGGCTGCTCCGTGCCAGGGACAGTGGTAGAGGCTCCGGAAACGGGCGGCACAGGTGGAAACGAGTTCGTTCTGTCACTCGGCGGCATGAACTTGAAAGGATCTGTATCGGTTCGAGGAAGAGTCCATTCGGCGTCGTGGTCATCATCCCAGTTGAACTCATGAGAAACAGTTCGAGTAAACGAGTTGTTGCTGGTATGACCCAATACAGTTGCAGCTGGCTTGGCTTCCTCAGCGACGGTACTCGGCTCCGGGGCAACCTCCTCTGCAGCCGCCGGAGAAGGGGATTGAGATGCTGGTTCAGACCCGGCGGTTGTGTTCGGAACGGGAGCAATCTCGTTGACCGCGTCAGATTCGGCCGAGACGTCTGTTGGCTGTCGGTCGAAGACAGGCCAATCGTCCGTGGCATCTTCCTCATTCCCCTCGGCGACCCAGGGGCTGGTCTGTTTTTCTGGCTCTTCCTCTAGCTCAGTGGGTTGTTGCGTTTGGAATACATGCTCGGCATCTTCGGCAACTTCGCTCTGGACAGGAGCCGGGGGTGGTGAGGCGTCAGGGTTTGCGCGCAAAGGTGCATCGCCACTGGCATCGTTAGGCATAAAAGCGGGATGCCACGAGGCGTTCGCGGTCTCAGAAGACATGGTCGTCATTTAATTAGGTCGGTTCATGCGGGTTTGCGATGTGATGAGATCAAAGGCTCGGGAAACAGCTATGTCGAGGTTGTCAGCACGAGACCAACATGCGCGAGTCCAGGGGTTTGACGTCGAATTGACGCGACGACGACATGGCCCCGGGTATTGTCGAGTTGGTAGTAGAGATTGCAACGGAAAGCACATCACAAGGGGATAGACGTACATATACATGAGAAGCAGAGGTCTAGATAGAATACACAACGACAAATTCCATGCTGAACTGAAGAGTTGGTGGGTCGAAGGCGAAGGTCAGACGTGAAGGTGATTTTTTTTGGCTGGTCGGGGGAAGAAAGTCTAATGAGCCAGAAGCATTCGAAGCATGAGGTGGCCCAAGGACCGAGGAGCAACTGTAACTGCAAGCTGGCAGGTACGATAAAGGTATGGACTAGCACGGTACAAGTGGCATGTATCTCTCCTGGCAACCAAAGCGGCTAGGTACATCCCGCCATTCGTAGTGGGTGGCCCATTAGCATGGATCTACCCAAAAATTCATGAGTCCCGTCAGTCTTTTGGGTGCCGTCCTGGGCTGGCATGGCCCATCCAGTCAGAGACCGATTCCGTCATTCCGTGTCCAAAAGGGGCCCCACCAAGGTCGAACGGTGCACGGTCTTTCGGCTACACCAGAGACCCGAGGATCCGCCGGACGTCGACGGGAGCAGAGAGCGAGTATGTACTGTAGGTTGCTGGAGACTGAGCCGGCAGTGATGTACTACCTATGTATGTAGGAAATTTAGAGATGAACCGCCAATAGCTCATGTACCGCCGCCTAAAGACCCTTGGCAAGCTCCCCACTAGCCGTCGCACAGCTGATCGCCACGCCCAAGGCGCGCCCGCCTGACATGCCCAAGCAGGCCGGTTTACAGCATGCCAAAAGGCCACGCGGCTGCCTTCGTCACATAGAGTGCCGCCGTACCTCCCCTGAAGAATGACAGCACGCCGCACACTGAGGCAGCCCGGTAGCTTTTCCACCCAATTGGATCGGCTCAGCCTCTCCAGGCGACTTCATTCAAGCCTCCAAGTCTCTCGGCATTGCTTGCGACAACCCGATACTTGTCCAAAACACCACATCTCTTTGACGATACACGACATTTGTCTTGCCAAATACCAGCAACGTCGTTGTGACTGGAGGTTCAAACGCACCACCGCGCACACCTGAGCGTCCGCGCTATCCGCTACCTCGATCCCGCCAAAGCTATCCGATGCAGCTCCTCGAGCAGCAGCACAGGCACCGTCGACCGAACTCTATCGCGACTTCTCACAGTAAGGCATCCGCCTAAAAAGCTGTTCTCTGCATACACCTACTCCCAATGCGGGCGGGATGCCTTCCCCAACTCCATACCGTTCCGCGGATCCGCCAGGCTCCCCGGGGAACGATTCTGATTCAGACCTCGATCTCGACATTCAGGAGCTCGACCCTGCGACCACAAGCACCGAACGCACTTCTGGTCTCATCCGCCACGATCGCCAAAACAACGAACACCGATCGCCACGTATAGCACTGCGAAATCTACGCATGGGGGGCTCACGTCGGGCTGTGCAGAAGGCCAGGGGATATGGAGAACTCGGCCAGAACCGCGATGGCGCCAGCGAGGATGCCCAAGCACTCCTCGGCGAATCCGAAGGCTCTTCGTCACAGTACAGGGACGGACACGCAGGTGTAGGCTCCGACGATGATTCACCTCTCCTCCCCGGGGGCTCACCACCCAGGCGCCGCTCCTTCGCCGGAGACAGGTTCGAGCGCCTCACCTCCAGCCTACGACTGCCCAGCTTCATGTCGAATTCAGGGGCACAAGAGGCAAGCAAGGACGATGGGCAAGACCAAGATGAGGACGACCCGTCCAGCTCCCGTCTTGTCGCCGTAGGGTCCGCGCAGGCGACAAGGTTTCCCCCGAACCTTGTATCGAACGCCAAATACACAGCGCTCACATTCCTGCCCGTCACTCTGTATAACGAATTCTCCTTCTTCTTCAACATGTACTTTTTGCTGGTGGCTTTATCCCAGGCAATTCCCGCTCTCCGCATCGGTTACCTCACAACATATGTTGCACCGCTAGCCTTTGTCCTTTTTATCACCATGGGAAAGGAGGCTTACGACGACATCGAGAGGAGGAGGAGAGACAATGAGGCCAATGCGGAGGCGTATACTATCTTGGCATTTGACGAACCTGGTCGGGGCATGGCTTCTGGACGGCGGTCTCATAAGAGGCTCAAGTCAGATTCAATGAGGAAGAAGGGCAAAAGCTCAGTCAACAACCGTGACAGGCTCTCGGATATACAAGAAGAAGAAGAGCGAGCTGAGGGAGACGGCCACTCCGCAGAGCCGTCTTCGTTTGTCCGTGAAGTCAATCGCAAGTCGCGCGACCTCAAGGTTGGGGATGTCCTCAAGTTGGGCAAGGGGCAAAGAGTCCCTGCCGATGTGGTCATTTTGAAGTGCATCACTTCGGAGACCACGAATGCGTCTCCAGTTATGGAGCCGATCGTGGAAGAGGAATTGTTGCTGGTTGATACGGACGAAGAAGAGTCCAAGAACGCAAAGATGCTCACCAAGGGCAAAGATGTTGAGAACAATGACGGCGGCGGCGGCGCAACTGGCGAGACTTTCATCAGAACCGACCAATTGGATGGAGAAACAGACTGGAAGCTACGGCTGGCATCACCCTTGTCGCAAACTTTGCCTACGGAGGAGTTTGTGCGTCTTCGTGTCACAGGAGGCAAACCGGATAGGAAAGTGAACGAGTTCTTGGGTACCGTCGAGCTATTGCCCAGCAGACGAGACGCTCAAAACCAACAGGGAGCGCTCAACGGGGATGAAGGCACCTCGGCTCCTTTATCGATCGACAACACAGCCTGGGCGAACACGGTCATCGCCTCCAATGCCACCACGCTCGCAGTTATCATGTACACCGGGCCTCAGACAAGGTCCGCACTGTCTACTGCGCCCTCGCGATCGAAAACCGGCCTCCTGGAATACGAAATCAATTCTCTAACAAAGATTTTATGCGCGCTAACGTTGGCACTCTCCATTATTCTCGTCGCATTGGAAGGTTTTGGGAATACCGAAGGAAACGTTTGGTACATCAAGATCATGCGCTTCCTGATTCTCTTCTCGACAATCGTACCCATCAGTCTGCGTGTCAATCTCGACATGGGCAAGAGCGCGTACTCTTGGTTCATCCAACGAGACCCTGGCATTCCTGGGGCCGTTGTTCGAACAAGCACGATTCCTGAAGACCTGGGTAGGATCGAGTATCTACTGAGTGACAAGACTGGCACCCTGACGCAGAACGAGATGGAGATGAAGAAAATCCATGTCGGCACGGTCTCCTACGCCAACGAGGCCATGGATGAGGTCACGTCATATGTCAAACAAGGTTTCCATATCCAGCCTACTACCGACCCTTCGTCGCATACGATGCTGATGACGCCTTCTACAACATTCGCAAACTCATCAAACGTCGGGGCGACCCGTACGAGAAGAGAGATCGGGTCTCGCGTCCGAGACGTTGTCCTCGCTCTGGCATTGTGTCACAACGTGACTCCAACGACAGAGGAGGAGGATGGGAAGACTGTGGTCTCGTACCAGGCATCTTCTCCCGACGAGATTGCTATCGTCCGTTGGACGGAGTCTGTCGGCCTTCGCCTCGCCTACCGGGATCGTACAAGCATGGTCCTCGAGTCAACGGAAAGCGGCCGCGAGATCGTTCGCGTACGCATCCTCGATGTCTTCCCTTTCACTTCCGAAGGGAAACGTATGGGCATTATCGTTCAGTTTTTCGAGCAAGCCCAGTCGGCAGCGCCGAATCTCGCCAACAGCGAAATTTGGTTCTACCAAAAGGGTGCTGACACTGTGATGAGTCCAATCGTCGCCGAGAATGACTGGCTCGATGAGGAAACATCCAACATGGCTCGAGAGGGCTTGCGCACACTTGTGGTCGGACGAAAACGTCTGTCGTACGAACAGTACAAAGAATTCACCGGAAGCTATCAAGCGGCTTCGCTGGCCATTGCTGGCCGCGACGCCGGTATGCAACGTGTTGTGGCTCAGTATCTCGAGCGCGACCTGGAACTCCTTGGTGTCACTGGTGTGGAGGATAAGCTTCAAAAAGACGTCAAGCCATCTCTGGAACTGTTAAGAAACGCCGGCATCAAGATTTGGATGTTGACCGGTGACAAGGTCGAGACCGCACGCTGCGTGGCCGTAAGCTCCAAGCTGGTTGCCCGTGGTCAGTACATCTACACCGTGTCCAAGCTTAAGAAGAAAGACAACGCGCAAGAACACCTCGATTTCCTCCGTGGCAAAACAGACTCTTGCCTCCTGATTGACGGCGAGAGTCTGGCCCTGTTTCTTACCCATTTCAGGATCGACTTTGTGTCCGTTGCCGTCCAGCTCCCCACTGTCGTTGCCTGCCGATGCTCGCCGACGCAGAAGGCAGAGATTGCAAAGCTGATCAAGGAGTATACTAAGAAGCGCGTCTGCTGTATCGGAGATGGCGGCAATGATGTTTCCATGATCCAGGCAGCGGACGTTGGTGTTGGTATTGTGGGCAAGGAAGGTCGACAGGCCAGTTTGGCAGCAGACTTCTCGATCGAACAGTTCTTCCATCTGACCAAGCTCCTGGTCTGGCACGGTCGAAACAGTTACAAGCGCAGCGCTAAGCTCGCCCAGTTTGTCATCCATCGTGGGTTGATCATTGCTGTCTGCCAGACGATGTACAGCATCGCCATTAAGTTCGAGCCTGAAGGTCTTTATAAGGTGTGTTTTGCAACTAGTCACGAACGTCCCCCTTGCTAACCATCAACCAGGACTGGCTTCTTGTGGGATACTCCACCGTGTACACTGCTTTTCCTGTGCTTTCCCTCGTGCTCGACAAGGATGTCGACGAGAATTTGGCAAACCTCTATCCTGAGCTGTACAAGGAGCTCACCTCCGGTCGATCACTATCTTATCGGACCTTCTTCGTCTGGGTTGCCGTTTCGATTTATCAAGGTTGTACGATTCAAGGTCTCTCGCAGATTCTCACGGACGTCGACAGCCCCAAGATGGTGGCTGTGTCGTACACCGTACTAGTACTCAACGAGCTCCTCATGGTTGCCATCGAAATTACAACCTGGCATCCCGTCATGATCATCTCCATAGTTGGTACCTTCGTCGTATTTGTGGGCTCCATTCCGTTTTTGGGTGGCTACTTTGACCTTCAGTTCATCATCACTTTGTAAGTTGCCCGCGTTCCCTGCTCTCCACAAGCCACCCGCTAACCGTGATTCAGGGGATTCATCTGGCGCGTCCTCGCCATCGCGTCTATATCGCTCATCCCTCCATACGCGGTGAAACTCATCAGGAGAACGATGAAGCCGCCCTCGTACAGAAAAGTGCAGAGCACGTAGAGAGCATTGTCAGCATGCTCGTTATCGGATCTTCTTTTGTATCTATTTTAAGGGCTCTTTGCGCAGGGCGTCTGGGGGGTCGACTACGGTTCGCAGCCATTCAGGGAGCGCTGCGTTTGCATTGTTAGGCGGAGTTGACGGGGTGTAATCTTTACTTTGTAGGGCATTTTTGGATGGGCCATCAACGGTCCAGAACTAGACAGCGCTATCGAACATCAGTATCCTTAGACATATGCTTGTCTCTTTTGGAGTTGTATATGAGGTGCTTTCTAAAATTGTAGATACTTCTAACATTAACATCTTACAGCTTGAGGACGACCCAGTCCTTCAGGATCTCGGGGCTTTTCCTATGCAATGCGCCCAGCATCCCGCCAACAGGACCCTGCAACTGCCCACCGTCCCGCCAAAGCTTGGCTCCCGCATAGGCCTGAACGAAGCCCTCGGGCCCAGAAACCACAAACACGTTCTTCCCCGGCGCGGCCTTCCCGGAGGTACACGCACAGTCGTCGGGCTTGAACAGACTTCGCTTCCCGGCGTTCGGGGCGCCGTCCACCATGCCAATATGCGCGGTCTGCGAGTGGAACTTGCAGCCCTCGACGGCGTGCGTCGAGGGCAGGGAGGGGTCACTGAGTCTTTTGGAACCAGGTTGCGTTAGAGCCGCAGCCAGATCCGAGTCACGAACGGTAGTGCCCTCTTGGTCGATCACGACGCGGATGTCGAGTCTATCGCCAAACTTCTCCTTCAATGCGAGGAGTTCCCTGCTTACGGGCGAAGGGTCCTTGGCCTCCGCTGTCAGCGCTTCAGCCCGGATGTCGGAACCAAAGTTATCTGCCGGGCGTTTGGAAAAGGGGTTCCAACTCCACCATGGCGCCGTCTGAGGCGGCTTCGTCCGCAGCGCCTCACCACCCTGCTGGACCTCGTCACGGCTTCGGACAGCCCAGAAGATCGTCATGGACGGCGCCCCAGGGAGCGGGAGCACAGCGTGCGCGGCCTGCAGCGCGCTGGCGATTCCCGTCCCGCCTGCGAGGAACACGACGCGGTCGCCTCGTTGCCCCAGACGTGAGCTTAGATCAAACTCTCCATGCGGACCGCGGAGCTCGACGGTGTCTCCTACACCTCCATCGGCAGAAGGTGGGGACAGACGACTGAGATACGTCGAAACCTCGCCACCTCGCACCGCACGAACATAGAACCTCAGGGTATCCCCCCCTTCGGACCCTGGTGACGGTGGGAGGGGCGTGTATTCTCTCGCAACCTGGATCTGAGGCTGCTTCACCTCGATACACCACAGGTCAAAGATCTCCCACAGAGAGGCGACGCTGGGGAGGTTGCTTTTGGGTGCCTTGAGGGTCAGGATAAAAGAGGTTGGGGAGACCTGTTCGCGGGCGACGACCGCGAATGGGATGAACTTGCGGGCGGACCCGAGGATGGTCTGCTCGGCTGGGTCGTTGGAGGTGGGCGTGGAGGGGAAGAGCCATTGGGAATCCCAAGCGACGCCACCTATTGCGAGAAGGACAAGAAGAGGTAGATAACGAGGGCTTACGAAAGACGATGTCTGTGGTTTTTGGGCGACGGAGTTCGGAATGGTTGTTTTAGTCGTGGTAGATGTGGAGTTCAGACGGCGATCTGTGGTGGTAAGTGTATTTGATGAAGATTGTCCGTGACGGAATTCAAGAGCCCCGTGACTGGTTTGCCAGCTGAAAGACTGCCGTGATGTATGGATGAAACACGCCCCAGGTATCGGTCTTGTAGACTGGGGTGCAGCCACGGCGGCCGAGGTAGCACGGAGCTGACGTTGAGTATGGGTGAGAAACCGGCCGGCGGTCGGCCGCATGGCCACGCCTGCTGCGGAGGCTATCGCCGGAGATCCCATCATGAGTTGATGCCTGCTTTTAAAAGACTCAGTGGTTGTCGTAACTCGTGAGCATTCTCTCGGGCGATGGCGTCGTAAGAGGCGCCAAAATCGATGATGCTGATGAGAGCTTCAAGTGGACTGGTTTCGCCCAGCAAAAGATATGCGCACGGTCACGTGAGTCGAGTCGGCCATCAACCCCTGAGACTCAACCCAGTTAAGAGTTTTAATTGAAGAGAAACTTGGCCAGTCTCATACTTATGTATCCCCGTCTTGTTGACTGGATTTTTGAATCGTATTGTGCGGTTGTGCTGTTTATGGCCAAGGAACCGCCCAAACGCTAACAGTCAGTGCCAATATGTCAACACTTACACCTTTGGCTCTACGACATTACAATGCACGCAAAACGACTTGGCTCAACACATTCAATTGAACTGCCCAAGTTTCAAAATGTATTTCCGATATTCTCTATTACTGAGGGATTCGAAAAGTACTGTCTTTGCGAATATGATGTCAGAAAACATCGTTAAGCTACGCTGCTTCCCGGCTTGTTTGAGTTGACCACCCCTATAGTTCTATGGCCACAATCTAACGCACTTGGAAAGTAGTTGTGAAGTAGAACAAAGCTCTTCAGATTGGTTTCACCATAAGTCCGGGGCAGTGCACTGGTCAGCCTTCTCTGGCGGTCCAAAATTCATGTTACACAGCATCTGATTATGGATTACCAGTGTTTTGACCACACAACCCAGATGCAGAATCAGAACGACTGTGAAAGTCTCAAGTAGATGTAGAGCCCAAGTTGAAGGTGTTAGCACTGCAAAGAGGGTCCCTTAATAGAATTACAGGCATGTAGCACTTCTTTGATGACTATAAACCACGGCTTTCGAGTTGGCAACGTCAAGCCTGTTCCGTTTTTTTGGCCTCTCTGTTCTCGGGAAAGCTGGTAGTTTATAGACACACCCGAATAGGTGCATCGATGTATCAAGCTCGCTACATGGGAATAGTCATCATTTCCCATCAACTCAAAGGATATTATAAGCCACCACTCAAATCCACTCATTCGAGGTAACCAGTGTAGTATCTGCTCAAACATGTTGCCGAACCCAAAAACCATGCTTTGGGCCGAGAAGAACCAATTGACACCCAGCCAAATTTATCACGAAGGCCCGCACTGCACGAGAAGGGAGTATGCAGTCACTTCTATCCCTGTTCCCAGGAGTATTCCATGATGAATACTCACTGACCGCGGATGATGGACGGCGGACAGAAATACCTAAAAGTGCCAGGATAGCCCTGCGTCCGTGTGGCAGATAAGGTCTTGAACTGCGTCATGATCACCAACGGCTCAATGAGGGCAACATGAGTGCCGAATGTTCTGGCCTTCCAAGTTACGTTCACGGGCACAGCCTCTTTTTATATACCAAGAAATCTCTAACAATACCCTGGCTCCTTCTACGGCAAAGTGGTATTGGGAAACACGCAGGGAGGATTCGGGGTTAGCAGAAAGAGTTGCTGCCAGTAAATCTTCCCCCCAATGTATGACAACAGGTTCCATACACAAGCAGAGATGTCATGTCCATGGCTCAAGCGTGAAGGGAACACAATATCGCAAGACTACAAGATCGAATATAATTCCCGCGAGTCTCGAACCGAAACGTTATATCACGACTCTTACAGTGTATTTGGTGTATGAGTATCCATCATGTCTAAACTCCCGTGCCCAATATACTAGGGGAGATATACGTCCCATCTATCATACAACTAGCTCTCACGCGTCGGCTATCCCAGTCAAGCACCCCCTCCCCTCACAACCTGAGAATCTTCCGGTTCTCATCGATACCCCCACGGAACATGTCCGCAATTACTCTCCCCTCGAGAACCGTCTCCTTGACGATCCCTTCAACGTGCTTCGGCTCGACCCTGCCGTACCAAATCCCCTTCCCAGCAAGCGGGTGCTTCTCCCCTCCCTTCATCCGCAGGCCCGGCGGTATGTACACAATCACGTTCCCGGCGAACTTGTGCCCGCCAATGTGGCTGATCAACCCGACCCTCGCCGCCATCTTCCCATCTTCCCTCTTCTCGTCCTCGGGCGCTGCGATCTTCGCCTTCTCCTCTCCGCTCTCATCGACCTCCACCGGCCCCCTCGCAACATCGACCCCGAGCCCCTCGAACCGCGCCTCAAACTCGTCCCTCAAAACGGGGCCCATGACGCCGCACCGCATATCCCGCCCGCCGTGCCCGCAAATCAGCACCAGCACGTCCGTGACGTCCCGCACCCCGTACAGCAGCGACCGGTACGCCTCCTTGCGCGTCAGCCGGTCGCGGTGGATCGGCGACAGGCCGTCGTGCATCGGGTGCAGCTTCTCCGGGAGGAGGTACCCTTTGGCGAGCGCCTGCACGCTGTCGAAGCTCACGCGCGGCAGGAACGGCACGTACTTGAAGCTCGGGAGGAGGTAGGCGCTCGTCGTCTGCAGCTCGCTCCGTTTGGGCGTGGACGAGGGGAACGAGGCGTTGAGGACCGAGATGTTGTGCCATGGCTGTTGTGGCGGGAGAGGTCACTTACCGTCAGCCAGTCTCTTCACTCGTCGCGTGTAACTTATACGTAGGGGGGCACTAGCCAGGCCTCCATCTTTTCCGAAGTCCAGCAACCCTTCTGGTGCTTCCATAGAGAAACCCAGAAGGAGCAGAGCGCTTCTTATATATATACACTTGTATATACACTCGATCGAATCGGAAAAAGAGAACAGAAACCTATATAGAAAGAAAACTCACATCGCTGTACGTGCCACCGCGTCCAAACAACTCCTTCAGATCCGCAGCGAGGTTATCCCCGCTGTTCTCCTCCTCGATGCGCGACGCCCAGTCGTCCTTGCCCGTGCACACGAGCACCTGCTCCGCGTACGCCGACACGACGCCGTTGAGCGGGCCCTTGCGGTCGATCTCGAGCCCGTCCGGCATCGCCGGCGTCGCGGCGCACTCGCATGTCGGCGAGGGGCACGTCGGGACGAGCTCGAACGGCGGCGGAGGGGCGGAGGGCCGGGTCCGTGGCGGAGGCTTTGGTTTGGGGCTCGACGAGGACGAGGAGAACCTTGCGGCGGTCACGGTAACCGCGCGTGATGACACCGACGGTGTCGCTGGGTATGGGGTCACCAGACGATACCCTCGCACGAGACGCGACATGGTTCTCGGTGTGGAGTACATCTCTCGCAGTACGACCTGGCCAAGACAAGCAAAAATCACTGTTACGCCGACCTGCGAATGTGGGATGCCGCACGCTGGGTGTCGGATATCGAAAACGTCGCGTCGCAACCTCGGCGTCGACGTCACCAGGGGGGGATTGCGTAGTGCGTACAGAGTACAGACAAATAAAGTGGAGAGTTACCGTTTCTCAAGGACACATGCATACAACCCAATGGTAATATCTGCCGGATGGGTAATTGACAATCAATAACTGCGTATCATCTTCGGTAGTTGGAGAGAGAAAGAGATGGGTCTCGGAGCTTCGCGGCGGACTTAGCAACGGTCCCGGCGCCGAGCGGGAGGGTACGTAGACGGACGCGAACAGGGGACGGAGGGTGTGCGTCGGGGTGAGACCAATGTAATGTTAGGTAATCCCTCAATCATCACTGGCCCATCCCACTCGCCCACAGCCGGGAGCACTTCCCGTAGTTCGTCATTATCCACACAACTGATACGTGTGGCCTGCGGGCGAGCACGGGTACCGCCGGTACTTGTCATCCTTACCCGTGGCTGACTCATCAGCTTTCTTTGGTTCCGTGCACGTGTAACCGTACATGATGATAAAAACAACGCCATTTGCCGCTTCCGAACTCCGTCGGCAGGGATTGGTTTCCACCCACCTCGGAGCCGAATTTCGGACACTGCACCGCAAGCAACCTAGCGAAACCACTCTGCAGGGATTATGTGTTTGGGCGGGAGCCCGATAAAGAAGGAAAAAGACTGTCGTGCGCGCACGGTTAGAGTGTTCTTCTGCTCGACGTCCATGTCAATGTCCTCTCTCGCGCGCGGCCCTTCCTCTCCCACCACCCTAACCCCCTTGTACGTTCTCCCCTTTTGAGCAGTTCAAGGCCAGGGAGAGGAGAGGGAAGGGGTGTGTGTATGTGTTCTGGGCGAGAGAGAGAAAGGCCCAGAGCCTCCTCCGGCAATACCACCATTCCAGCGCACAATTACCCGCCGCCGGGGGCAGGCAATGGGGCCAGACAATTCCAACGACATCCATCTCGCGCACGCAATGCACAGTTCCAACCAACACGAGGGCGCCGAGGGCGCCGCAACGTCTCCACGGGCCGGAGCACGGCACCTCAGCGAGCCTTGGCTTGGCGATCGCAACAGGGACAACTAGTCAATCACCCAACCCGTGTCCGTGTCTTACTAGTTCCTGATTTCGCGCATCTCGTGGCCCAAGCTCCAAGACCATGTCTTGAACAGCTCGCACAGGAACATGCTGTGAACCACCACAGCTGGGCGAAATCAAGAAGCCAAAATCATGTTTGGAACTCTTTCCGGACACAGAGTCAGCGAGAGAGAGAGAGAAATAGAGAAAGGGATGGCGGGGGGTGATGAACCACACTACTATAGTACACACCCCTTTCGCTTTCGCACTCCTCGCCCCTATGCAATTCGGTGCGACCTCCGCCAGAAGGATTTCCACAAATTCCAGCAGCTAACGCCAAGAAGGTTAAGGGACTTGTTTACCCCTTCCTCTTGCAGCGAATTTACCGAGACAATACGCTACATGTCGTATCTCCTTTCTGTGCAGCACTGCGAGATTGGACTCTCCACCAAAAAAACAACTCTTCCCCACGACCGGTGTGGTGACTTGTGTGCTTGTGCACTTGTGTTTGGCGTGTGGTGGTCCGCCACACCGGTCCGACGACCCGTCGAGTACGTTGGTTCGTTCCAACGCCGGTGCCAAGAGCCCAAAGACCAGGAGGCCTAATGCTGTGGCCGGCTGGCTGGCCCTGGACAGAGAGGAGGAGTACAAAAGAAAAAGAGTCAGCCAACCCCTGCCTCGTACCACTGTCAACGTCGCCGCATGCTTCTGTGGCAACACAAACATTGTCCCAGAGGATCATGGCAGCCGCCGCCGCCGCCGCTGTCATCCCCCTCCATCTGACTATGCATCTCCATGTCTCGCTTGTCTCTGTCTCCGTGCCTTTACCGACGTCCCCTCAGCCATGCTAACCCTTGTTTACCAAAGTAGAGTTGCATCCCGGTATAACCCAACGCACCGTTGAGAAGCCGAACCGACGCATGCCGCCTGCCGCATTCCGCATGCCAATTATGCGGCCGACCTGAGACATGCAGACCGATCCCTTCCAGCTCTGCAATGTTCACGATGCAAGGGATGCCCATAGGGCAGAAAAGTAGACCGTAGGTGGCGTGAATCCATCGCCCCTCTTTCTCTTTCATCTTCGTCTCGTGTTGCCTAGGTAGCTCCCATTATCCTTAGATGGCACATGCCACCATGCTCTCAACCCCCTTTCTCGCCATACGTGTCTCTGCTGCTGCTATCAAGCCCTGACTGACTTGTTTCCTTGGATTAATATCCTCATGTACAGGGTATATAGTGTTACATAGACAAAGGTTTGGAGAAGGTGAACAAAAAAGTACATGGAATGCCGCATTTGGCATTCCTGGATGTGTACTTTCTTGACAGTCCACACAAGGTGTTTCTCCAACACCGCCAATAAAATATGCAAAACAAAAACAGCTCCAGATAAACCAGATACTCCCCCAAACGCCGCATATGCAGTGTGAATGGAAAACAAACAACAAACAAGTTTGATGCGGAGGAGGCCGTTAACTCCGCGTGTATACAATATCCATAATTTTACCAAACGTCGTTTCCATTGGCTCCTCTATCCGCCAACATTTCCCTAACGGCAGCTTGCTGCCCTTTACCTCGTTTGTGTTGACGAAAACCTTGCCGCCCGCCCACGGCGCATCGCCCGGCTGGCTGTCTCGTAGAAGCTTTAATTTGTCTTGTCGATGTTCCAGGGCGACTCGATGGGCTCGTGCCTCTTCCCAGACCGTACTCGCGGCATCGACCACGGCGCTCGCAACAGCCAGTCGATCCAAAAGGACCGAGGCTTCCGAGAAGGCACCCTCGGCCGTGAGTACGTCCGCGGCTTCCAAGATAACGTGGCTCATGAACGACGGGGGCGCGCTCAACGGAGTTCGTCGGGCCTGAAGCAACACTTCCAACATGCCCGTGATGTCCAGCACTCGTCTTGCTTCTTCTTCCACTCGCCACAAATGTTGCAGTCGCACCGCCGGGGCGATGCGCTCTGGGGTGTAGATATGCCGGTGGAGCTTGATCAGACCATGGTGGTACAGAAGATGAACTGTAAGGAATGTACTGAGAGTCCCATCCTGAGCAGCCAATTCCATGTTGCCGGCATTGTAGGTAAATCGCTCGGGAAGAGACTCCTGCCAGCCGACAAACATTTCCGCGGTGCTTTCAATGAAGGCGGTGGTATCTCCGTCCGCAGGGAAGCTCTGGGCGGTTCTATATGTGTTAGACATGACCTCCGCCCAGAGATTGACCAGCTGGACAAGATAAGCTGATAACGCCAGTGGCGTATGAGCCAGCTTGGACGAGCTGGACGGCGGCTTTGCTGAGAAAAACGGGGCCTGTGACTCTTCTTGCTTTTCGAATACTTCCGCTTCGCACGGCAGCCGGATGAAGATATCTTTGGCGTTGAGAATGCCCAAACGGTTTGGGAACATACCATTGAGTCGTTCGAGTACAAAACACGCCCAATAAGTCCGTCTCCTGCTTTCCGCATACCCTGCTCTGTTCAAGCCGTAAGGGAACACCGTCAGATGCGCATCGATCGATTTGTCGAGTTCTAGATTCAGCTGCAGGTAGGTGGCTGTCGAGATTGCCGCACTCAACATGTCGTTTGCTTCGCTCGGGTTCGATATGGACAAGCAGTAAAGCGCTAGCAGAAGCCGAGCTTGCACAAGTTGAAGACCGGAGGCGGCGCGCTGCTGCGCGTAGCGGGCAACTTGAGCGTACTCGTGAGCGACTCTTTTGAGCCCGCCGGATAAGGCGACGCCGACGGCGAGAATGCTATAGGTGAGCATCAGGTCTTCTGGAGACTTTGTATGAGCATTATCGATCACCCAGGATTTAAAAGCTGTCTCGGGCAAAAAACGAAGGGCCATGGTGCTGTCCGTGTGTACGAAGAAGGAGGAGATTACGGTGTTAATTGACGGAGGGTCGGAGACGTACGGATCTGATTGCCATGCTCGGTTCAACACGTCCTCGTGAATACGAGGAAGCTCAATAGGCTGGCGATGCTGCCAGGAGATGCTTGCCTTGGCCGCCTCCGGCGTGCGGCTGAAGGACGCTGGAGGTTCGTCTCTAATCGAGGGGTAGGAGTCGAAACCCAGTCTCATCCTCTTGTGAGGCATTGAGGGCTCTGGGCTCGGTTGCCGGTACGTGGTACGAGGGGAAACAGAGGCGCTGGAGTTACTACCGGGTCGGTGCATATCGTTCGGGTTGGCTGTACCCCCTAACCGCCGCATGTCTTCTGGTTCTGCGGGAGGCGTTGATGGGGAAGTGTTGTGGCCGCCTCGTGGTCTATTGATCCAGCTTCTTGTCAGCACAAAACGACACATAGAGGAATAGTTACATATGGCCGAAAGGCCGTATTAGCACTCACGCGTTCTTGAACTTGCAAATGCGACCAAACTTCTCGCATTGCACACAGCGAGGATAATCTGGATCGCACTTGATCTTCTTCTCTCTGCATGTGACACACGCAATCGCCAGTCTCTTTCTTGGCTTTCCGGCCTTGGTCACGCCCCAGTGGGCGTTGACTGCCTCGCCATCAATGACAGTTTTACAATGACTACCATCGTCGTAGAAATAGCACATGCCTTCTCCTGGCACCTCGGCGGCGCGGACAAACCGGGGAAGGAAGTGGGTTCCCGTCCAAATCTTGGGACCGAGGCCATCCTTCGACGGGACCCCATCCGAGCTCGTCGTGCTGGCTTGTGTCGATGCCTGCATGAGACCCGGCCCGGATGATGGATGGTGGTCTCGGTAGGCGGACCCCGAGTCTTTGTTGCTTGAGTACTGGTAGGACATTCTGTCATGGGAGACCCGTAATGAAGGATGACTATCTCTGGACACCAGAGCGTACTCGTGTTTTCCTGCCTCGTTATGCATCGACCACTTGCTACCCAAGCCAACGTCGGATCTGGACTCTGGGCGCATATGCTCCGACTCGAGGTATCTTGGAGACCCAGGTCCCGAGAAAGACCGAGATAACCCATGCAACGACTGCCTCTCATGGTCGTATCTCGCATCATAAGTACTGCGCGGCTGGGACATTGCCGGCGAACTCTCCTGCGGGGGAAAGTACGAGGTGGCGTACGAACGGTCCCCGTGAGGTTGTGGCATGCGTGGCCGGTCTAGAGGAGATGTCGCCGGGTAAGCACCAGGCCGCTCAGACGATGGTGAGTGCAAAGGCCTGACTGAAGACGGCGGTCCAAACAAGCTGCTCAATGATGGTAGTTGCTGCCGAGGGGCATTTTGTGTCGAATCCTTACGGCTCGAGCCATCTTCTGTGCTCTTTCCAACAGTCGACATGTCGGCCGCCGAGCCATGCTCGTAGTTCGACATAGGAGGAGAGACAGGGCCAAACCTGGCGTTCCAAAATTGTTCCGCAGGAGGAGATGGTCTGGAGGAATAGGAGGATGAAGAAGGGCTAACCAGCCCGGGAGGAGAGTCTGGGGCGGCCAAACGGGAGTGAGGTTCCAAAGCTAGAATCCCCATTGAAAAAGCGAGCTGATGCCGTAAAGGGTAGGGCCGTTGGGCATTGACGGCCTGGAACACTTTCAAGCGTGGTCAACTCGGTGTCCACGTTATTGGGAGGATGGAGAATGATATAGGCAGAATATGTTGCTGAAGTCAAGAGTCGACCTGGTGACTCGCTGGCTGGCACACTGCTGTTATTAAGGTTTGTATACCACGGCCGGGGTGTGCTGAGAGGAGTTGACCAAGATCCGGGAGTTCGATCAAAGAGATTCTTTCCAAGGTAAGGCCTATCGATCTGGTTTGGCGGGTTGGATAAGTTTGTAACACGGCTTGAGCACCTTTCTGTGCTTGAAGATGTTTGGTTCAGAAAGTCAAGACGTAAAAGAGGAAGAGAATGGCAGAAGAAAGTGAGAGCGAGCAGGATGATGGAGACGGGTGGCTTTTGAGTAGCAGGACAGGCGCGGAGAGCGCCTCAAGGTATGCATATCCTGCCTACCCACCTCATGTATACACATGTTCATGGGAGCTGTTGCCCCCCTTCGGCCACACTCAGGGTAACAAGCTGCAGAAGAGATACACCGAGGGGGCCAAAAGGAGACACTAAGGAACAGAACCAACAAACTGGATTGGCTTGGCTCATTAGATTGGGGAAGGGAGCCGGAAGGGGCACCGATAGAGTGCTGCAAGTGTACGCGACGGGTAAGAAGTACCGTTCGTTCTAGGCGCACACACGTGCGGTGCATCTTCCATGGCTCTTGCCCGAGTCTCCATCTTTTCGGCTTGGCTAGGATGGGGGGGGGGGGGGGGGTGAAGAAGGAAGCTAATTCAACCTAGCGCCTCGTCGGCACCGACGGCATGGCGTGTGTAGGAATGGCCTTGTCAAGTAAGAGAGGAGGGAAGCAGAGCTTTCACTACGTATTCCGGAGGCACAACTCGCATTCCCTCGAGGCGTTAGTCTGGCGGATAGGGCCTGTACCCAGCGTCGCAGTGTAATAAGGCACAGCGATGGTAGAATGGGGCAGCTGGGTCCAGTTATGCTCGATGAGGGAATCCTGGCTGCATGCTTGCAAGGGTTTAGGTGAGTGTGGATGACAGGGGGGTAAGAAAGGTGCAGCGGAGGGGTGATATGGGGAGCGAAGAACAGAGAGAAGCCGCGAAGGGAGGGCACCCTGTAGAGTACAGGTACACTAGACGCCCTAGGAGGGCTGGTCAGGGATGGCCTGAAAGCGTTAGGGGGCCTTGGGCTGGGGATCCTTGAGGGTATGGGGGACGGGAAGGATAAGACGGGGAGAAAGCCAGAAGCGAAGACGTGCGAGGCATGGTCTAGGTTCTGTGAAAGGGCGTGAGTACCTGGTGACGACGTTGCTGCCAAAGACAACGGAATGACGGCACCGATCCTTTATTGCAGACTTGCTCAGATGTTAAAGATGAGATGATAGTTTTTGAGGTTTAACAGAGTTTGCTACCAGAATGCACCGCGAATTAATTGGTAGCCCCTCTTCCCGGGCCCTGAAAACCGAGCAACGGGATACATTAAGGTATGAAAAAAAAGAGGGGGGAAAGAGGACACATGGACTTGCTGGTCACCAGTCAGATTGCCAAGTCCAAGGTATTGGGTATACCGGGAACGATGCATCAAGATGGAGGAGGAGGAGGAGGCGTTGGCGGCAAGTGCTTTATGTCATTATTTCGTCCTTCTGGTTGCTGGAGCTTCGGAGGATGCGTGATGAGGTGGGAATTTCCTTGCCAAGATCCACACATAGTGAGCCCAGATGGCGAAATCGACATAACGAGATAGGTTCGGATTGCCGGGCGAGAAAAGGAAATAACGAGAACGGTGAGCCGGGCGTTGGTTCCACGAGAGGCGGTTGTGGATCTCGGCGCGGGGTTGGAGTGCTGGATATTCCGTCACATCAACCCTGAGTGTTCAGACAGAGGCCAGGCTCACAAGTAACAACTAGGTGAGGCACCCAAATGACGGTGGATGCGATGTATGGTTGATAATTAGTCGGACGGGTGAACTTCAGACGACAGCTTCAGCTGGAGGAACCAGACTCGCGTTAAACCGTGGTCTCGAGATGGTCTAATCCGTACCGCACAATAGGTAACCAGTAACACGACCGCGGCGCCGCATAACATAGCGGTGCAGAACCACCGACCGGCTTCCCTTCTTGCTAACGTGCCTCGAGACCGGGGTTGTTAACCGCAATGAGGCAATGCGTGCGGGTTGGCGAGAAGGGGGGGAGGGAAAAAAAAGGTACCTGGCCAACTGGCTAGGTTGCGAGTGGCGTGAAAGTACTTACCTGCCTGTCTTGGGAGGGACCAGAGCAGTTCTTGCAACGTCCTTGTGGGCTCCCCTGCAGCGATAGCAGAGACTAATAAGACGCGTCCGGCATGTCCTCATTAGGTCGATCCCATTCCCCTGGGTGCACTATGACAGTACGGAGGGCTGCGAAGATCTGGACCGGACCTGTTCCAGCCTGCAGCCGGCAGCGCAGCATGCAGCAAAGGGCATAGGGTGCATGCAGAGGGCAAGGCCGACCCGGGCCAGAGTAGGTATTTGAAAGCTGAGCAATGGAGTTCCGCGATGAGGCTTGCCAAAGGTCTTGCAACAGGCCTGCATCTGTCTCAGGTCTTGGTACGTTGCAGAAAAGAGAATGGCCTTCTTTGTGTTGTGTCTTCTCCCCTATGGCCGTAACGAAAGCTGTCCCTGCCGAGGGAAGCGAGGAGGACGGTCTTTTTGCTCGCCGGGCATGTTGACTCTCTCGTAAGAGCTGCCGAGGCGTAAGATCCGGCGCGCCGCTAGAAAAGGGTGGGAGGGAGGGAGCTGGGAGGCTGATTGGCACTGTGGCATCATCTGGCTAGGATCGACTCAAAAAACCAGAGCCAGTGCCGGCCGGCAGAATGCTCGTCTTGGCGGCGGGTTTGGCAGCCTCTCAGAGTCTTGCACCGAAGATCAACTGGCAGGACCAGCCAAGACCAGACTATCAAAGGACGAGGCGTCAATCAGGGTCGGCAACACTCCTCCACCAGTCAGCCGTCGGTGACAGTCGTAGATATGTGGACGCTAAACAGGGAACAGAAGAGGCACTCTGGGACCGGCTGTTGGTCGTTGGTGCACTGTGAGTTACATGTTTTGTGTTTGTAACGAAAATTAGTAGTGACGGCGCCGCCTCGTCGTTTATTCTTAGCGTTGAGGGCCTTTCCGTGTGGCTGGCGACCGATAAGTCGCCCCTCATTCGACCCCGTCGTCGGTCGTTATCCGTGAGACGCCGAGTCCGAACGAGTTTCACTGGACCTTCGGGGATTTCTCCGTCATGGAAACCGGCCGACGGTCATTTTTCTGCAGTTTTGCAGCCGATGATTCAACATGGAAAATCAGCATCGTTCGGCGCAGCCATGATCTGAGCTAGGCAAAGAAGCCACAGAGAAACTGTATGTCATGGAGGAGTAGGTGGCCAGCCGTTGGCCGACGGCACAAAACGTAGCCAGCAAGCAAGGTGTGGATGTCGGAGTGAAACTCAGACCAGTTCGTTCCATATGGTACCTTATCTTGCAGCCTTTTGCCTTTACGTGCGACGGCACCGAGGCATGGCGAGAAAGTCGGCAAGCCTCGAGTGGGGAGGGGTCGTTGTTCACCCACAGTGTCACAACGGACCGGTCGACGCCGTGGTTCCTCCGGGGTTGCGTTACATTGAAGAGTCGGCAGACGGAGCACTTCTGCGTAATTAAGAGTGAGATGCAGGGAAGGCGCTGCTTAATAACGCAAGTGTCGTCAACGTGCACCAACACGGCCCCGTTCTCCTCGAACGAGAACCTCCTCAACCTCCGCGCCGAGACAGGCGATGGTTTGCTCTTGATGGAGGCACCGGATCCGAAGCGGGACGGATGAACTGTTGAAGATTAGGCGTAAAGGATGCGGTGACGTCATGGGTAAAGAGGCGGCTTGTTTTTTATTTTTATTGTCATTTTTCGTATAAGCGCTCAAGGAGTCTCCGACACGACCGGACAGGATTGGAGCTCGTCAACGTGTTGGTGATTGGTATGGAGTACCTTGGATGACTAGTACGTCGATGTATCGTAGGTCTTTCAAAACGGATGGATGAGAGAACCATCCAGTTCGAGCCAATGAGGTCGCTGCTCTCCGTGGCATTTTGGAATCGTGACGATACGTACCGGATGAGATGGGATGGAATAAGCGAGGTACGGGAGGCACGTACTTTTGCAGCGGCTGTCATCCGACAGGGAAGGTGGAAACTCCCCCTTTCCCTCTTCAAATTATCCGCCTTCAATTTTTTTCAGTCCTTTCCCTCCATTCCTTAGCCGGT